CGAGCGCCGAATACATCTGGCATTCATGCGAGCCATGTTTCCGACATATTTAGAAATTATTCTAATAACCGTTTGAATCCCAAGCAGCGCGATCGCGCTGTTCAGATCTTCTTTTCTTTCTAAAGAAGCATAGCTGCTTCTTTTTTTTCATTTTTCTGTTCTTTTCGTTTCGTTTGTCAATCTTGACGAGCGCTGTTCTCTTCGCAATCGATTTACATTAAACTTGCCACGGTCAAAATGACCGATTTTTTATTTTACGATACTATAAACTTCGGAGGCTTCTTCGTGAAAAATGATCGAATAAATTATATTATCGAGACAAGTCTCGTAATTGAAACTTTACAAAATCCAAGTGAATTCTATCTTTTCACTCTTATTAGTCAATGCAGGCTAATCATCAGTACAGGTCGTTTGGTTCAGTGTTAAGACAAGCGCGCTCGTGCCGAAAGGGTTGATTCAAGGTTTCCCTTCGAATCGTTCTATTGTACGCGTACATTTGTCGTACATTCGCGATCCGAGCGCGAATTCGGGAGCAATTACCGTGGCCCCGAAAGAGGCCAATTAGTCCCTTGTGAGCCGTTCGCACTATTGAAATTAATATTCCTTATAAGCATCGTCTACGCATTGTACCCGGGATCGTCTCTCGTTCGCATGGCAGCTAATCGAAACCGTGCGACCGAGAGCTGCCCGGTTTGCGGGATCGATCGGCGACGCAACGATAACGGTGCAGATAATTACGGGAAATGGGTGAACGGATGATCCGACGGGTATTGCGGGCTCACGGTATCTCTAAGGACATCATCGGGCCGCTTAAGTAGGATACCAGGAGCAAGCAAGCAAGCAACCTGTTCAACGGGAAAATAGTGCGTGAAGCTGCCGCGGAGGATCCCGGCGGCCGGAGCTAATTGATCAACGCGCGTTCGATTTTAGTTGGTCTTGCAGCGTCTTGCCCCCCGATACCGATCTCGTTAATTAATTTACGAGCGCGACCGACCGATTCCGCTACGCGACGCGTCGCGATATCTGGGTCGGCTAGCGAACAAAATTCGAAACCGCTGCACAATGGAGCAGCGGGGTCCTCTCTCTCTCTCCTTTTCTTTTTTTTACTCGATCGAGATTAAATTACCGTGACCGCTCGGAGAGCGAATTACAATTTGGAAATACATACACCGGCGCGCGCGCGCGGGATAATTAATCAGCTTTCACGGCGAGCCGCGCGGCGCGTTTTTAGCCCACTTCCGGCGCCTTTTCACCGGCGAAAATCCCGTCGGGCTCTCTTTGACGCGATCTAATCGGCGAGGAGGGGACCGTCGATCGTTATTCTCGTTAATTTCGCCGGCCGGCAAAAAGGGCACCGCTTTGGCGCCCGCTGCGAGAGCCACTCTCGGTCTGCTTCTCTCTCTTTCTTTCTTTCTTTCCTTCTCTCTCTCTCTCTCGCAATGGCCGCAACAAAAAGCGATTGACGGCGAGGCGAACGAGTACCGGTTATTTAACGCCGTCGTTGCCTTTATGCCACTTATCGGGGGCCCGGTCGTCTCGTTGCACGAGTTTTAACTGTACCCCACCCTTTCCCAGCCGGTGTAACAGTACCGTCATTCCCGTCTTACTATGCAGCCCGTGGGCTCATTCATTATTCATACGCCGAGCTGATACCCGGGCTCATAACGTGACCGTATGCAGTCCCCGGTCGGCCGCTGGAAATTCGAAGGTTGAGCCCCCGTGGCCTGGCCCGCGCCGACCAGGCCCAGCCCAGCCCGGTTCGGTTCGGTTAACGGATCGGTCCGCACACGCGGACGATACCACGCCGAACATAATCCGCGCTTCATTCGCCGAACGACTTTTTAAATGACTCCTTCGAACCGACACCTTCGACTAATAAGTTAACTCGGCTGCGCCTTCGAACGCGCGGCTGCTGCCCGACGATCGTTCTTCTCTCTCGCAGGAGAATCGATTGCCGATTCGACGCATCGATTTATGTGCATCGAGAATTTTTGCCTAATTTTTCTGCTGCTTGGAAACGTGAATGGACGATTTGGGAACGAGCGGGAACGATTATTTATTCGGGCCTTGCGGCTTGTTTTTTTGTAATTGTTGACAGTGGTATTTTCTCTTCACGAATTGTTCGTTCTTGTTTACAAGCTGAAGGACAATTGGGGAGAATTTACTATGATCTTCTTTAAAGCTGGTCCAAGCTACTTGAATTCTTCTGCAAATGTTGGAGCGACTAATACGCTGTGCAGTGACTGAAATACTATTTTTGTTTTAATCTTGCTGCTGCTTGGAAGAAAAAGAGTATAGAGAACTGTCGGTCTTTCACTTTTTTATCTGAGCCTATAATGAAAATTGAACAAATGCATTTGGTTCTTCTCGGTAAGTTATATGTACATATTGAAAATTTTATTGAAATTTTGTTTCGATGTCCCAAATGTCCTAATAACGATAATCTTGTTGTTATAGTCGTTGACAGTCGGTAATACAATGACCGTAGAGTGACCTGTAGCTTAGAAATTAATAATTGAGAAAATAATTTAACCCAAGCGTTGATGAAACGTACACGTAACTCGAGAGCCAAGGATACTTCCAAGAGGAATGTAAACAGTAAAACGTACACATGTATCACTTATTTACAGCGCGCATTAGTGTAGCAAGGTCATTGTGTAGTATGAGTCGTTGAATTCGTCGCTTCGTCGACTACAACGCTGTACCATCGTAAAAAGTACACGGTGCTGTTTAAGAGAATCAACGCGACCTTCGTTCCTGATCGAGCAAAAGATCTTTCGAAATTTTTATTATCGCACTTAGATTTTCCTCGAAGAACACATCAACTTATATTCCAAACATTTTAGCGTAAGTCCCTCGAAACTGAACACCTGAGAACACCCTGTATTAATTAGGAAGTAATTAGGAAGAATTAGAGTCTCCACAGTAGGGCGAAGCATCCCGAATTGCGATCGGAAAGCAACCTCTCGGCTCGCAAAGTGCACAGCGAATGCAAAGCGAATAATGTCTCTCTAATTGACGCCCAGACTGACCACAAAAATGGACAATTTGGGAAAAGAAGATACGATTATTCGAGCCTTGCGGTTTATTTGTATAGTCATAAATTGTTCACAATTATAAAAACCGAATAATCGTATCGATTGCGGCTCGACTAATCGTATCTCCTCTTCCCAAATTATCCAATTTAGCGGACAATCTGAGCGTCAGTAAGGGAGACATATTACTGTACAGCGCCCTCCTTCGAACGGACGGTAGTTCGACGTACTATGCAGCCTATGCTTTAATAGCGGCTCGGACAAGGATTTAGGTGGTCGATCTATCTCGCCTCACCTGAAGGCACAGCTTGAGCACACTTAGCCGTGATTGCCGTAGCGAGTACACATACTCCTTGTGATAGAATCGTCACTGTATCCGATCACGGAGTCCGTCATTCACTTATCCTCCGATCAGCCCTTCGTCCGGTAAACGCGAACGACAGCCGTTCCCGGCGTTTTAATGGTGCATTAGGGCCCGAGTGGAGGAGGGTGGGGGGCAGAAGGATGATGAACGAGACGGTCGTCTCTCAGTCGACGCCTGCCCCGAGCTCCATTATGCAGATCGAGGATCTGTTATTATCGAGTGATCACCTCGGATATGTTGCCGCAGTTTGCCGGCGTGCCGGGCACACAGGACCCGCATGGCGGCTACAAATTACGCGACAGGAAGCATAACGTTTCGCCGCAACGTAATGCCCGTCCGTTTGTTTACATTCCCCGGGGATAATCACACGGGACTCGGGACGGTAATATTGATTCNTTGGGAAAAGAAGATACGATTATTCGAGCCTTGCGGTTTATTTGTATAGTCATAAATTGTTCACAATTATAAAAACCGAATAATCGTATCGATTGCGGCTCGACTAATCGTATCTCCTCTTCCCAAATTATCCAATTTAGCGGACAATCTGAGCGTCAGTAAGGGAGACATATTACTGTACAGCGCCCTCCTTCGAACGGACGGTAGTTCGACGTACTATGCAGCCTATGCTTTAATAGCGGCTCGGACAAGGATTTAGGTGGTCGATCTATCTCGCCTCACCTGAAGGCACAGCTTGAGCACACTTAGCCGTGATTGCCGTAGCGAGTACACATACTCCTTGTGATAGAATCGTCACTGTATCCGATCACGGAGTCCGTCATTCACTTATCCTCCGATCAGCCCTTCGTCCGGTAAACGCGAACGACAGCCGTTCCCGGCGTTTTAATGGTGCATTAGGGCCCGAGTGGAGGAGGGTGGGGGGCAGAAGGATGATGAACGAGACGGTCGTCTCTCAGTCGACGCCTGCCCCGAGCTCCATTATGCAGATCGAGGATCTGTTATTATCGAGTGATCACCTCGGATATGTTGCCGCAGTTTGCCGGCGTGCCGGGCACACAGGACCCGCATGGCGGCTACAAATTACGCGACAGGAAGCATAACGTTTCGCCGCAACGTAATGCCCGTCCGTTTGTTTACATTCCCCGGGGATAATCACACGGGACTCGGGACGGTAATATTGATTCGAGAGCACTGCTCGGCGCGATTTTCTCCGCCGATAATGCGATTATAAACACCGGTTTCCCTCGTGGCGATTACTCAAGGGGACGCGTCTCCTAGATCGCGCCTTCCCGTTCCACAGGATTTATTATCCGGCGTTCGAATCTCCCGCCGAAGTCGGCGCGTGCGCGCGCACACTGTTGTGAAACGTGTGAAATTGATTTTCCGTCGACGGTAGGCGGGGTTTCACACGCGCGACGGTAAGGTCGCCCCGATGCTCCCGTGTTTACCAACCGTCGATGGCGTTCCTTTTGCATTCCGCGAGACGTTAGGGCCCCTCACGCCCACCCCCTCCGGGAAGAACAATAATTTTCATTTCGCCGCGGCCTTGATAGACCGGCACAAGTGATCGGACGGCATTCCAGAAGTCGCAAGAACGTTGAGCCGTGCCACAGGGCACGCATTTGGTATTATAATACGCCGAGCTTGTTGTGTTGGCAAACGTGCGTTTATTTAGGTCCTGGATGTTTATGCGACTCTGCGAAATATACGCTGCGGAAGGGCGCAGCCGATAACGGGGTCGGAAGTGACCCTAAAGCAGATCGCGCCTGCAATGGACCGTTCGATAGCTTGTTGAAAATTCTTCTTTTTCTTATCATGTTCGAGTGAAAATTCTCAAAAAAATCTGAAATGTGTCAACTATTAGGGTACACGTCTATGAATTTTTTCAGAATTTTTGGCTTCGAAACCGAATTTTTACAAATCGATAAAGTTTCGAAATCGATTTGAAGCCGATTCTTTTTATAGAAGTTATGAAATGACCAATATCTATCTTTTTATTTTTAACGTTTATTTTTTACTTATCTAGTATGCTCGATACCTTCGAATTGTCGAATGCAGAAAATGCAATGAAACGAGACCCGGGCGACCGCAGGTGGCACAATGGCGGCGCCGCGGTCTCCTGTTATTCCTGTTTAGATACGCCCGATGACATAACGCAGACGCTGCAATAAGAGCGCAAAATAATGAGGATAGATAGCAGGACGTGAAACACCTGTTTCCCTATTACCGGTGACATCGGTGTTTTAACGCGTCGCAGTCCGAACGGTGTATAATCAGGCGCCTATCTTTCAAACCTCTCTACACCATCGGCGTAGCCGTAATTGGTTAATATCGGCGGTTAATATTACCGGTCGCCAGGTTAGGTTTGCCCGGCGTAACACGCATTTCGCGTCTCGTTTCCAGCGGCCATATTATCGCAGCCTCCAAGGACGCGCCGCATTTCTTACTTTTCTCGTATGATGCAACCAACGGGCAATGCATGCCCATTTTATCATAGCAAGATGTACTCATCCGGCGGACTCTCTCGCTCGTGGCCGACTATTAAAACCCGGTGTTTACGCAACGATACACCAATGGCCGGCGCGCGCATTCCACTCTTTTACTTAACTCGTGCGCGCGCGCGCGTGTGCGCACACGTGTGCACGACGGAATGCGAATATCATTGTACCAGAAGTCTCTCCGCCGATCCCTTCCCATAAATTCTGCGAGTGCATTATGCGGTTACGTTCACCTGATCCGCGGACGGGTTCCGCCGGGATCTCGGCGGAATCGAACAGATGCGCGAGTTTCAATGAAACGGCCAGAAAGAGAGAGAGAAACGGTACGCGGAGGCTAACGAATGTTTCATCGCCGATCGTAATTTATGCCGGCAAACCGATCGGAATCTTCTTTATACGTACAGGGTGTCCCGAAAATGTCTCGCAATCTAGGAGAGGACGATTCCTGAGGTGATTCGAAACAACTTTTTCCTTTGCGAAAATGCGATACGCGGCTTCGTTCACGAGTTATTAGCGAAAAACTGTGGCCAATGAGAGGCGAGCTCAGATGGCGCGCGGCGACCCGGTCGACGAGCACGCGGAGCTCGGTTCCGCTCATTGGCTCGGCCGTCTCGCGCCAACTGATCTCATTGGTCACCGTTTTTCGCTAATAACTCGTAAACGAAGCCGCGGATTGCATTTTCGCTAAGGAAAAAGTTGCTTCAAATAACCCCAGGAACCTCCCATTTCCGGATTGCGAGACATTTTTGGGACACTCTGTATATATGCTTGTACGAAACTTTCCCCGATGACATCCTCGGCGAACGATTTTCCCCGAGGCTTACCTTGTCGATCGTTGTTGTTCCTCGCAGCTGTTCTAACCTCGATCGATTACGTTACGCCGGGAATAAAATTCTTTTCTTGATCCGAGCGCGGACGATGCGTGTTTCAGGTCCGATTGGAGAGTATAGGAGCCGAAGATATCGTCGATGGAAACCCGAGGCTGATCTTGGGTCTCATCTGGACGATTATCCTGAGGTTCCAGATCCAGGAGATCGAGATCGACGTGGACGAGGAGAACGACAGCAGCGAGAAGAAGTCGGCGAAGGACGCGCTGTTGCTCTGGTGCCAGAGGAAGACTAATGGATACCCTGGCGTCAACATCCAGGACTTCACTGGTACGTTCGAAGAAAGTTATTCGTTTATTTTATTATTAAAATGTTGATTTATTTAAATTTTATTTTTGTTTATTATTTAAACGCATAAATTTATTCATTTAAATTTCATTTCTATTCTTATTATTTATTTAAACGAATAAATTTATTTATTAAATATTATTATTAAATCAATATTATTATTACTATTACTAATTATTACAATATTATTATTATTATTACTATTATTATTATTACTATTTTCAATCAATATTATTTTATAATATTTAATACTAATTATTATATTTTAATATTATTATAAATTTATTTTATTATTTATTTAAATGAATAAATTTATTTATTTAAATTCTCTATATTTACTCTATTTACTTCAACATTAATTATTTCATTATATGTATAGAAAATTATTTATTTTGTCCTAACGTAAACGTTTCTTTTGCGAAGGGTCCTGGAGAAGCGGGNAAGAGAGAGAGAAACGGTACGCGGAGGCTAACGAATGTTTCATCGCCGATCGTAATTTATGCCGGCAAACCGATCGGAATCTTCTTTATACGTACAGGGTGTCCCGAAAATGTCTCGCAATCTAGGAGAGGACGATTCCTGAGGTGATTCGAAACAACTTTTTCCTTTGCGAAAATGCGATACGCGGCTTCGTTCACGAGTTATTAGCGAAAAACTGTGGCCAATGAGAGGCGAGCTCAGATGGCGCGCGGCGACCCGGTCGACGAGCACGCGGAGCTCGGTTCCGCTCATTGGCTCGGCCGTCTCGCGCCAACTGATCTCATTGGTCACCGTTTTTCGCTAATAACTCGTAAACGAAGCCGCGGATTGCATTTTCGCTAAGGAAAAAGTTGCTTCAAATAACCCCAGGAACCTCCCATTTCCGGATTGCGAGACATTTTTGGGACACTCTGTATATATGCTTGTACGAAACTTTCCCCGATGACATCCTCGGCGAACGATTTTCCCCGAGGCTTACCTTGTCGATCGTTGTTGTTCCTCGCAGCTGTTCTAACCTCGATCGATTACGTTACGCCGGGAATAAAATTCTTTTCTTGATCCGAGCGCGGACGATGCGTGTTTCAGGTCCGATTGGAGAGTATAGGAGCCGAAGATATCGTCGATGGAAACCCGAGGCTGATCTTGGGTCTCATCTGGACGATTATCCTGAGGTTCCAGATCCAGGAGATCGAGATCGACGTGGACGAGGAGAACGACAGCAGCGAGAAGAAGTCGGCGAAGGACGCGCTGTTGCTCTGGTGCCAGAGGAAGACTAATGGATACCCTGGCGTCAACATCCAGGACTTCACTGGTACGTTCGAAGAAAGTTATTCGTTTATTTTATTATTAAAATGTTGATTTATTTAAATTTTATTTTTGTTTATTATTTAAACGCATAAATTTATTCATTTAAATTTCATTTCTATTCTTATTATTTATTTAAACGAATAAATTTATTTATTAAATATTATTATTAAATCAATATTATTATTACTATTACTAATTATTACAATATTATTATTATTATTACTATTATTATTATTACTATTTTCAATCAATATTATTTTATAATATTTAATACTAATTATTATATTTTAATATTATTATAAATTTATTTTATTATTTATTTAAATGAATAAATTTATTTATTTAAATTCTCTATATTTACTCTATTTACTTCAACATTAATTATTTCATTATATGTATAGAAAATTATTTATTTTGTCCTAACGTAAACGTTTCTTTTGCGAAGGGTCCTGGAGAAGCGGGTTGGGCTTCAACGCCCTCATCCACGCCCACCGACCAGATTTGGTCACTTGGTCCGAGTTACAACAGAATAAGAACATCGACAACCTTAACTATGCCTTCGACGTCGCCAATTCTGAGCTGGGTATACCGAGGCTGTTGGACGCCGAGGACGTGGACACCGCGAGGCCGGACGAGAAGTCCATCATCACCTACGTCGCCTCGTATTATCACACGTTCGCCCGGATGAAGAACGAGATCAAGAGCGGCAAGAGAATCGCTAACGTATGCAAATCCTTCTTTATTTCGTTTCTTTTCTTTCATTTCTCTTGTTCACGACCTTGAGCGACCTTGAACAACGCTTGCCAATGTGTTCGCAGATCGTTGGGCAAATGATGGAGGCCGACAAGATGAAGATCCATTACGAGAAGCTGACCACCGATCTGCTCGAGTGGATCAAGATGAAGATAGGGGTGCTGGAGAGCCGCAGCTTTCCAAACTCTCTGGAGGGCATACAGCGGGAGCTTCTGGCTTTCAAGCAGTACAGAACGGTGGAGAAGCCGCCGAAATACAAGGAGAGATCGGAGATTGAGGCTCTGTATTTTCACATAAACACTCAATTGAAGTCGTTGAACCAGCCTGCGTTCACACCCCAGGAGGGTCAGCTGGTGCACGACATCGAGAGGAACTGGGTGGAGCTGGAGCGGGCGGAGCATCGCCGAGAGGTTGCCCTTAGAACTGAACTTCTGAGGCAGGAGAGGCTAGAACAATTGAATTACAAATTCGAGAGGAAGAGCGTACTGCGAGAGGGTTACCTGAAGGAGATGATTCAGGTGTTAACGGACCCCAGGTACGGCAGCAATCTAGCCCAGGTGGACGCCACGGTTAAGAAGCACGAAGCGATCAGCGCGGACATACTAGCTAGAGAAGAACGTTTCCACGATTTGACGAACATGTCCGAAGAGTTGGTTAGAGAGAATTACCACGGTATGGAGAGGGTTCAAGTCAGGGAGCAGGAGGTGCTGCAGAAGTGGAAGGAGCTTCTTGCTCTTCTGGACCATCACAAATCTAATCTGGTTGCTCTAAGCTCTTTGATGAGTCTGATGCGGGAGATCGACACGACCTTAGCTTCCATTCAGGAGCTGCAGCTCTACTTCCAAAGCACCGACGTGGGTCCACATTTGCTGGGAGTCGAGGACCTGCTGCAGAAACATAGCTTGCAGGAGCTCCAGGTCACAGCTTTGGGCGAGACGCAAAGGAGACTCGGTAGACAGGCAGCCCAACACCTGTCTCAGCCGCAGAGTAAGGAAGTTCCTTTGCTGCAACAGAAGCTGGAGATGCTGAACCGAGCGTACGACGAGCTGGTGGAGTACAGCAAGGAGCGTAAGGCTCGCCTGGAGGACGCCAGGAACTTCTTCCACTTCCTGCAGGACCACGAGGACGAGGAGTCTTGGCTGATCGAGAAGCAGAGAATCTGTAAAGCCGGAATCTCGGCGAAAGATTTGCGGGCTGTCATCTCCCTGCAGCAGAAACACAAAGCCCTGCAGGATGAGATGAAAGTACGGAGGCCGAAGTCTGAGCAGCTCTGCGATGCTGGGAGAAAGCTGATCGCTGACAGCCATCCATCCTCTTTAGAGATTCAGAATCGCATCGACTCGTTGCAAGAACATTGGAAGGTTCTCGAAGAGCTGGCAGCTCTGAGGAAGAAACAGTTGGACGACGCGGCCGAAGCTTTCCAGTTTTATGCTGACGCCAATGAGGCTGACTCCTGGATGAACGAGAAGATGGCTCTCGTGGCTTCTGAAGATTACGGTGTCGATGAACCGAGTGCGCAGGCGCTTCTTCAGAGGCACAAGGACCTGGAGGGTGAACTGAACGCGTACAAGGGCGACGTGCAGTCGTTGAACATGCAGGCTGAGAAGCTAATCAAGTGCGGTATATCGACCCTCGAATTGTCGGCGGATCCTGAACCCGTTGCGGAACTGGAGCAGGAAGAATGGAGCAAGGAGATAAGGCTGGTGCCTCAAGATGAATGGGTTGACGAAGTGGTCGAGCGGATGGAACCGAGAACGGTCCTCGAAGACAGACTGGTACCGCAGGTGAAGAGTTTGTATCCATTCAGTGGGCAGGGTATGCACATGGTAAAAGGTGAGACAATGTTCTTGCTGAACAAGACCAACCCGGATTGGTGGAGTGTCAGAAAAGCTGACGGTAGCGACGGGTTCGTACCAGCAAACTATGTTCGTGAGGTTGAACCCAAGGTGATACAAGTCCAGGTGAGGAGGCCGGAGAAGGTCAGGGTCACGCAGAGGGTAAAGAAGACGAAGATGGTGAAGCAAATGGTGCCGGTCAGGCGGGTGAAATCCATCAAATCTACGGTGAAACCGATCAAGAGGAAGGCTGCCAATGACGGCGACAGCGTGGAGAAGCGGCAGAAGAAGATCAATGACACTTACAGCGAGCTGCAGGAGTTGGCAGTGAAGCGGCACGCGCTATTAGAGGACGCAATACGGTTGTATGGTTTCTATCGCGAGTGCGACGACTTTGAGAAGTGGATCAAGGACAAAGAGAAGATGCTAAGGGCCGACGATCCTCGTGACAACGTGGAGACCGCGAAGAGGAAGTACGAGAAGTTCCTCACCGACTTATCAGCCTCTGGTAAACGTGTTGAAGCTATTGACGCCGCTGTGGACGAGTTTGTCAGACAAGGTCACAGTCAATTGGACAAGGTCAAGGCTAGACAGAAACATATTCATCAACTTTGGGATCATTTGAATTGGAGCAAGGCGCAGAAGGAGAAAAGTCTGGAGGGCGCTTCCAGCGTGGAGCTGTTTAACAGGACCTGTGACGAAGCCCATGATTGGATGCTGGAGAAGATTACCCAGTTGGACACTGCAGAACTGGGTCCCGACTTGAAGACAGTCCAAGCTCTGCAGAGGAGACATCAGCATCTGGAGAGGGAGCTAGCACCGGTCGAAGAGAAGGTCAGAAAAGTAAACCTGTTGGCAAACAGCGTGAAGAGCTCTTATCCTCACGAACTGAACAACGTGAACGCAAGGCAAAATGAGATCAAGGAATTGTGGAACCAGGTCCAAACAAAAGCTAAGGAACGTAGGTCCAGGTTGGAAGACGCAGTTGGCCAGCAGATTTTCATGAATAGTTCAAAGAACCTAATTAACTGGGCTGCAGACGTGCAAGAGACGATGAAGGTGGAGGAGCCGGTCAGGGATGTGGCAACTGCTGAGCAACTCCGAAAACAGCACATGGAGCTTGGGGAAGAGATAAAAACACGCGAAGACGAGTAAGAAAGATTTTCTGTATTTTTTGAACTCGTGTTCTTGTTTTTCAATTCTGTTTGTCTCTCTCTCTCTCTCTAGGTTCAGAGAGGTCGAGGAACTTGGAAACCAACTGCTACATCGTAATCCAGCTCTGGTAGACGTTAGCGAACGTTTGGATAAATTGTACGGTCTGTACCAAGCCGTGACGTCAGACTGGATCGCCAAAGAGGCCCGGCTTCAGCAATGCCTGGAGCTGCAACAATTTAACCGCGAAGCGGATCAAATTGAAGCTACCACCAGTGCTCACGAAGCGTTCCTGGAATTCACTGACTTGGGAGAGTCCCTGGACGACGTGGAAGCGTTGCTAAAGCAACACGAGAAGTTTGAGAACACTCTCCAAGCGCAGGACGATAGGTTGAAAGCATTCAGCGACATGGCCGACAAGCTAATTGCTCAGAATCATTATGATCAAGATTAGTAAGTGTATATCGATGATGACTTGTGCGAGTTCGAAGCATTAAAGAAATTTTAATCCGATCGTTAACCTTTTGTAGCATCAACGAGAGGAGGAATCAGGTCTTGGCAAGGAGAATGGCGGTCAAGGACGCTGCGCAGCGTCGCCAAGCTGCACTGAAGGCCTCGGAGCACTATCAACAGTTCTCAGCAGAAGTGGACGACTTACGAGATTGGCTAGGTGACAAAATGAAAACCGCGTCCGACGAAAGCTATCGCGATTTGAATAATCTGGAACGAAAGCTCCAGAAGCACGAGGCTTTTGAGAGGGAACTGAGGGCTAACGAGGGGCAATTGAGGGCTGTGAACAAAGCTGGGAAAGCTTTGATATCCGAGGAGAATTATAGATCGGACGATGTGGGTGAAACGCTGAAAGAGCTGAACGATCAATGGGATAGATTGGTAGCATTGTCTTTAGAGAAGGGTCGTAGGCTGAGGCAAGCTGCTTCTCAGCACGGCTACAACCGAACGATGGAAGATGCTCGCTTGAAGCTGGAGGAAATAGAAAACTGTTTGCAGAGCAAACAGGTTGGAGTCGATCTTAGAAGTTGCAAGGAGTTGCTGAAGAAACATCAGACTCTGGAGAGTGATATGTGCCAATGGGAGCAAAAGGTGGACGATCTAGTCGCAATGGGTGAAGAAATGGCCCATGAAGGACACTTCGATGCTGCTAATATCTTGAAGACTAGCCAAGCGACTCAAAGAAAGTACGCATCACGCATCGATAAATAACACAAATTATGTTATAATATATTATATATATATATATATATAATTATAATTATGTTATCGAGTTGTTTAATTTATTTTTGCTTTGCAGGTTCCGTAGCTTGAAAGAGCCAGCCAAGAAAAGGCGAGAAGCGCTGGAAGAAAGCTTGCGATTCCACAAGTTTGGCTTCGAATTGGACGCCGAGCTGCAATGGATAAAGGATCATCTTCCACAGGCGTCTTCGACCACGCTTGGACAGAATCTACATCAAGCGCAGACCTTGCACAAGAAGCACAAAAAGCTCGAGGCCGAGATTGCTGGACATCAACCAATGATCGACAAGACTTTAGCTTCCGGACAAACGTTGATCGATCAAATCCATCCAGAGAAGAAAAAGGTAACACAAGTCACGCTACAGACGTGTGTGCAAATGTTTTCAGATCGGTACAGAATGTAATATGATTACACGCAGTATTTGAAATAAAGGTTTACAATTTTTGCACAGTTGGGACTGTTAGGAGAATATTGGGTATGCAGAGGTAAGGTCAGCACAGGTGCATGGATGATGTTGTTTTGTTTAACGTGATAACATAACTAAGAAGTCTTTAACAGGATTTTTTTTTTCATTTAATTCAAACGCCGAAGAGCCCAACCATATTTTTTGGAAAGAAGTATAAGAAACTTCCGGACGCATGCATGTGCTTGTCTTACATCGTTTAGACAGAAATCATAATCGATTCGTACACTGTAATTAGTGAAATTTTATTTAGTGCAACTAATGTATATATCTTTCATCATAGTTGTATAATTTCGTCTAAGTGTTTTGCATTTGTTTTTTGGTCTTTTAATCAAATAATGTGTAATGCATAGATCCGAGAACTATGCGATGAACTGGACGATGCTTGGAGGGACCTCCAAGAAAAAGCGGGAGAAAGAAGCAAGGCTTTGGATCTCTCTTTGAAGGCGCAAGAGTTCTTCTTCGAAGCAGGCGAAGTCGAAAGTTGGCTGAACGAGAAGAATGATGTTTTAAGTTCGACGGACTATGGTAGAGATCGTGACGCAGCTACGAAATTGTTGACGAAGCACAAGGTATAATTAAAGAAAGCATATTCTTCATGGACATGATCGGTGTGTCTACGTAAATATTTCTATTATTTTTAGGCTGTTGAACTGGAATTGGACACCTACAACGGCATAGTGACGGAAATGGGGCACACAGCCACCGCCATGATCAATGCGAAACACCCTGACAGCAAGGCAATAGGAAACAAACAACAAGCAATAGCACAGCAAATGAGGGCGCTGCAGAGGCTAGCTACAGTGCGACAACAACGGTTAATGGAGAGCATGTATCGCCACGAATATTTCTTGGAAAGCAGGGAACTAGAACAGTGGATCAAGGAACAAGAACAAGCAGCTGCATCCGAAGACTATGGTCAAGATTACGAACACTTGCTGATATTGCAGGCAAAGTTCAACGACTTCAAGCACAGAATAGAAGCTGGCTCTGAGAGATTCAACCAGTGCGAGGAACTGGCTAGAAAGCTCATTGCGAATGAGAGCCCTTACATTCAAGATATCGAGAAGAGACAGGAACAATTAGGGTAAGCCACAAGGTCATGGTTATTTGGATTTAATCGAAGACTTCTTTTACGAACTTTCACACCTTGGGGTGCATGTAGAATTTTTAATTAGGGCTCTAGTAAACTGGCACCTAATGTTAATAGATTCATTGAGCATAATTGGGTAATAGAATCGTCTGGATAGAAGTGTTGAAGTTGTTAAACGAATGGAAGAAACACGGGACGGTGATAGATTTTTCGGCGTAATGATAATGGTGTTGGGTCACTAACTATCTTTTGCACATATATTTAATGTAGAGCCGACGACGATGATCCTGTAAGCCAAGTGCGGAAGCAACACAATGCGATAATGTAAGTAAACGCATTGGTAGTTTCATATAGGCTTATTCTAATGGTTGTTGCAAGTGTGGCTTTTCTCGTGTTTCTAAACCGACGCGAACAGTGTGCTAACACTAATGTTAATTATACATTTATTAGGGAGTCTTGGCAACATCTTCTTGGTCTCATTCGAAATCGCGAGCAAAGGTTGCAAGCAGCAGGGGAGATCCACAGATTCCATCGCGACGTTGCCGAAGCTTTGTCCCGTATTCAAGAGAAGGAAGCAGCGCTGCCAGAAGATTTGGGACGCGATCTAAACTCTGTCCTGGCCCTGATCAGGCGTCACGAGGGTTTCGAGAACGACCTGGTCGCTTTGGAAGCGCAACTGCAGGTTCTGGTGGAGGATGCATCAAGGCTGCAAGCACACTATCCGGGGAACAACGCTGTGCACATCGATCAGCAGCAGCAGATCGTTGTTGCCCAATGGGACGAACTGAAGGAGAGGTCTGCTCACAGAAGAGATCAGTTGCAAGCCAGCTGCGACTTGCAACGTTTCTTGACTCAGGTCAGAGATTTGATGAACTGGGCGGCAGGACTGCGTGCCACGATGTCAACCGAGGAGAAAGTGAGAGACGCGGCGAGCGCTCAGATCCTGAAGGCCGAGCACGAAGCCTTGAAGGGGGAGATAGAGGCGAGAGAAGATAGTTTCAGTTCTGTCCTCGATCTCGGAGAAGCCATGGTTCAAACTGGCCACTACGCTGCCTTGGAGGTCGAGGAGAAGTGTAACCAACTGCTCGACGAAAGACAGAAACTGCACACTTCCTGGCAACAGAAGAAGATTCATCTGGATCAGCTGATAGACCTGCATTTCTTCCTGCGAGACGCCAAGCAGCTGGACAATCTGTCGACCACTCAGGAAGCTGCACTGAGCGGAGACAACTTCGGGGACTCTGTGGAGGAGGTGGACGCGCAGGTGAAGAAGCACAACGAATTCGAAAAACTTCTGGTGACCCAGGAAGAGAAGCTGTCAGCTCTTCAAGAACATGGAGATAAATTGTTGGATCAGAATCACTTCGATTCTCCAACAATTGAGAAGAGATTGAGCGAAGTGGTGCAGAGGCGTGCAAGGATTCGAAATCTATGCGATGTCAGACGAAGAAGACTGGAGGCAGGTTTGCTGCACGCACAGTTCGTCAGAGACGTGGCCGAAGCGGAGTCCTGGATCGGTGAGAAGCAGAAGAAATTGGAAGCGGAGGCGTCCAAAGGTGAAGTGTCCAGTTTGGAGGACAAGATCAAGAAGTTGCAGAAACATCAAGCGTTCCAGGCCGAGCTGGCCGCGAATCAGAGCAGAATCGAAGAAATCAAAGCTAAAGGAGAAATTTTGCTGGCCCAACAGCATCCGGCCAGCGCCGAAATTCAGGAGCAGCTGGACCACTTGCACGCTTCTTGGCGAAAGTTGTTGTTCGAGTCCGGGAACCGTGGCAGAGGCTTGGAAGAGGCGCAGGACATCCTCGAGTTCAACAACCAGGTGGAGAAGATCGAAGCCTGGATCAGAGATAAGGAAATGATGGTGCAAGCTGGCGATACTGGAAAGGATTATGAGCATTGTTTGAGCTTGCAGAGGAAGCTGGACGACGTGGACAGCGACATGAGAGTGGACGACTCTAGAATAAAAACTATCAACGCTTTAGCGGATAAATTAATTAAGCAGGGCAGGGACAATGAATCGAAAGCGATTCATCAACGCAGGGATAACTTCAATAATAAATGGAAGGGCCTGCAGGGAGCGCTAAGTGCCTATAGGGAGACGTTAGCCGGTGCGTTGGAAATACACTTGTTCAATAGAGACATAGACGATACGAGCCAGAGAGTGATCGAGAAATCTGTTGCCATGAACACGTCGGACGTAGGGAAAGATCTGCCGGCTGTCGAACACTTGCAGAGGAAACAGGAGACCATGGAGAGAGATATGACTGCCATCGAAGGAAAGTTGAAGGAGCACAAAGCAGAGGCTAGGGAATTGTCGAAGAAATACCCGGACAAAGCGCCACAAATCAATGGAATATTGTCGGAGTTGCAGGCCAACTGGGACGACTTGCAACGATTCACCCAGCATCGTCGCGAAGCGTTGAACCAGGCTTACACGTTGCACAAATTCCAAGCTGACCTGCACGAATTGGAGCTCTGGGTGGCGGACACGATAAAACGCATGGACGAGTCTGATCCGCCGACTACGATATCCGAGGCCGAAGCTCTGTTGGAACTTCATCAAGAAAGGAAAGCTGAGATCGACGGAAGACAGGATACTTTTAAAGCCTTGAAAGAACATGGTCAGAAGCTTCTTGCCATTAACGAGGACGTGAAGGGGAACCTCGAACATCTTGAAGAACTCAGGGAGGGACTGGTCAGTGCTTGGGAAAATAGGAGGCAGAAGTTGACGCAAGCACATCAGTTGCAATTATTCAAGGAGCAGGTAGGCGGTATTCTAAAATAATTCTTACAATTAGTGTAAATAGATTTGTGTTTATCATGTCGATTGTTTTAGGCTGATCAAGCCGACAGCTGGCTAGCCACGAAGGAAGCATTTCTCAACAACGACGACCTTGGCGAATCTTTATCCGGCGTCGAAGCGCTCTTGCGAAAGCACGAAGAGTTCGAGAAGATGTTGGTGTCGCAGATGGGACGCATCGACGAGCTGGAAAAATTCGCGAACGAAATCTTGTCCAAAGACCATGCTGACGCAGGTATTATTAAGCGGAGGTTGGTATCCGTCTGTGCCAGAAGAGACAGGCTGCAGAACAGCTCGAGAGCAAGGAGGAAGAAGTTGATGGAGAGCCATCACCTGCATCAGTTCCTGAGAAATATCTACGAGGTCAAAGGCTGGCTGCATCAAAAACAACAGGTGGCCAGTGACGAGAATTACAGGGACTCGTCGAACTTGCAAAGCAAGATTCAAAAACATGCTGCGTTTGAGAGTGAACTGATGGCGAACAAAGGGAGAGTCGCTGCCGTTGTTGGCGAAGGTGAAGCTCTGATCGAGGAGAATCACTATGCTTCGGACAGTATCCAAGAACGTTTGGACGAACTGGAGGCAGAATGGCGTCATCTCCAAGAGACTAGCGAGCTCAAGAAGAACAGATTGACCGACGCCTACCAAGCTCTATTGTTTGGCCGTACTTTAGACGAGTTTGAGACATGGATGGACGAAGTGGAAACTCAATTGCAGTCGGAGGATCACGGGAAAGACCTGTCGAGCGTAGCCAATTTATTGAAGAGACACACCAATTTAGAGAACGATATCCTGGGTCACAGCGATGGCTGCGAAACGATCAAAGACACGGCAGCTAGTTTCCAGAAATCGAATCATTTCATGTGCGACGAGATCCAAGAGAGAGCAATGGTTACTATAAACAGGTACAACAGCTTGCAAGAACCAATGCAGATACGAAGAGACAATCTAGAAGATGCGAAGTTGTTGCATCAGTTTTCAAGGGACGTCGAGGATGAAATGCATTGGCTGTCGGAGAAGGAGCCTTTGGCGGCTAGCAATGACTTGGGTAGTTCCCTGACGACGGTACAGAGACTGCAGAAGAAGCATCACTCTTTGGAAGCTGAATTAATATCCAGGGAACCCGTGGTTACTTCTTTGGTCAGCAGAGCGAACGTCATGGTGAGAAGCGGGCATTTTGCATCGGAGAAGATTGAGAAACTGTCGCACGAGTTGCAAGAGAAACTGTCGCATCTCAGGGATCTAGCCAGCGTTCGCAAATTGCGTCTGCTGGACGCTGTCGAGTCGCAAATGGTAATTAATTATAAATTAATTGTATCCATCGGAGACATTTTCTTTTATATTGACTCTCTGTACTTCTAGTTCTACGCTGAAGCTGCCGAGACCGAGCAATGGATCAAAGAAAAATATCCTCAGTTGACGTCAACGGATTACGGGAAGGACGAAGACTCTGTTCAGTCTTTGTTGAAAAAATTGGAGGAGATCGAGCGAGACCTCCTCGGCTTCGAGAAGAACATTGGCAACTTGAGGAAACTGTCGCATGGGCTGATCGAGAGGCATCACTTCGACAGCAAGAACATCACTCAGAAGCAGACGGAGATCGAGCAGAAGTTCAAAGAACTGCAGAAGCTCAAAGAATATAGGTTCCAAAGACTCAGAGAGAGTGAAAAGTTCTTCAAGTTCGTTCGACAAGCGGACGAAGTCATCGAATGGATTGGAGATCAGACAACAGTAAGATTTTTATTCTTATCCGTCGTATATGACCTATAAAAGCAACGCCAATGTATTTTCTGCTGTCTTAGGTAGCAGCTTCGGAGGATTACGGTCGCGATGTGGAACACGTTGAGCTTCTGATCCAGACGTTTGACAATTTCCTAGCCGGTTTGACGACTAGCGAAGGTCGCGTGTCCGCAATACTGGAAAAGGGCCAGCAATTAATAGAAGAGAACAATCCGGAGAAGAGTAAAATCCTGATGAAGATCGAAGAAACGAAACAGCAATGGGAAGACATTAAGGAATTGGCGCATGCACGGCAAGATGCGTTGGCGGGTGCAAAACAGGTGCACATGTTCGATAGAACCGCGGATGAAACAATCTCGTGGATTCAGGAGAAGGAAACGGCTCTTAGCTCTGACGGCTACGGTCACGATTTGGAGACTATACAGGCTTTGGTTCGGAAACACCAAGGGTTTGAAACGGATTTAGGTGCAGTTAAGGAACAGGTACAACTTCGCACCAATTTCGATCGAATTCCAATAATAAATGGCACGAAGTAACGACGATTATTTGTTTCCAGGTGGAGTTGTTAATGGAAGAGGCTTCGAGATTGATAGAACTGTTCCCGGATGCTCGTACTCATATAGATGTGAAACACCAAGAAGCTGAAGCAGCCTGGAACGAGCTGCTAGAGAAGGCTGCTCAGAGAAGAAGCAAACTATCCCAAGCGGAGCAGCTGCAATCCTATCTAGGCGAGTATAGAGACTTAATGTCCTGGATCAACGAGATGGTAGCCAAGGTTACCGCTCCAGAGCTGGCTCGCGACGTGCCAGGGGCCGAAGCTCTGATATCCAGACACAGCGAATACAAGACGGAGATCGAGACTCGAAACGAGGCGTTCGACAAGTTCTACAAAACTGGGCAAGAGTTGATAGAGCAAGGCCACTTCTTGGCAAAGGAGATCGAGGACAAGGTGTCCGTCTTGCAGCACAGACAACAGTTCCTCAAGGACACTTGGGAACAAAGGAGACGTATATACGAGCAGAACTTGGACACGCAACTGTTCAAACGGGAAGCTGAGACGTTGGAAAACTGGATAGTCAGCAGAGAGCCTATGCTGCACGATGAAACGTTAGGCGAGAGTATTCCACAGGTGGAGGAATTGATAAGAAAACACGAAGATTTCGAGAAGACTATCGCAGCTCAGGAAGACAGGTTTAGTGCTCTCAGGCGGATAACTATGTTGGAGAAGGCATTCCAAAAGCAACAGGAGGCTGAAATGGCGGCGAGGCAGGCGGAGAAAGAGAGGATAGAGCGAGCACGCCTTGAAGAGAGGAAACGCAAGGAAGTGCAGAGGATAACCGAAGAAAGGAAGCGCGAAGAGGAACGAAGAAGACTGCTGGATAGTCCGCATCGCACTGTTCACGATGAAATTAACGGCACGACCGAGGAGCATGAGTCTATCAACAAACTGTCCCCGTTAAAAACTTCCATTACCCCTGAGAACTTGGACGTGACTCCGAATCAAAAAGCACATGGCATTTCTCACGTCTTTGGCGAGAAGCTAAGGAGAACGGCTCCCGATATCAAGAGGGCCGAGAGCATGAAGGTCGACACCAAGAAACCCAGAAGAACGCCTAGCTTCACAACGAGGAGACGGACTCAAAGCTTCAGGAAGCTTCAACGGATGGAAAACATGGACACCTTGCCACCGGTGGAGATCCAGGGTTTACTAGAAAGGAAGCACGAACTGCAAAGCGCTGGCAAGAAGGCAGCCGTGAGATCCTGGAAACAGTATTACACAGTACTGTGCGGTCAACTGCTGTGCTTCTTCAAGGATATAGAGGATTTCTCGCTGAGCAAGGCTGCGACCGCTCCTATCACCATCTTCAACGCCATATGCGAGAAAGCGGACGACTATACTAAAAAGAAGAACGTGTTCAGGTTGAAGTGTACAGACGGTTCCGAATTCCTGTTCCTTGCACCTAGTCAGCAAGAGATGGAAGACTGGGTCAACAAGATATCGTTCCACGCCAAATTACCCCCTAGCCTTCAGCTTCTCAGCTACGACGAGTCCCAGAAGGAGGGTTTAGAAAGACTACAGAACGCTGATGCGGCTGAACACGCCGACGACAATTTATCCACCGGAAGCAGTCGTGCTTCCACCCCGGAACTTGAACGAAAGAACTCTGTGATCAGACGCGACATGCCTAATCAACATTCCCCCAGTAGCGTTCAGATCGAGTTCCTTCAGATGCACAGGCAGAATCAACAGAGACGCGATCCTCAGGGCAACAATGAGTTCATGGTGTCGCAAAGAACGGAGCCACCCCAGACTCAGACAGAATTCCTGCAGATGCATCGGCAGCAACAGTTGCTTGCCCAGCAGCAACAACAACTGATACAGCAGGAACAATTGGCCAGCCAGAAAGAACAGTACCAACCTAATTCAGGGGACAAACCTCCGATTCCACCGAGGGGAGCACCTCCGCCCATTCCAGTACGGTCACCGAGCACCGAACTTCTACAGCAATTCAGACAATACGGTACCCCATTAGGATTTTGCTTTTAGATCATTTTATAGAATGCCTCGTCGGATTATAAAACAAACATTATTAACGTTTAACAGAACCGGAGCACGTGCAGGGGAGGCCGAGCTTCTACCAACAACGCAGTGCTACGTTGAACCACAATGGATCCAGTCAGTACCCTCCGAATCAAACTTGGCAGAGGCAGAGCAGCGTGGATTTGCCGACGCAACATCAAGGTATCGATCCTGAGGATAACATTGTGAATACGTGTGTCTGTGTAAACGATCCTCTTCCATATAAAAATTCATCATTATTTTATAGAATTAGCACCTCCCTTGCCATCGACCGCTCCCCCGCCAACCAGAATGGCTCAGTGGGGTGCCCCTCATGATCCTGGTTAGTCGTTGTCAACTGTTTGTGAACTGCCTGTAATTCTTCTTGCATGTTATACCTCACCTTCCAACCTGTTTTATCTACACTCTCTGTTTACCCTGATTTTGCCCTTATTTTATCTTTGCATTAACATACACATTTTTCTTCTTATTCTCATGGTACATAGCAGTTTATTGTTCACTGCGAACCTTGCTTCCACTTATGCACACGAACAGACCAATGCGCAGAAAGAATAAACAATGTTTTTTGTTACAGCCTATGGAAATGTCCCTGTAAATACCAGACAGGTAATTGAATTTTGTGTCGTTACAGCGTTCTCTCTCTACCTCTTACTTTCCCTCTCCATGCGTTATTCAAAGCACTCGTTCAAATTTTTAGGAATATTCTGAACATCTTCCTTTCGTTTTAGGGTATGCAGCAGAATAATTCTTTTACCGGTAGGCCAGTTTCTTTGCCGCCGTACGTGGCACCTCCTGCTGTGCCACAAAACCCACAGAACGTCACGGTCATGGACGGAAGAAGAGCTAGCGAGAGTGGATCGGAAAGCGAACACAGCGTGGGCAGCAATCGCAAGGACAGGGATTACAAGAGGAGTTCTGTATTGAGCAATCTGTTCGGCAGACGCAAGAAACCGTCTCAGTCGTAATCAGAGTTTTCGCGGACCATGTGAACGGCACGAGAGTCATTGTCAAAGGAACGTTGACAGACGACAAGTAGTTCCTTTAAAGAGATTAGGAAGGACGTGTGTATAGGTTATCATTGCTATATACTACATTAACATCCCTTGTAAATTATTTTTATGTACTATACAAGTTTAACGCTGAGTAGAGATTTATTATTCGCGTTATCTGATAACGCGATGTATGTTGAGTTGATCATATAAGTTAAAATATATATACAATTATTGATGGAAGAAATAGTTGCAACGGAAGAAGAAATCATTTTCAATGGATCTTAGATACTGAGCACCTCTGTTTTTTTTTATACATACTGATAACTTCTAAGAAGTTTTGTAACTTGTTCAGCACAGTTAATGAATTCTTTGCAATTATAGATAGAGATTTATCTATGTATACACCCGTATGAACGAAGGTTCCAGAGATGTTGTTCTGCGAGGGGAGTCCATTGTTTGGTGAAGTTTTTATAATCCTTCGGCATGAAAGGAATCGGCGATGCAACATATGGATGATTTCACGACGTTGATAGATGCAGAAATTTCATGCTAACAAAAAGAATCATTGATCGAAATTTATTTAAAGTGTACCTGACTTTAATGAAATGTACGCGGAAGAAAACAGGCAGACACGTGTGCAACGTAACGTTTAAGTTGTAGATTTCGTAATATATGTTGCAAATATATTATATATTTGAGAATGCCTGTTCCGGGACCAATGATCGTTAAATGTTTGTTAAGAGACCAGAGATATGTGTATACGTATCATATTTTTGAAAGAAAACGGGAAATTATGTTCTTAAAGCATGATCGATTATTCTTCATCTTTCTTTTTCTTTTTTCTTTTGTAACGAACACTATATCCGAATAGTGTATTTAATACTGCATCAAGTATAATTATTATGTAGGCTTGTGTCAGTGCGTATCTTGTAGTTACATGGTACTCCTTTCCGTGCTGAGGAGCCGATACACAAGAACTAAACGAACAGATCGAATGAATAAATAGAGAAATAAATATAAAAATCACTTGGAACTATATATTCTTCGTGAACCTGGCGCCTTTATTCGTGTCTCGATACGCAAATACACTGAAGTAATCTTGACGCTTCCTCGTCATGAATTTACACCTGGTGCATTCATAAATTATTGCACGGATCTTGATATCAACACGGCGACAATTTATAGCGTTACAAATTCCATCGACTCTTACCTCCTACAATTACATATATACACGTTTAACAGCACTGTCAGCCATAAAACACTGAAACACTTCCAAGAACAATTTTCAATATTAATAAGACTCCAACGAACATAAACAAAAGTCCTATATTACAAAAGAGACATCGACAAACGAGATCAGCTAACGAACACTAGAAACTATTAGCCGCGGTGCTTGAAAAGAAACTGAAATGAAAACGGTCGGTAGACAACAATAAATAGTCCATTTTATCACATTCCCTTGATTCTTTGGAGAGCACTCGGCCCTTCTCGAGTCCGGATATTCAGGAATGGCAGGGTGCGAACGATGCCCCGGCGGACGCGAAACAACGTCTCGCAAAGCGTGTTCGAACATTGTTCTCGTTGCATCGTACTTTGGCGAACGACCTGAACGGTGCCCGATCGAACACCGGCGCGAAAGCACGGTGAAACCGTCGGTCACAGATGACCGTCACGGCGTCGAGCACGTTAACAGTTACACAATGGTCGGCGGTTGGAGAACAGCTGGCGCACGCCTGACTTTCAATGCTTCTGGACTCATAGCGCGCACCTGCTTGGTGATCTGATCATAGTCATACGTGACAGCGAGGCCGCCCTCCGGGCTGGTTTTCCTCCCGTATACCTTGCTCTGAGACCCATTGTTCACGGTCTTCTGTCTCTCGGCGGTCCCCGTGTTCGTGTAGAACGCGTCGGCCGCGATGCTACCTTCCTCCTCCTCCCTGCGATAGCGTCGGCTCTTCATCCTCAGCACACCGTACACCACTATCGATATCAGCAACAAGAGGAACAGCAAACCAACCGCGGCCGCCGCTGCTATCACCCTCATCTCCGTTGGGTCCCGGATCACCAGCTTCACGTTCGTCGAATCTCTGCCCTTCTCGCTCTCCACCAGCAGAGTGTACACCCTGGCGTCCTCCTTCCGAAGGTCCTTGATCACCAGCTTCGCCCAGTAACAATTCGTCACCATCTCGTCCTCCGAGATGTGCTCCAGCGGCAGAGCTTCGTACTTCGGCTGGATGCTCTCGCCTGGACGAAAGGGTATTATTAGACTATTAGAATAGACTATTAGGCAAGGATGTTCGCCAAAGTCTCGCCCGGTCGATTCATTCATTCATTCATACCTGCTCTGATGTGCGAGCTGCCCCATTGCCAGGCGACGATTTTAGGCGGCGGTCTCGAGCAGAACCTGGATTTCAGAATATGCTCGGACTCGCCGGCCCAGCCGAGGGACTCGTAGAAGCCTTTCCCTCCGGTCGAAGGTCTGACTTGTATCTCCGGAGGGCCGGTCACGTGGAGGACATAGCGGAACTCGCTGGGCATCTCCCGTCTCACACCGTTGATGACATTGAAGGCCACGCAGCGATACTCGCCCTCGTCGGACCACATCACGTTCTCCAAGCGTAATCGTTTCCCCCCGTCCTTGTTCTGAAGAGGATTTTCGATGGTCTCCGTGACACCGCCGCGCAGGTGTATCCACCTGTGCTGGGCAGGGGGGTTGGCGTCGAAGTCCTCGCAGAGGAACGGCTCCAAGTTCGAACTCAAAAGAGTCGTCTCCTCGAACGTCCGCGCGGTCTTGTTCTCGGTGTTCTCCTCCTTCAGGACCGGGCCGTCTGAATCGAGAGAGAACGAGAATTCAGCGAGGGCAACTCTAAACGCTCGGTAGAAAGCGGTAAACGGTGATCTAAAGAGGGTAGCGAAATCGGTGGCGGTTCGGCAGCGAAATCAGGTTAATATACAGACTCGACTCGTAGCTCTTTGGAATCAAATGGAAACTCCTGGGCAAATTGACGTCTTTATCCCCGAACCCCCTTGGCCGATTTCCCATTGCAACGGCAAAAAGTAGGCGTCACGGTAAAAGTCTACGAACATTGTACGTCCAGCCTGTAGTTAGCGGGAGCGCTTTCACCGATAACGTTGGCCGCCTTGCAAGAGTAGAGACCGGCGTCGTTTCTCTTGACCGGCTCGAATCTGAGCTCGGAGCCAGTCCCGGTGCCGTTCTGCTGCGTTCTGTTTAACATCAGCGATACGACGTTGTTGCCCGTCACACCGATGGGAGCTGAATCCTTGAACCACTTGATCGTTCCGCTGGGATTGGCATCCGCGAAGCATTTCAGGCTCATAAAGCTCGCCGAGTCCTCGAGGGCCGCGACCAGCAACCGCGGCTTCGTCTCGAGCCGCACCTCCGGCGAATCTGAAATTCGTCGACACTGTTAGAACCTGCAGCGGGCCCCGTGCCCCGTAGTTTTTTACGGGCTCCCCCCCTAAGTCGGTAATTGCGAGTCGTAAACTGGAAATAAGTCTCTCTCTCTCTCTCGTTTCTCCACTACCGGCAACAAGGGGAGACTCGATCGGACCATTGAAACGTCTCGAATACCGCGCGCGGCCGTCGTTTTGTTAGAGAAACGCCAATTTGTTGTTTACGTTTTCGTTCGGCTCGGTCGAATTTACGAGACGAGAGCGATGCGCACGGCTCGCTCACGAAAACGGAGGAAACGCGACTCTCTCTCTCTCTCTCTCTTTCTCTCTCTCTAGAATCCTCTTTTTAGCCGTGAATTGCAAATTCCGATCGCTAGCGGCGTTTCAATGGACCTTTCGCTACGTTATACAAATCCCAGATATACATACAATGCACGTCCAGCCGTGTTTCCGCGGACGTTGGAACGATACTGGACGGATGCATCGCGATGCATCGAATCGGCAGACCGTGGTTCTCCCTTTGTCCGCGGACTCGTAGGAGGCTGTGGGCCGCCCATGTCTTCGGACTGTCCACTTCCGTGGCGTTCGTTTGTTCCCTCAAAGCCTCCACTTCGTCTCCACCTATGTACCTGTCGAGAAACATAAATAATTCAATGTCGATTCGCGACGCCGGGAACCCCGTTTCCCCGCGAACACGACGGAGACTCCAACGCCCGCGCAAGAGCGACCCATCGGGACTTGTAAATCGTTTCGAACGCGAGCCCCGACACGGCGCGCTATTTTCTAGAGCATCGGGCGAGCGCGGATATTACTGCGGACGCCCCAAATACTGCGGTATTTTTATAAAAGCGATCAAAAACCGTAAAAAGTAATCGAATCTCGTAATCGCTATGATCTGAACTCAATTATTATTTACCAACACATTATCTGGCGTACAGCTTTTTACCACGTGCGTACATTACCGTGCTTTGCCGGACTGCGTACCTTAACCTATACGGCGCAGTTCTCCTAGGAATTGTAGCTGTATGTGTGCGTACATTTAGTGCATTTAATTGCAGTAATCGGCTCGCAGCATTGGAAATAATATTCTTTACATCGCGCTTGTTAATGAAGTCTGTGCTTTCAGAGATCCAACCTATTTTGAGAAAAGTAAATATTCAAGTTAAAGGTTATGTCGAGGCATTCGCTGAGAAACCGCAGTAATACCTACACTAATCCCAGTCGACGGGCAGCAATTCGATTCGAAATTCGTGCTAGAAGGAGAACGCGACGAAGTTGCGTCGCAGAAGATTAATTCGCCTAACAGCGAAGGCAAGATTTCTGGAAAGCGATCGTTCGGCTTCCTGCGGCTGCCCGAGGCTCGTACCCTTTCTAGGGTGATTCACAGGGAGACTATGCAATCTGCATAATTACGCTTGGCACTGTAGCTTCGGTTGCGCGGCGAGGGCAAAGCGGAAAAAAAGCCGCGGAAGAACTGTTTAGGCAGCGCGCCTATTAAAGGCTGTAAAAGAGAAAATAGCGACTGCGGCGGTTCCACTTGAAGCTTTCAGCGCGTTCGATTGTCGCGGAAAAATTAGACGGCGAAACGGTTGCTCGGAGAAACGAAACTCCGCGAGGACGGCCGTTTCCGCGGATTTTAGGCGCGCGCGCGCGCGAGCCTTTCCGCGCCGTCATCGATATCTCCGTTTAGGAGAAACGCGGGAAATTAGGAGAAACTCGTCTACAATAGGCGAGCCGAGCACAGCGCCGCAAGAACGGTCGGCCGAAGCGGCTTCTATCGTTTTAGGCGTTTATGCGACCCGGCATTCGCGATGAGTATTCCGATTCGGCGGTACATCGCGGCGGAATATGGCACATAATGGCGTTTTGGCCTCGTTAGCGTCTCGCGATGACTACAACGTAACGCTGTAACGAGCTGGATTCCGTGAATAACGAAAGTCCATTTCGGGAATGATTCACGGGCAATTAGCGGTGAAATCTGTCCCCCCGCTTAACGTCACTTCCTCTCTCGTTCGAATTGTTTTTCGCTTTCTAACTGCCGATTAACGGCCTAATGCGATGAATTTCTGCGACGTAACCGTCGTCGTTCGCCCGCTAATATCGCTTAGAGCGATATTTTCCCGCGTGACTCGACCGACGCGAATCGTCGACCAGCCTGAATTGCATTTCTCGCGTGATAAACTTCGCTGTGCCGAGAGCAGGAACAGACATTATTGAAATAAAATATTTATTGTAATATATGAAATATATAAAATGATTGTACGAATAAAATTTTTACTTCGTTTGTTATTCGGTCTATCACTGTATTTGTTATAATATATTATTATATTATTATATTATATTATATTATTATTATTATATATTGTATTATATTTATTATATATATATTATAATATATTTCTATATCTTATCTGTTATCTTATTCGAGGCAAGTTATTGGACCTTTTTTATTTGTTATCTTCGTCTCGAATAAAAAGTGCTGGCATCTCTGGCCGAGAGTACGTATCCGTTCACCATGGAGACAAGAGACTTACGGCGTTCGCCGGCAGAGAATGCAAATGTCGTACGGGGTGGGGGTGCGTCGCGCGAGCGTTCACGGCCGTGAAAATCGCACGGTGTTCAGGGAAATTGTAAACACGCTGGTCGTGCGAAGTTGATGATCAGAACGGAGCAAGGCTTCGCGTTAGAAGAATTTAGATGAGGTGTGGCTATTGCTATAGCCTGATCGCTAGACCATGAAACGAAAAGACGCTCGCTCTCCGACTTCTCACCGCTGCATAAACACCGTGTTATGCGCTCCCGCCTCGGTCGTGAACCAATGGTTTTTCCCTTTTTGCTTTTTCTTTGTTTTCTTTTCTTCTTCTTTTTTTCGGTCGCTGCGCAGGCTTTTTATGGCACTCTCCGGCATCCGCGAAGACCTTATGGTATGCGCGAGACTCGCGATATCGGGACGGAAACGCCGGATCGCTGGAACGCTATGGAACCTCATCGTTGGTTCCAATGATCGACGGAAGACAATAATATATTCAACGCGGCAGCCTGAATTCCACCGAACGAAAGTCGCCGCAAAAAACGGTAGGAACAGACCATAAACCACGGTACCGTTGTATTGTACAAAGTGTTTCGTTGCACTGATCGGAATAAGTGCAACGAGCAAAGCGGCGCGCTGTGACATAACCTTGGCATTAACTGCCGAACTTTTTCTCTTGAATTTTCGATGCGTGAAGTTATGCAAAAAAAGTTGCGTAACAATATAATTATATTCAAATTATGTCTTGTTAAAATATTTTATATCTTTTAAAAGGTATCAAATGGGGACTTCGTGGCAGAGGTTGCATGAATAAAATAAAAAGAAGAATTTAATTTTATCGCATGGAAAACAACAGTAAGATTATGTCAAACACATAGTAAGTATATATAGTTACTATAGTATATATTACTATATAGTATATGTTACTACTATATATTACTATAGTATATATAGTTACTACTATATATTACTATAGTATATATAGTTTTATACTATAACATTTAAATTGAACATTTATGTATGGTACTTAATTACAATATAAAAACGAGCGATTACAGAATCGAGTGACTCGACGACTCGACACATTGTACTCTTTCCGAGCTGCGTGTTACAGCGATGCTCGGTTAATTAATTTCCCGTAATTGCTTCTACGCTCGAGGTAAGTAGGCTCTTACGTTTTTCTTTCGAAGGCTTTCTTCGCACCGCGAGTGCCGCGGTCGTATTAGCCGGGGGACATGGATGTGGGGGAGGGGGATCGTATACACCCCAGTTCAGAGAGTTAATTGGCCGGACTTACCATTTGATGAGCGAGGGCGGATTTCCATATCTTGATACGCAGGAAATGGTGACTTCCTGACCCTCCCTTAGCGTTAGGGCGGTGGTCAAAATTGTCCCCCCGTACTCCAGACGCGGCTTCCGGGGTTTCACTGGAAACAATGCGATTCGTGATTTAATGACCGTTTCGAAACAGCGCGCACCGGGCGGCTTAAATAAGCGTTCAATTTTCGACCAAAATGGTTTGATAATTTGTCAAAGAAAATACAAAAATGCACCGATTTGCATAAAAAGAATTATGTGACTTTGTAAAAAGAAATTGTCGTCGCCTTTATTTTTTATCGAATAAAAACTTTCACGCGGATTTTTATTAACACAATTTATCGTTGGTTGAATAACTTTTATATTTTGTCCTTTTTGTTTATTTACAGGGATCGCGACACCGGAGCGAAACCGAATCACTGCGAACAATGCATTGTCACCTCTGTCGGGCCGTTGGGAAAGTTCTTTTTTTTCCAGCTCCAGGAGAATTGTACAAGAAATCTAGCTGAGTTAGACCGCGAAACCAAATCGCGACGATTAATGCGGCAGGCGGCTGAGAAAGTTCCTCCACCGCGGATTCCGAGAATCGTCCTGGCGATAATCGAGAAACGTTTTAACCAGCTGTTTGACGAGTATACTCGTCACGGAGAAATGGCAATATTTTGTGTCACGACGAGTATACTCGTCGTGACACAAAATCTGTCTCTTATACACATCGAGATGTGTATAAGAGACAGCGAATATACTCGTCGTGACACAAAATCTGTCTCTTATACACATCGAGATGTGTATAAGAGACAGCGAATATACTCGTCGTGACACAAAATCTGTCTCTTATACACATCGAGATGTGTATAAGAGACAGCGAATATACTCGTCGTGACACAAAATCTGTCTCTTATACACATCGAGATGTGTATAAGAGACAGCGAATATACTCGTCGTGACACAAAATCTGTCTCTTATACACATCGAGATGTGTATAAGAGACAGCGAATATACTCGTCGTGACACAAAATCTGTCTCTTATACACATCGAGATGTGTATAAGAGACAGCGAATATACTCGTCGTGACACAAAATCTGTCTCTTATACACATCGAGATGTGTATAAGAGACAGCGAATATACTCGTCGTGACACAAAATCTGTCTCTTATACACATCGAGATGTGTATAAGAGACAGCGAATATACTCGTCGTGACACAAAATCTGTCTCTTATACACATCGAGATGTGTATAAGAGACAGCGAATATACTCGTCGTGACACAAAATCTGTCTCTTATACACATCGAGATGTGTATAAGAGACAGCGAATATACTCGTCGTGACACAAAATCTGTCTCTTATACACATCGAGATGTGTATAAGAGACAGCGAATATACTCGTCGTGACACAAAATCTGTCTCTTATACACATCGAGATGTGTATAAGAGACAGCGAATATACTCGTCGTGACACAAAATCTGTCTCTTATACACATCGAGATGTGTATAAGAGACAGCGAATATACTCGTCGTGACACAAAATCTGTCTCTTATACACATCGAGATGTGTATAAGAGACAGCGAATATACTCGTCGTGACACAAAATCTGTCTCTTATACACATCGAGATGTGTATAAGAGACAGCGAATATACTCGTCGTGACACAAAATCTGTCTCTTATACACATCGAGATGTGTATAAGAGACAGCGAATATACTCGTCGTGACACAAAATCTGTCTCTTATACACATCGAGATGTGTATAAGAGACAGCGAATATACTCGTCGTGACACAAAATCTGTCTCTTATACACATCGAGATGTGTATAAGAGACAGCGAATATACTCGTCGTGACACAAAATCTGTCTCTTATACACATCGAGATGTGTATAAGAGACAGCGAATATACTCGTCGTGACACAAAATCTGTCTCTTATACACATCGAGATGTGTATAAGAGACAGCGAATATACTCGTCGTGACACAAAATCTGTCTCTTATACACATCGAGATGTGTATAAGAGACAGCGAATATACTCGTCGTGACACAAAATCTGTCTCTTATACACATCGAGATGTGTATAAGAGACAGCGAATATACTCGTCGTGACACAAAATCTGTCTCTTATACACATCGAGATGTGTATAAGAGACAGCGAATATACTCGTCGTGACACAAAATCTGTCTCTTATACACATCGAGATGTGTATAAGAGACAGCGAATATACTCGTCGTGACACAAAATCTGTCTCTTATACACATCGAGATGTGTATAAGAGACAGCGAATATACTCGTCGTGACACAAAATCTGTCTCTTATACACATCGAGATGTGTATAAGAGACAGCGAATATACTCGTCGTGACACAAAATCTGTCTCTTATACACATCGAGATGTGTATAAGAGACAGCGAATATACTCGTCGTGACACAAAATCTGTCTCTTATACACATCGAGATGTGTATAAGAGACAGATTTTGTGTCACGACGAGTATACTCGTCACGGAGAAATGGCAATATTTTGTGTCACGACGAGTATATTCGTCATGGAGAAATTTTGTAGCGTGACGAGTATACTCGTCATGGAAAAGTGGCAATATTTTGAGTCACGACGAGTATATTCGTCATGGAAAAGTGGCAATATTTTGAGTCATGAAGAGTTGGTAGTATTTTGGGTCATGACGAGTATAGTCGTCATGGAGAAACGACACTACTTTATGTCACGACGAGTATACTCGTCACAGAGAAATAACACTACTTTATGTCACGACGAGTATACTCGTCACAGAGAAATTACACTATTTTGTGTCACGTCGAGTATACTCGTCGCGCATAAAAAGTAGCGACCACCGGCTATTTAAATTATAATTTTACCGAAAACGAAAGCATATTCTCAAATATACTCGTCGCCGCTCGATTCTCGCGACCCAGCTAATTAAAGAACGAAGGATACGAACGAACGGTTCGGGACTCGTGTCCGCGGAACGACGTTCGAAATCGGCGTTGCAAAAAAAATCTCTCTCGCGCCTGCGGAGAAAGAGAAAAAAAAGGATCGAGAAAAGTAGAACGGAACGAGCGTTGCATCATTAACCGGCCACGTTTAGCGAATTTTAAGTTGGCCCCGTAAAATCTGCATTGTTCCATTGAGGAGGCTTCGGGATCTGATTATGCGCCTATGATTCGCCGTGGAAAGTGATCATTTTCTTTTATCCAGCGATGACGCAAATGCTCGACGTTCCGTTAAAATCAAACGGCGCGTTTAAACGTAAGGATGTCTCGTTACGGAAACTGTTACGCGAGCAGGGCTGATCCCCTAATCGTTAACACGACAGTCCCGCGCTCGATGCTGACGCGCTGATCTCCGATTCGAACACGGTAAATTCTCCCTAATTGACGCACAGCTTGAAAAAAAATGGTCATTTTGGGAGAAGGAGATACGATTATTCGGGGCTCGCGGCTCATTATTATAATTACAAACTGTAAACGATTATATGAAAACGAGCCGCGAGGCTCGAATAATCGCATCCCTTATTCCCGAATCGTCCATTTTTGCGCGCAATCAGGGATATTTGAGCGTCGATCAGGGAGAATTTACTGTAACCGGTACTCGAGCTCGACAAGCAATAACGCGTTCAAATAGTTTTCGGTAGCGCCGTTTCGTCGTAACACGATCGAAAACGGTTAATAGCCGATTCCAGCGAGGAGAGAGCTCCAGCTGGAACGGTCAAGAGGCTTCTCAGACTCCGTTCACACGAGATCCGGCGGTCTGTTTCGTCTCTTCGAGACGTCTCGCGGCGAGATCACACGCGAGTGCCTCGAGTGGCTGAAAGATTCCAGAAATCTTCCGATCGGAACCTTAGTGTAGAGGGTGATACTTTTTGTAACCGCGTCTGGGAAAATCTACTCGAAGTATCTAGTTTCAGTGTTTCCGAAAAAAGCGACTTCTTCTCGTAGAAAGCTTTATTTTATAATATACAATATTATTTTATTTTGTTATAACTTTTTTTTCTTTTTCTTTTATTTTGATTCTATTTTTATACTATTTTTATTTTATTTATATCTTACTTTTATTTCATTTACTTTATTTTGTTTTGTCATAATGTACTATAATTTTCTATAAAATTCTATATTACATTATACAAAAAATTTTTTCCGTAGAATGAATTTATCCATAAATTTCGCACATTTTCGAATAATTCTAGAACGACTCGCCGAAAGAAACTGCACCCGACACGATCGATAAAACGCATAAGAAATTGATCTTAAAAATAGATCGACGCAGCCTAAGTGGTTGTTAACTCGTCAAGCTCCTAATGCCTCCTCGTAAATTTACCCGCGCTTATTAATTTGGAAATGCGCAACCGGCGATTCAATTAAAATGACGTGACATATCGTCGACATTCCAACATTCCACAAATCTTGATCAATTTCATATGCATAAAATACATATATAAAATAACATAAATAACATAATGTAACATGTAAACACTACAAGTCGGAAAAATGATTTCAGATTTACGGTTAAAGTGGCTTCGAGTGCAAAGGGTTAATTCCTTGCCCCGCGCGTCGGACAAGACAGCGACAAAATAGCGAAACGCGTCGAACAACGAACGATTCCCGCTTCATGAACGGACTCACCTCTGACCAAAAGCCTGGATGGCAAGGACGTGAGCGCATCCTGCCGCGTGAAGTCGCCAGAGGTGACCTGGCACTCCCAATAGCCGTCGTCGAAGTCGAGGGAGGCCCGCCTGATCAGGAGGGTGCAATCGCTGCCGCGGCCGCTGGCCCACTCGTACTTGTCCGGGTGCATGCCCACCGGTTTCCGGTCCTTCTGCCAGATGCACTGGCCCCGTTTGTCCTGCACTCTGCACCGCAACTGCACGTCGTCCCCCGAGGAGACCTCCTGGTACAACGCGGGCGTCTCCGCGAATCTCTGCTCGCCGCGTATCAGACCGACCGCCAGGATCAGCCCGAGACAAATCGGAAACTTCATGTTGCCGGGGCCCGCTTCGCTGGATCACGCTTCGACGTCCAAGGTGCTTCGGCGGACGTCTAAGTTGCCTCGCGGCTCGTCATCCCCTATTTTCCGAGCAACCGTGGCGCGAAAAATTCATCGGCTGTAGTCCGTTTCCTTCGCGATGATGGCCTCGAGAAGTCCCGGGATTCGTGGAATATTCTTCTCGGTTTATAAGTCGATTATTAAGCTAATTATTAGCCTGATTATTAGGCCGATTATTGTTTATTATTAGGTCGTTATTACTGAACACTGCTCGATCGATTTCCACGATTTCCCTTTTCGCGAAGTATTTTCGCCGGCACCGCACACCCTGATTCGCGCACTCGCGGTGAAATATTCTATTTTAATTTCTATTCTAATTGAATTCGAAACGACGGTTCGATTAATCGATTCGAGTCTTTTTCGAGCACTATTCTTCCCTTTCGAGCCCGGCGACGTCTCCGGCGAGTCTTCCCGCGGGGAACTTAAGACCGAATGAGCCGCCGTGAAATTCGAACGAAACTGCGCCGCCGATGGAACCCGTCCAGCGCCATCCTCGGCGATTCCCCTAAACGCGAGCGCATCCCTCGCGGTCTCCAACCCCCCCGGAAATTTCTCCGCGCGACGAGACGCACGGTCGTTTGTTCGCGGAGTCGTTAACAGTCGCTATTAACACCGGGAAAATGTGTCACCGAAATGTCACAGGAATTACGAACGACACTCGCTGTTGCTCGGGGTCCCAATTTCACCCTCGACGGTCCCAAAAATCCTCGGAAATCCTTCGGCGAGTCCTGATCGACGGCTCGCCACACCGTTTCGACGGAAATGCGCGAGGCGAGCGTTGTGTTTACTCGCCGCGGTAACGGAGAGGCCTAGAAACCCAGTGGATAATTTCGAGTGTTTCTGGTTGCAGAGGATTCGTGGTTCTGCACCGTTGGCGTCGCCGAGGAATATTGGGCAGCACCCAGGGAGAAGGTGAACCTCCTTCGCTCGCGAGGAGAGCGGAGATGTGCGCGGCGCACAGAGGGTACGGAGACTGACTGAGAGGCGCGAGAGAGAAGCAGATTGGCCGAGGTAAACGAAATATCTAGGACGTCGTACAATACCGGGGGCACGTAGTGGAACTGAGCCGGAGTTAAAGCCAGAACGTTCACCGGCGTGGAAGCGGAAGACGGGCCCCGAACGCGCGGGCCCACGCGTGCGTATCCAACCCTGTCTCCTCTGCAGCTATCCTTATTATTCGAGCGTGTTATCATTATGCCATGCTACGACGAGCTTAGCCGCCCATTTGCTCTATATGCGTTCTTTATTTCGTGTTTAGCCAGCGAGACACCGTCAACCGGGGTTTCTCTTCCATCCAGACAGCGGGGCCCACCCGTGGAATACCCGCGAGTATGGTGCTCGATTGCCGTGGCTATCCTAGTCGCTTTCAGGAGAAAGGAGAAACAGAGACGGTTTTGTTCAATTTGCGGCGCGATGTATACGTGGATTCTTGTGTAAAAGTAATTGCACCGAATGTATTGATGACGGTTAAATTGACTGGTTTCCAGATTTATGTGTTAGGAGCGTCGAGATTGGAAACGCTTTTTTCGAGAATTAAACGGTAGTATATATTGTATATTATTAGCATTATATTATAGACATTATATATTAGCATATTATTAGCATATATTAGCATATTATATTATAGATATTACATATTAACATATTATTAGCATATCATTAGAATATATTAACATATTATATTATAGATATTATATATTAGCATATTATATTATAGATATTATATATTAGCATATTATATTATAGACATTACATATTAGCATATTATTAATATATTATATTATATATATTATACATATATTAGCATATTATATTATAGATAATATATATTAACATATTATTAGCATATATTAGCATATCACATTATATATATTATATATTAACATATCATAATAAAAAGTACACAAAGTCTAAATAAATGATGGAACGAACCAGTCGCTTTTAATGCTCGGTACGTTTGGTATCAATGTTAAACAAGTTCGTCTTCTTGCAACTGCACGGAAGATTGAATATTTATTATAGTGATAATTAGCTTTAATATATTTGATGGATTTTGGAACGTGATTTCGAATTTCTTTTCAGTTTTACGATTCAAAAACCTAGAGAGCAGATTACTAGCAACGTACCTATAACAATTTCTCGCACATACCTAACTAATTGATTAAACAATTAATAAACAATTTTTCGTTACACGTATGGAGCAAACGATTCGTACATTTTTCTTACAAGGGATGAATTCTCTGGTGTTTCTAAACGTCCGAACAGCGCCAATTCGCGCGATGAAAAAAGCGTTGATATTGTTAACTAAATTACTGGCACTCGATAATCAGATCGTTAAAAGCCTTAGCGGAAGGTAAAAATCATTTATTTATATGATCTCGAGATCTCTTGTTAGATGACGCTGGAATGATCGACGGTCGTTAAACCGGTCGGTAAAACGACTCGGCTGTCGGTAAAATCGCTTGCCAACGTCGTCCACGAGCTTAGCATATGCACAGAGTATGCGTCTCGTACACTTTTCCTGTCTCATTGTCATCTTCAGGGGCTTCTAGCTCTTCAGTCGAGATATAAAAATAGAGTGGACATCCAAGGCATTATTTTGTCATCAACAAATGGGGCTTCAGGCTAGGGTTTGCTTTATTTAAAGTGACAGGAGCATCCCAATCCTTTTACACTGTTATCCTTTCGGTATAGCATTTCTTATCGCGACCTAAATTGGCTGATGCGTTTTTATACAGAATTCTGAGGCGCATCGAATCGTGTATAAAAGAAGAATTATACGATCGCGTGAATAAAGTCGATTATCGTGCGTCTATGCAAACAAAATAATGACACAGGATTACGCCCCCCACCCCCGCCTCCCTCGGAACAGATAGTTTCCTATGAAACAATTGTTTCAAATACAGTAAATTCACCCGAATTTTCCTTCGGCTAGTAAACGAAAATGGACAATTTTTGCCGATTGTAATTGCAATAATTATAATAATTACAGAATAGTTTCGTATGAAACAATTGTTCCAAGTACAGTGAATTCACCCGAATTTTCCTTCGGCTAGTAAACGAAAATGGACAAATTTTGCCGATTGTAATTGCGATAATTATAATAATTGCAATGATTAAAATAAAATACAAAATTATAATATATATATAATTATTTATATTAATATATTTTAATTACGTTATATTATATATATATTATTATATATATATATATATAATTATATTATATATATTTAATTATTTTATATTATTATATTAATATATATAAATAATCGCATCGGCTCTTCCCAAATTGTCGACATTTGTCCAAAATCCGCAGGAAACCCCGGGAAAATGAACCTTGACGAACAGTTCCAGAAATAATCGCGCGTCGCGATTTGGAACGGGCCCACCCGTTATACGCGCGACGTACGCGCGAAAGGGTGCGATCTCGCTTTTCTTTTGGCCGCGACGGACGACGGGGTTTCCGTTCGTCCGGTTCCAGCGTAGAAAATTCGCTCGGACAGAACACCAAAAACCGTGCGAAGGGGCGCGCGATTTCAAAAGCGAACGCGCGCCGTTCCGAATTTGCCAGGGGGGTGCAATGCGCAGTCAGGGCGGATCCCCCATGCGACTTCCGCAGTGACCGTTGAAAAAACATATCGAACGAGAGCAGTCCGAGACACGAGTCAGGCGTGTTCTCGTTGTTTATCGCGGGGCTGGTCGCACAATGCCGGCGGCCGCTAATTCCGCCGGAACCGCAGAATTTCCGCGTTTCCGCGCGAGCACGTTCGATCGAATTCTTGCCGTTGTTCACGTAGAGAGATTCGAACTCGCGCGAGAGATTTAAGGTCTCCGCTCGGATCCCGGCTTATCACGTAACAGCGTGTTTCCGAGCGAATCGCCTTACGCAGCTGTTCGATGCACGCATCCACCCCCGGAGTCCGGCGGCGAGCCGCCCTCCTCTCGCGACCAGAATTTCATTATACGATCCTGTATCTCGTTAGCGATCCCATCGGCTCGCAAATTAGCCGGATTGCTCGCGGAACGGCGAGCAATTCGATAGATTCCTCCGCGAACTTGCCGGATACAAAATTCGCTCGCTGGAACGCACGGTCGAATTTTCCACCCCTTTCCGGCCATTTGTCGGCGCGGTGCTCCGGTTGCTCTCGAGATTATTGGCCGTTCCCCGGTGCGTCTCTCGATTTCTCTTTGACCGGATTAACGCGAGTATTCGAGCGGCGCGATCAAGAGACGCGTCCGAAAGATATTTGGCAGAGACGAACGAGCGACGAACACGGCGCGGCACGGGCCAGAGGCACGCTCTTCTGCGGCGGTTGGCAACTCTCTGCGGATACGTGGATTTCCTATGGCACTAGGATATACTAGTCGGTGTATATTGTAAGTGGCTGCGGTATTCGGCTAGTCAGATCGATGAGACGCCGTCGTCGTGGCGCCTCGTAAACGCCCAGCCTGCCGTCCGCGCTCTGCCTCTTCCGATAAAATCGGTTTTCCGGGTCGGTTCTCCGCATTTTTTCGCGAGCGGAAAAACGCGCGGTGTTCGCGCGGGCCTCCTCGAGGCAGCCGAGTCGACGATGCCGTTGCCGGCTTTCGAGGGAAAAAAGGGCGAGAACGAAGGGCCGTTGGTGCTAAACGGAATGATCGTTTTCGTCGTCGCGCAGCAGAGCGTCGTCGGGGATTCCGCGTTTCCGATCCGTACGAAAGCGACGATGGATTACGAAAGTATAATCGATTTATGGTTTGTTGCGGAGCGAATTAGGTGAGGCACGTGTCGACGTGTTTTATCGCGGCGAAGGAATTTGAAATCTGGAGAGAAAAAGGAGGCCACGCGCGGCGGTTGTTCTTCTCTCCAGCTATGCAGCCTACGCGAAACACACTCTTGCCCGCTGCCGTGCACGGGCGAGCACGGCACCGACGACTGCAGACTACGTGTACACGGTGTAAATTCGAACAATGTTAATTCATGTTCGAATTGCGCCGGGGCTGCGCAGAACTTCGCGGCGTTTAAATCGCGACCGAGGCGAGGCGAACGAGTTGAACGAGTTCCCTCGATTAGAAATTCATCGCCGACTCTGTGACACGACGATCCCGCGGAACTGTATCAATTTTTGCCGAGGCTCGTTCCTGCGACGGTCTTTTCGAAAATGTACATTGCGTGCTGATGTTATGTGATATTATGGTAATTTATTGTATTACATGATATATATAATATTGTTGTATTATATATTATTTCTATATTATTATACTATTTTATATGATATTGTTGTACTATGTACTATACTATATTATTATACTATACTATAATATAATATGCTATACTAAATATATTGTTATATATTATACTATATTATTATACTATACACTATGTTATATACTAAATATATTGTTCTATATTGTACTATAGTATAATATATTATGCTATACTATTTTGTTCTATATTATACTATACTGTAATATATTGTTCTATATTATACTGTACTGTACTATAAATTATACTGTACTATATATACTGTACTAGATAATATACTATATTATACTATACTATATACAGTTTTTTCTCCCTAATTCGCGCTCTGCTGCGCCCAAAAATGGACAATTTAAAAAAGCGAGAAATTGCAGACCACTACATTACATAATATATTAATAAAATATTAACATATTACATAATATTATACAATTATGTAATATTATATTATACTAGTATTACAAAATTATATAATATTATATTATATTCTTACTACACAATTACATAATATTATAAAATAATATAATATGACATATTTCGATCGATATATATATAGTTGTTCAAAGTCGCCCTATAACCTAAAAATCCGAAAAATCCGTGATATTCACCCCGGTATAAGAGCCGCGAACCACGATATCTGCAATGCAGATATATATCGAACGCGTCGAGCAATTTTTTTTCGAAACCGTTCCTCCACGCATTGTCCACGGTGACATCGTCGTATACAACATCGTTCCCTCGCATAAATGTTACACAATTTTTGCGAAAATTCTCAGGAATATAATCTCCTAATCTAGCTGCGAACGAACGCGTTTTCCGAGAACACCCGGCCTGGTTCCCGATCAGAGACGCGACCCCTCGCGAAACAATAAAAACTGCGACAACTGCACCCACCCCCCAAAAAAGAACAAAAGGAAGAAAAAATACAGAAACCGCAGGCGACGTCGCGGTGTCTCGCGTCCCGCGCACGCATAATATTCGCGAGGGATATCGGTGCGTGAACCATCGGCACGAAAGCCGACGGATTTTCTCGTCGTCGTCGTCGCGGCGACCGGCGACAGGACGACGGCGGATGCGTCTGTTCAACTTGACGAAGACGTTTCTATATTTTGGTTTCCCGATGTTCTTAACACGGTTAGTAAAGGGGTGCCCGGTCAATACCAGCGCCGCGGCGCTAGGGCTACCGCCGCGGAACTTCTAGCATCGCTATCGTCCCGATAGCATTCGATCGGGTCGCAATTCGACGACACCGAAAGAAAACTACAAAGGCCGCCGCCGCCGATCCGGCGATCCCCGAAAACGGCGGATCTTAAAGGGCGAACGGAAGGACGGCACTCCGCCGTGGCCGTTCAATCAAGGTTTCCCCTTGTTCCGCGAACGCTAGGAGCATTCGAATGCCATTATTTTCTCTGTAGAAGCACGGGAGTGTGCTGCGGGGTTGCACTGCGGCAGTGCACGGCGTCGATGAATCGACAAATCGGTTGCCGGATCGATACGCGTTAACATACCATTAACCCCTTTAATCTTGGCACACCGTTTCCTTCGCGGTGGTTGCGATTAGACAATTTTTTCGATTGCTACGATCTCGTTGGTCGGGCAGGAGAGGAAATTGATTATGATTATCGTGTGCCTGAATTTTAGGGGAACGCTTGAATATTCGGGACGAGAGAATTTTGTTGGTATTTTTTGGGTGTGCTATTTTATTGGCTGGGTTGAATAAGTATGAGGCTAATATTTTATTGGCTGTACTGAATAAGTATAAGCCTAATATTTTATTGGCTATACTGAATAAGTATAAGCCTAATATTTTATTGGCTATACTGAATATAATAATAATAATAATAATACCTAATTTATATTGTAATAATAATAATACCTAATTTATATAATAATAATAATAATACCTAATTTATAGAACAATAATAATACCTCATTTATGTAATAATAATAATAATAATACCTAAATTTTACTAGAATGCTTAAATATCGATGACAAGAGAAATCAGAATTTTATCCTAATTTTATTGGTCTTTTTGGCTATACCGAATAAGTATGAGCCTAAATTTGACCCGAATGCTTAAATCACGATGACAAGAGAAGTCAGAATATTATTCCAATTTTATTGGTCTTTTCGGCTACACAATTCTATTGACTAATACTAAGTATAAGTACAAGCCTAAATTTCATTTGAATACTTAAATATCGACGACAAGAGAAATTAGAATTTCGTTGCAATTTTTCTTCTATTTTTCTTTTATACAATTTTATTGGCTGAACACTGCTGATGAACAAGTAATTGCTAGAGAAATTTTCACGACTCGTCGGACTCCGGCAAGGGGTTAATTGGCATCGCGCGGCGCGATTCGTCTGCGCGGATCCTTCGATCAGTGCGAGCGGCATTAGGTAACGTGTGTAACAGTTTCTTAAAGGCGATAGTTTCGGAACGAGAGAATGCGCGCGAGAGAGAGAGAGGGAGTCAGCAAGAGGTCGTGGGAAATAAGGGTGGTACATTTCGGCGTGTTACGTAAAGAAGTCGCCGGCGATTCTCCTGACGTCGAAGAGGACGAGCCGCGTGTATTAACCACCCCGGCTGCGCCGAACTATTTTTAAGATCAATTTCGCACGCGTTTTATCGATCGCCCTGGGTGCAGTCTCTTTCGGCAAACCGTTCCAGGATTACACGAAAACGTGCGAGATTTATGAACGCACGCGTTTCGCCGAGCATTCTAACCTAAATCCTCGGAGAAGCATCCTTTTCGTCGCAGGATGTAAAATCGTCGTTTCCTCGCGACGGCGTCCTTCACAGCTGACGGGTTTACGCTGGATTTACGGAGCACGAAAAAACAGCTGTTTATAAAACTAGTAATAAAATATTTATTCTGATTTTTAAGGATTTTTTAAAAGTACCAAAAGTAGCGATAAGACGTTTACTCGGATTTTGATTACTTTAAACAAGCGATATTGTAACATATAAATCGAATAAATTACTCAGAAATGTATCTTTACGATATGAATAATTAAACAATTAGTCACGTAAATCCAGCGTCAACAGCGACATTAATAAAAGAACGATAAATCATAATCGCACGGATTTTCAGAACAGTCGCGTATCAACGCATCATGACTCATCCGAACTCGCTGGAATAAAACGCTTCGACCGCTCGGCATTTTCGCAAATCGTTAAGACGACCGTCCAAAAACCCGAGCACCCCTCGGTGAAACTTAGCGTCGTTCCACGGTCCGAAATCTCCGCGAAAGAATTCGGCGAAATGCGCCGGCCGGCGCAGAGCGAGCGAGGTCTTTATGGGTCGCGTGCCGGTCGGCCGGACGTTGTTTCGGTTAACATTTTCGCTTTCGCGCCGCAGTCCCCGGGTAGTCCCGATTCTCTCCCGTTCCCACCGGTTTCCGGTTCGCGCTTAGAGTCCTACCCTTCGCACGGCGAGGGTCGTCGCGACGGCCGTGTATCTCTCGGCGCGGCCGGTTCCCCTGGTTCGCCATGTTCGCCATGTTCGCCGGCCGGCTTGCCGGTTCCGCGTCCACATTTCTACTTGGTGCTCGCGCGCGCACGCCGCACACTAGCGTGTGCGGTCGCGCGCGCCCTCAGGGTGTACCGCGTTCGTTACACGGACAGACAGCGCTCGCACGTCTCCACACTGCGACGCTTTGCGGCGTAGTGTGCGGCGCCGCTGTGCGAGGCGTTGCGCCCCGACGTGTGCCGTCGCGCGCGAGCCACCGTAGATCGTGGAGGAGGTAGTCTTCGTACTGCGCGAGTCGCGTAATCGAGCCGACGCGACACGACACGACGCGACGCGACGCGGCGCGGCGCGGCCCGACGCTAGGCGACGCGGCGCGCGGTGCGACGGCGCAGTGGCCTGGTGGGGGTACCGGAACGATCGGCGAGGAAGGGGATGCTTTTGTGTGCCAGCGATGCAGGATATCGTCAAGTTCGTCAGAGAGCCGGCGGCCTGCAACGCGAGTGCTGCTGCCGAGTACATTCTAGTTCTATCGTCGCTCGGGACGCAGGGAGAAGAGACAGACACTCGTGTACCGTAGCCTCTATCACAAGTTTGCGCCGCATCGGGAGCGTTTTTAAATCGAACACCGAGCTCGCGCTACATCCTCTCTTCAATCGTCCCTCGATACCGCGTTCAGTGTACGATTATCTCCTTTGCGTCACGTCCTTTTACAAGGAAACATCGCCTCTCTCAATCACACACACACACACACTCTCTCTTGTCGTTCTCCCTCTGTCCCTCAATTATCGCCCCTCCTTCCTCTGTCTCTCTCTCCGTCTCCGTCTCTCTCGCATTCTCCGAACCTCTTTTTTTTCTCTCTCTCGCCCACTCTGTCCACCCACCCCCCTCTCTCCCCCTTTCTTTCTCTCGTAGACGCGCACATACGAAGACATAACGCATACGGGCGCAGAGGGGCGCGCGCGCGCGCTCGTTCTCCCTGTCTCTCTCTCTCTCACACACACACTCTCTCTCTCACTCTCTCTCTCTCTCTCTCTCCCCTTTTCTCCCGTGGTCTCTCGCTCCGTCTGCACGCGCCACGATACACGAAAGGGGCAAGGTGAGTCGGGTGGAGCGGTTCCAAGCTTAGACGGGAAAGCAGACCGCTGCTAGACGAGAGGCGGTCTCCGTTTTAAACGCTGGACTTTCTTCCGCAGACATTTTGTTCTCGGCCGCGGGTTCGCACGCTGCCCGCCGGAACCAGAGACCAGTCATCTGGGATATACGAGGCGTCGGGAGACTGGGAGCCGAGCAACTGGGCAGACGGACCACGTAAAAAGGTGAGCAAGCCAGCCGCGGTCGTCGTCGTCGTCGTCGTCGTCGCTCGCCGACGACTCGTCCGCGGGGGCGAGTCGCCTTCCTTTTTCCACCGAGGCGAATTTATTTAGGCGAGCGGCGAACGACACCCGCGAATGTACGCATAGATCGTATCGACTGACCGGGCGGCCTCTGCGGAAGGGGTCGTTGCTAAAGGGGCGGACTGCAGCAGTGCAGCCGGCACTGCTGGTGCAGCGAGCGCAACCTCGACTTTCCGCCCCGAACCGTTCGGCCGCGGACTCGCGCTCTCGACTCCTTTCGTTTCCTGGGGAAATATCCGAGACACGATATCGCCAGAGGTAACAAAAACCAGCGGTGCCATCGTACGTTCGATCGGTTCTCTCGTTGAATCGCGGCAAATCGGCGCCGCGTGCACCTGTTTCGCTGTGAAAATTCGGCCGCGTGAATATTCGGCGCCGCGGAAATCCGGCGGATCGGCACCTAAAACGGTTTCTGTCCTGTTTTCCAGTAGTCGGTCGTCCAGAATTTGGATCAATGATCTAAGGCTGTGCGGCGAGGCCCCCCCGGGTCCTGCGCACTGCACGCTAGGACCATAGCCCTGCCGCTTTTTCAGGGAAAGGGTCGCGCGAATCCTGCGCAATATTAAACGGCGACCTCGTCCGCATGAAATCGCGGTAGGACGACGCGGCGACGGGTCCTCGCGCTGTTTCCTCGATATTTCTCTAGCCCCGGTAAGAAGACGACACTCAGGAGACGATAGGAGAGAGACGACACCCCGTATTGCTCGGCCCTTCGGCTCGAACGCTCGCCCCTCGGCAACGCCGGAAACGGCCGACCGCGGCCGCGAACGCGATCGCGAGTCCGCGAGATTGGTGCCGGGATTTTTCGCGAAGGAAATCGAAGCGATCGGAAAGCATCGTTATCGTGATCGTCATCGTCGTTGACGTCGGGTTACCGTAATCCCGGCCGGAGAAGTCGTCGCGAACGCGGCGAGCCGCGCGCTCGTCGAGGCGCGACGCGGCTGGAATCGCTGGAAATCGGATAAGATCCGTGTAAATCGCGGGCCGATAGAGAATTTTCTTCGGAATCGAGGGGGCACGACGGAGAATCGGTAGAAATCGAGTCGGGGGCACCGGAACGCGGCGCAGTGGAAGCGGCCGTCGCGCGTCAGACGCGGCGCGGGGCACAGTGACAGTGTTTTCGGCGTGCGCGACGACAGCGGCGGCGGCGGCGACGGCGACGGCGACCCGTCGGTCCCCGAGGATCGATCCCGCTGCTGGCATCCGGTCCGCGAAACGATTTCGGAACGGGCACGCATCGATTCGGCCGACTAACGCCACTCCGTTTCTTCTTTCCGCAGCGATGAGTGCCACGGATCCTACCGGTGAAGGAGGAGGAGGAGGAGGAGTGGGCGACGGGGGAGGCGGAGCCGACGAGACGACCACGATATCGCCGTCGAATGTCGAACAGAACATGTCGCCGGTCACCCCGGTGACCGGCAGTGTAGTGCCGCCCGGCTCGCAGCAGCAGCATCCGCCGCCGTCGCCTTTGAGCGGCTGCTACCTCCTCGTCGTGCTTCCAGAGCCACACACCGCGGCACACAAAGACCTGATCCTGAACCGTCTCTCGAAAGGTGAGTGCTCGGATCTTTTCGCGGTTCGCCGCGGCGGCGGCTCGCCTTGGACATCGCCGCGCCGCTGCGGCGAGCGGCTGCGGCGGGCCGCCGCGGTCGCCGTCGGGCCCCGATTACGACGGCCGCGGCGCGGCGACCGGCGCCGCGACTCCGATCGGCCGCGGCCCGCGCGGGTTCGTTGTGTTACTTGCGCGGCGCGCCGCGCTATCAGCCGGCGTAACGGTTCCCTCTTCGGCGTGCACGCGCGTGTGTTCCTTCCGATTTATCGACGCTCACCCAGCGACTTCCCAGGTGGTTCCCCCTGTTGCTAGGCGGAGTTCGAGCATGGTCGGCTGGCCTAGGAGGAAATTGGGCGGCAGGTAGAGTCGATTGCCTCCGGTTCGCCTGCGGTCGCTGTTTTTTCGCTCGCGGTTTTTTCGCGAGTTAAGGGGGGGAGGGGGGAAGACGAGATCTAGTCGGACGGCGGCCTAGAGACGAGGACAAGAGGCGAAGAGACGGGTCAAGTGTTCCCTTTCGAGGAAAGATTTCGATCGGCTTCGACGGCCGAAAGAATAGGCGGACGCGATAGGTTTCTTCGGGCTTGGAATCGGGCGGCGGGGGACGAGCGGGGGACGCGCGCGGGGAGGCCGAAGGAAATTGTAGGAGGCGGAGAAGAGAGTATGTAGGAAAAGGTTGGCGCGGCATGCGCATGTTGGTGCCGGTCTCTACAGTCATCCCCGCAGTCCCCAGAACCTGGATCAATAATCCATCCACTCGGTTGGTAGTGAAAACTGTCGCTAAGCCGAAATGACGACATTATTTCGTCGTCGTCGGCAGCGTCGTCGAACGCGTGCACCACGACGTGCAGCCGACGGACAAAGGGTGCGAAAAGGGCCGGTCGATGGTGACCGATGCGTGCGAAGAGAGACAGACAGAGAGAGAGAGAGAGAGAGAGAGAGAGAGAGAGAGAGAGAGAGAGAGAGGGAGGGAGAGAGAGAGGATCGAAGAGGGACGCGGCGACGCAGCGACGGAAAATAGGATGCAACGGGACGATTCGAGGCGGCGAACCGTCGAACGCGAAAGGAATGCCGTCGTCGATCGGACGAGGAACGAACGCGGACGGGGCCTATGAAATTCAAAACGATCGACGGCCGCGTACGTACGCGCGCGTTATTACCTATGTATATGGCGGTCGAACGCCGGTTATTTCGTATGCGATGGGGTCGATGGTTACAATGGGACGTGCCGAGTTTCGTCAGCGTGACTCATTGCCCTCGCAAATGGCCACGGGGAAGGCGAGGAAGGCTGGACGGTTCGCGAGAAATTGTTCGCGTACTTGGAACTCGACGGCGATATCGAACTTGTACTCTAATTCGAACGCGAATCCGAACACTGATTCGAACTACGATTCGAATACGAAATCGGATACGAACTCTAATTCGAACATGAACTTTAATTCGAACTTCAATCTGAACGCTAATTCGAACTCTAATACGAATCCGAAATCGAATACAAACTCTAATTCGAACACGAACTTTCATTCGAACTTAAATCTGAATGCTAATTCGAACTCTAAATCGAATCCGAAATCGAATACGGACTCTAATTCGAACACGAACTTTAATTCGAACTCTAATACGAATCCGAAATCGAATACGTACTCCAATTCGAACACGAACTTTAATTCCAACACGAGTCTGAACTCTAATTCGAACACGAACTTTAGACCGAACTTGAATCTGATCTCTAATTCGAACTGTAATTCGAACTTGATTCTGATCTTTAATTCGAGCTGTAATTCGATCTTGAATCTGATCTCTAATTCGAACTGTAATTCGAATCCGAACTCTAATTCGAATTCGAATTCTAATTCGAATCCGAACTCGAATACGAACTTGTATCTGAACTCTAATTCGAACATGAACTTTAATTCGAATTCGAACCTGAACTCTAATTCGAATCCGAACTCGAATTCGAACTCTAATTCAAATCCAAACTCCAATTCGAACTCTAACCCGAATCCAAACTCGAATTAGAACTCCAACTCGAATCCGAACTCCAATTCGAATCCGAATTTCGCTTTACGAACCGCTTTTCGCTTCCGAAATACGCGAGACTCGTCGAACGGATCAATTCGCCGCGGAACCCTGGGTAATATTTTCGCGAAGCGCAAACGATAACGCGGTATCTCGTGGACCATCGTAGAGATCCGATAAGCACCGACACGATAACAGCCCGCGGAACTCGCGTACCCTGGCGATATTGCTCGAGTATCGACGCGTACGCGGCGTAGGAAGGCATACTTGTCGGCATGAATCATGATTGAGGACGTGGGGNAGAGAGGATCGAAGAGGGACGCGGCGACGCAGCGACGGAAAATAGGATGCAACGGGACGATTCGAGGCGGCGAACCGTCGAACGCGAAAGGAATGCCGTCGTCGATCGGACGAGGAACGAACGCGGACGGGGCCTATGAAATTCAAAACGATCGACGGCCGCGTACGTACGCGCGCGTTATTACCTATGTATATGGCGGTCGAACGCCGGTTATTTCGTATGCGATGGGGTCGATGGTTACAATGGGACGTGCCGAGTTTCGTCAGCGTGACTCATTGCCCTCGCAAATGGCCACGGGGAAGGCGAGGAAGGCTGGACGGTTCGCGAGAAATTGTTCGCGTACTTGGAACTCGACGGCGATATCGAACTTGTACTCTAATTCGAACGCGAATCCGAACACTGATTCGAACTACGATTCGAATACGAAATCGGATACGAACTCTAATTCGAACATGAACTTTAATTCGAACTTCAATCTGAACGCTAATTCGAACTCTAATACGAATCCGAAATCGAATACAAACTCTAATTCGAACACGAACTTTCATTCGAACTTAAATCTGAATGCTAATTCGAACTCTAAATCGAATCCGAAATCGAATACGGACTCTAATTCGAACACGAACTTTAATTCGAACTCTAATACGAATCCGAAATCGAATACGTACTCCAATTCGAACACGAACTTTAATTCCAACACGAGTCTGAACTCTAATTCGAACACGAACTTTAGACCGAACTTGAATCTGATCTCTAATTCGAACTGTAATTCGAACTTGATTCTGATCTTTAATTCGAGCTGTAATTCGATCTTGAATCTGATCTCTAATTCGAACTGTAATTCGAATCCGAACTCTAATTCGAATTCGAATTCTAATTCGAATCCGAACTCGAATACGAACTTGTATCTGAACTCTAATTCGAACATGAACTTTAATTCGAATTCGAACCTGAACTCTAATTCGAATCCGAACTCGAATTCGAACTCTAATTCAAATCCAAACTCCAATTCGAACTCTAACCCGAATCCAAACTCGAATTAGAACTCCAACTCGAATCCGAACTCCAATTCGAATCCGAATTTCGCTTTACGAACCGCTTTTCGCTTCCGAAATACGCGAGACTCGTCGAACGGATCAATTCGCCGCGGAACCCTGGGTAATATTTTCGCGAAGCGCAAACGATAACGCGGTATCTCGTGGACCATCGTAGAGATCCGATAAGCACCGACACGATAACAGCCCGCGGAACTCGCGTACCCTGGCGATATTGCTCGAGTATCGACGCGTACGCGGCGTAGGAAGGCATACTTGTCGGCATGAATCATGATTGAGGACGTGGGGAGCATCGAGAAAGTTGGAGTTACACGATGCCCGGTAATATCCGGAAGGCCTCTCTCGCACAGAGGGATCCGTTGGAGATTACGCTTTCCATGTGCCGTGTACATGTGCGCGGACGCGTTCTATGCGCATGCATAGACGAATGCACCGGCGTGCAAGTGCACGAGCGTTCGAGCGTAACGCCGCGGTCTCTATACGGACGATGCGATTTTCGCCTCGGCAATGTCAAGGATCCTTTTTCATGCTGATTACGATTTCCGAGCTGGACGAAGAGCGCCGATCTCGACGGCGAGGCGATCGCAGGTCCATTTTTCGTCGCGAAGATCGCGTGCACGAGCGTTCGAGCGTAACGCCGCGGTTTCTATGCGGACGATGCGATTTTCGCCTCGACAATGTCAGAGATCCTTTCCACGCTGATTAGGATTTTCGAGCTGGACGAAGAGCGCCGATCTCGACGGCGAGGCGATCGCAGGGCCATTTTCCGTCTCGAAGATCGTCGACGATCGCTCGCGTCGGCGGAAACCTCGCGCGGATTACGCGGCCGATTTGCCCTGATCGAACGCCGTCGAGATTCGCTCGCGCGAATACAGTAATGTCTCTCTAATTGATGCCCAGATTGCGCACGAAAATGGACAATTTGGGGAGGCGAGATACGATTATTCGAGCCACGTAGCTTGTTTTTATAATTGTTGACTATATTGTTGACTATATTGTTGACTTTATAATTGTTGACGACTATAAAACGAGCCGCGAGGCTATCTCCTCTTCCCAAATTGTCCATTTTTGTGTACAATCCGAGCGTCAATTAGGGAGACATTACTGTACATTGTTTGTATACCATCTGAAGGACAATTAGGGAGAATTTACTGTACCGTGTCTCTGCGGGACGACTAGAAATTATGATCCGGAAATGAAGACGGACATTTGTATACGTCAAATTCTCTCGATTTCTCACAGTTATCGGTCAAAGTCGTGTGACATCGCGATTTTCGCTGTCCCTTAATCGTCTTTAACTCGCAACAACGTCAACTATTATATTTACTTCGATGCTCAAGCATCGCTGAAAAGTGAACAGAATGAGCCATGCTCAATTAGACTAATTTTAGAATATCCTTAGTCTTTATTCAGGCCTCTATGTAGTCCCTTTTTCGGCCGGTACAGTAATGTCTCCCTANATTTGGGGAGGCGAGATACGATTATTCGAGCCACGTAGCTTGTTTTTATAATTGTTGACTATATTGTTGACTATATTGTTGACTTTATAATTGTTGACGACTATAAAACGAGCCGCGAGGCTATCTCCTCTTCCCAAATTGTCCATTTTTGTGTACAATCCGAGCGTCAATTAGGGAGACATTACTGTACATTGTTTGTATACCATCTGAAGGACAATTAGGGAGAATTTACTGTACCGTGTCTCTGCGGGACGACTAGAAATTATGATCCGGAAATGAAGACGGACATTTGTATACGTCAAATTCTCTCGATTTCTCACAGTTATCGGTCAAAGTCGTGTGACATCGCGATTTTCGCTGTCCCTTAATCGTCTTTAACTCGCAACAACGTCAACTATTATATTTACTTCGATGCTCAAGCATCGCTGAAAAGTGAACAGAATGAGCCATGCTCAATTAGACTAATTTTAGAATATCCTTAGTCTTTATTCAGGCCTCTATGTAGTCCCTTTTTCGGCCGGTACAGTAATGTCTCCCTAATTGACGCCCAGATTGCGCACAAAACTGGACAATCTCGGAAGAGGAGACGCGATTATTCGAACCTTGCGGTTTATTCGTATATAGTTATAAATCCTAAAAACGAGCCGCGAGGCTCGAACAATCGTATCGCCTCTTCCGAAATGATCGATTTTAGTGGGCGATCCGAGCGTCAGTAAGGGAGACATTAACTGTATTTGTTGCGGGTCGCGCGGAACGGCGCGGCGACGCGCGATGTTCGGTAAACGTTCACCGCTACCGTTACAGTTTCCTCGTACATGCAACTGAATATAGTGTGTCTAATTTTACCGCGGCATTCGCCGGTGATTTGCTCTCTCGCGCGGCGTGCTCCCCGAGTCGTGAAACACCAGTTTCACGATTACCTCGTTCTTGAACCTGACCCCCACGGGCCAACCCCCGCGCGCCGCGCCCTCGACAATATTTTCAGCCGTCGACCGGCCACGAATTTCCTCGCGATCATCCCCACGAAAATTTTTCCCCGCATCGTCGATCCGTCGTCGACGATTTCGTGCCAGGGATGATTCGCCGATCGATCGGAATCGTTTCCCCGAATTCCGCGGGGCCCGCCGGGTGAAAGTTCGAGCGTCGCGGGCGGCTTCTCCTTTGACAGTCAGACCGGGGTTCGGGTCTTCGCCCTGGTCTTGAACGCCACGTATAAATAGCCGCGGTTCAGCCATAGGTCGATTCTCTATACTAAACTATTCCAGAAAGAACCTCGCATAGCGTGGTTCTTCGAAGCGAATTACTCTATCGATCGCGATTACGATTACGCTAGCGCGCGCGCTCCAGCCAGCGGCGAGATTGGATCGGCGGCGGCTCGTTAGGCCGATTAAAATGTGAAATAATTAGTTCTCGCGCGGCGCGAGAGAGACCACGGCGAAAGGTGGCTCCGATTTTAGAACCGATCGGAGGCAACGGGCTTCGTCGTCGACCTCGTTCGAGGCCGCCGAGTGTTTCGTTTTTCTTTTTTTTTCACCGCCGATAGGATGAGTCGCGGGGAACAGTGTCAGCAGTTTTCGAGGCAACTTTTTGACCCTGTTAGACGACGACGAAAGATTCCGTCTTCGGTGTCGCGTCCCGTCGGACGCGAGAATCGTCGACGAATCGACGAACAGATTCGTCGAAGCGCGCGCGCGCGGCTTTATAAAAGCTCGGATGGAAATGTTTGCGAGGGTTGCCTGGATCTCGGGTTATTTCGCGGCCGGGGATCCGTCGATCGCGCGAACGAGCCGTGGAGCGGGCGTCGCGCGCACAAGCCGGCCGAAAGACAACGGAAAACTGTGTCTAAACATAGTCCGGGGCAAACCCCGTAGCGTTTCGGGCATCCGTCGTCAAGCGAGATAAAGCGAAAAAGAAAGAAAGAAAGCAAGCAAGCGAGCAAGCCGATGCAAATCGAGAAACGCGATGGGAACCGGCACGGACGCGAACGCGAATACGAATACGAGTACGAATACGAATACGCGGCCAGGGAACACACGTGCTGCGCGCGCGGTTCCGCCGCGGTTCTAGGGGACGCCATACCCGGGAGGCGGGGTAAATGCTCCGACGAAGAAACCCACGATTTTGTCTATATTTAGCGGCGTGTATTCTCACCGCACTGTTTTTAAGTACGGCCCGTACATACCGTATGTAGGTATGCGTTATATAGACACGCGTGTACATATACGCTTGCACGGAACTCGTGCGCGGCTCTCGTCGCGGCTTCGTGCATGCACGCTGGATTCGGGACGTCGATGCGAGAGGATAAGAGAGGATGCGAGACGATACGAAATGGTGCGAAATGGTGCGAAACGATAGAGAACGATATGAGACGAGACGAGACGATACAGAACGATTTGAGACGAGACGCGACGCTACAGAACGATATGAGACGATACAAAACTATACGAGACGATACAGAACGATTTCAGATGAGACGAGACGATACAGAACGATACTAGACGATACGCAAACTTTTAACCCTTCGGGTACATTTGACGATTGAGAAGACTCGTCATGCACGTATTTTGCCTTATGGTTGACGAGTCTACTTCGTCCGTGAAATGAAAATGAAATGAAATCCGTTTCGAACGCAAGAATTTGTTCAAAATACAGTAATTTCTAAAGAATAGACAATTATTGAAGAGGAAATGCGATTATTCGTCTCGCTTTTAGAGTTACCGATTGCCAACAACAATAAAAACGAGCCGCGAGGCTCGAATAATCGTACAGTATCGTATAGAACACTACAGTATAGTATAATATATAGTATAATAATATTATATTACATAATATAACAGATTAACGTGATATAATATAATATAATAAGTTAATGTAATATTATATAACAGAATAGATTAATATAATATTATATAATATTAGACAGAATTACAAAAGAATTTGCTGCAGCACAATTAACGCGTTAACATACAGTATACAATATTTTCGAGAAGAACGAAAGAACGTCGCGCGAGAACGAGCGTCCATAAAAATTGACCCAGTTCGAGCCATCCTTGCCGCAGTCACCAATTGTCAATAACTACAAAAACGAGCCTCGCAGCTCCGAATAATCGCATCTTCTCTTCCCAAATTCTCCATTTTCGCGCGCAATCCGATCGCGAATTAAGGAATGATTACCGTAAGCAATTAATTACCCAAGGAATCAACGTTGCGACCATCCATCGTACGCGACCATTTCTGCCAAAGAAAATGTGTTTAGGGGTCGCGCAGTATTAAAGGGCACTCCGTCCCCCGTCCTCGCTCGTCCTCCTTCTCTTACGTGTGCGGCACACGGCTTCTCTTCGATCATCTCCAGGGCTTCCGATCAATTTGACATAGGGAGTTGTTGCTGGTTCTGTGGTTCGATAGAACCATCTAAACGGTTCGCGATGCTCCTAATCGCGTCCACGTATACGCGATTCCGTTCCGGCTATCGGAATATATTTATATACAATACAATATTTATATATATATAAATAAATAAATATATATATATATAAAATAATTGTATATAATACAATATTATATAATATGGTATGGTATAATATATATGGTATAATATGGTTTTATATGGTATTATATAATATTGTGTGTATTATATATATATATATATTTATATATAATACAATATTTTTGTATTATATACAATTATTTTATTTTATATTATTACAATATTTTTCTGCGGCGTCGCTTGCACCAGCGCGTCGCCGTCGGACTCGCCTCGACCGACGGCTAATAATTTTCCCGAGACGAAGAAACACCGACCGCCGTTGCTCGCGCGACATTCAGTCCCTATTTCATTCTTAGTCCAATTGTTATTCCTAGAACGCGAATGTCCGTCGAAATGAACGCCGAGAAGCTTCGCAACCGATCGGGGTCACGGGTCGCGGCGAGGCTCGACGTAATCTCCGAACATCTTTCGTTCGGTCGAACCGGCGTGTAAACTGTTCACCCGTGAACAGGTTAAAACGGCTCGCATAAACGCGAGCCCTAAGTTCGAGTCGCGGCGAGAGGCAACGGTAACGAGCGGCGGGTAAGAGCGCGCGGCGGGTGCACAGGATACGCAACGATCGATTGATGGCTACTACAGAGCCGACCACGTGACGGGGTGCGGTATTCGTGACGTCATAGCGCGATTCCCCTTCTTAGAGCGAGCCCTGTCATCGTTCGCACGTAATTCTATTTTTCTCTCGACAGGCAATGTTTAGTTCAATATCCTTGCCTATACCTAACCTATAACATAATCGAAAATAACCTTACCTTAGCGCCCGGCTTAGCTCGCGGTTCCGTCATCCTCTGCACCTGTCTACGCGGCCGATCACTGCGTCACGGGACCGTATCAGGTCTTGAAGAAATGACGTATGCTCCTTTATACTCTTCTATCGTACGGACGAATTCGCCGATTCCTATGAAGAAGGTTAAGTTCAAATAATCACGAAACTTAGAATTATTACTTAAGGTTCGCAAAAGATCTTGTCTGAACGAAAGTAATCAAGTATTTCCGTAGAAAATGCCAAAAGTAACGCTTAGAACACGGAGCGAATAACGAAGGTTTTTAATGGGTCGAACGAGGCGTGGCTTGGTTGGAATCGAACTGTTCAATGACTGCTTTATTCGGAGGTCCGCGCGTTTAGGCGATTAGGCCTCGGAGACGTTGGAATGTCGCCTTGCTTCACAACTGCGTCGGACGCGTGCGTCCGTTGATTTCACGTCGACCATGTATATGCGGGACCGTTCATTATATTTTTGCGAAATGTCGCGCGAAAACTTTCGGTTCGCCGTTGTCGCGAGGGGGTTATGTCAGGTTAGAGGCACGCGTAGTAGCTGGAGACACGGCTTCGCGGCCGATGAGAGACGGGAGATTAGAGACGCAAGATGGAGGACTCGGAGAACGGTTCTCATATCTTCTTAACCTTAGCCTCGCGTTACTTGACCCTGAATCGTACAGCCGCCGCCACCACGCTTTATGAAGCCACCGTAGTGCAGCCTCTTGGGCGTTCTGTGCTCGGTTATGACGACCCATTGGATATTATCCTGACGTCGAGACCTCGTCCTAGGTCGCGATCATATAATCTCTTTGTGGTTGAATTTTCACAACGGTCCCGTCGCTGGTGTTTGTTCCAGGATTCCTGTCGTGGGACAAGGACAGCTGTCACGTGGACTTGGAGAAGGAACTGCTGGCCCTGGTGGCGCAGGCACCCGAGGGCGAAGAAGCTCGGAACGGTATACACGACACGCTTGTTTATTACGCATTATAGACTATTTTCTCCCCGTTTAAGATCCGACTATATCGTGCTTACGGATCGTGTACTCGATCCGACTCGGTCTTACGATAGATTCCCCGTTGCGCCGCTGGTACGACGGTTCATCCAACGAGACGATTGAAATTTCAGGCGAACGACTGATCCAATACGCTACCGAGAATCTTGTCACGGAAGTTCTCATTCACCCGCAAACGAACACGTTGCTGCAATGCATTCGTAATCTGCTCGCCAGTTTCACGAAGCATCGGCACATCATACACGCTGGCTACACGTTCGGCGGAAACGGTTCCTGGATACTGCAAGTACGCCACACACACACACTCACACACACACACACACAGCTTCTTCTACCGCTTTCCCGCGCGCGCTCATCGCGTTAACGGACGAGCCTAGTAGCGACATCTGTATCGTTGCAGGATGGAACCTTCAGCATCGCCGATTTTCTCGACGCGTTCAGCGAGCACGAGGTGCAACGGGTTCTGCGCGCCTACGAGAACAGCGTCACGGTCGACATACATTGCGCGGGTGTCGGCGACTGGACGACGAATCGCTTGTCCAAAGAAGCTTGCACCAGGTACGCCGGGATTGTTGTTTACAGCGTTCATCTTCTTCTTCTTTTTCTCCGTTTATCTTCTTCTCCTTTTTCTCCGTTCATCCTCTTCTTCTTTTTCTCTACGGCAGATCCTGCAGGGTCAGGGTGAACCCGGACGACGTGCTCACCGCCGGTGTGCCGGCGATCGCCAGTTTCATCAACTACGTGGGACAGTACCTGGTCCCGCAGACGCTGGACCAGCTGATGGAGCCGTCCGACGTCGTCGGCAACATTAGGTTTAGCCATCCAACTTTATACGTCTTCCCCGGCGGACAGGGTGACGCCGCTCTGTTCGGCATCAACGGTTTCAACATGCTCGTGGACGGAGGCTTCGCCAGGAAGGCGTGCTTCTGGGACTTCACCAGGCACCTGGACCGGCTCGACGCGGTCCTCGTCACTAGGATAAACAACAGCAATGTCGGCGGCATGTTCAGCGTTCTACGGAAGAAGAAGGACATGCAAGTCTATCCACAGATAGGACATTTCTTCTGCAACCTAATCGTGAGTAACGTTCTTACGATCGCGGGATTCGCCGTTTTCTCGGTTATACGGGGTGTCCCGAAAATGTCTTGCAATTCGGAAATGGTTCCTCGGATCATTTGAAGCAACTTCTTCCTTTACGAAAATTTTCTCCGAGGCACCGTTAACGAGTTATTAACGAAAAACAGTGACCAATGAGAGGCGAGCTCGGCTGGCGCGAAGGAATCTCTAGCTTCCTGGAAACAACGAAATGTTTCATTTCCTGGAATTATCATAATTTTGGGACACCTTGTAGCCAGCTTCGACGCGTTTCTAACTAATTATTCAAGATTTTCGAGTCTGTCGAACTAAACAATTGTGATTCCCCCGCGACAGGAGAGAAGACAGTCGAATTCACCGGACGGAGATAAAGACGTAGACCCTTTGATCCTGAATCTGACGGACATCGGCCAGGAGATGGTGATCAATCTGCGTCACATCAGCCTACGCTCGCATCAGTGCTACAGAGATCCAGACCCGATCAACCTATACCACAAAGTTGGCCACGGCACGCTGGACATGTACGTGCTCAGCCCGACCAAGGACAGTCGGGAGGTCAGGGAGTTCCTGGCTAAATNGTTTAGCCATCCAACTTTATACGTCTTCCCCGGCGGACAGGGTGACGCCGCTCTGTTCGGCATCAACGGTTTCAACATGCTCGTGGACGGAGGCTTCGCCAGGAAGGCGTGCTTCTGGGACTTCACCAGGCACCTGGACCGGCTCGACGCGGTCCTCGTCACTAGGATAAACAACAGCAATGTCGGCGGCATGTTCAGCGTTCTACGGAAGAAGAAGGACATGCAAGTCTATCCACAGATAGGACATTTCTTCTGCAACCTAATCGTGAGTAACGTTCTTACGATCGCGGGATTCGCCGTTTTCTCGGTTATACGGGGTGTCCCGAAAATGTCTTGCAATTCGGAAATGGTTCCTCGGATCATTTGAAGCAACTTCTTCCTTTACGAAAATTTTCTCCGAGGCACCGTTAACGAGTTATTAACGAAAAACAGTGACCAATGAGAGGCGAGCTCGGCTGGCGCGAAGGAATCTCTAGCTTCCTGGAAACAACGAAATGTTTCATTTCCTGGAATTATCATAATTTTGGGACACCTTGTAGCCAGCTTCGACGCGTTTCTAACTAATTATTCAAGATTTTCGAGTCTGTCGAACTAAACAATTGTGATTCCCCCGCGACAGGAGAGAAGACAGTCGAATTCACCGGACGGAGATAAAGACGTAGACCCTTTGATCCTGAATCTGACGGACATCGGCCAGGAGATGGTGATCAATCTGCGTCACATCAGCCTACGCTCGCATCAGTGCTACAGAGATCCAGACCCGATCAACCTATACCACAAAGTTGGCCACGGCACGCTGGACATGTACGTGCTCAGCCCGACCAAGGACAGTCGGGAGGTCAGGGAGTTCCTGGCTAAATGGCACGCGGCCGACTCGAAGCTGTTCGCAGGTTCTCACAAGAAGGACTCGAACAACCTGACGTTCCCGATACAGAATCTCGTCTCGATATGCGCGCTGCTCGTGTGGCAGCCGGCGAATCCCGAGGACACGATCACAAGGATCCTGTTCCCGGGCAGCACGCCCCAGCACAAGATCTTCGAAGGCTTCGAGCGGCTGAAGCACCTGGAGTTCCTGAAGCACCCGGTCTGCTCGGCGAAGAGCCTGTCGCCGTCCACGTCGTTGGCCACATTACGCGACAAGCCGGTCAAGCAGAAGCTGGGCTTGCTGGAGAAGGAGTCAGCGAGGCGGACGATAGACACGAAGCGGCACGAGAAGAAGGAGAAGGAGCGGGAGAAGGAGAAGGAGAAGGACACAACGACGACCGAGCCCAGAGCGGTGAAGGCGGACGACGCGCAACCGAAGGGCACCCCGATCATCTCGACGAAGCCGGCGAAGATCGAGGCGAAGCCGAGGAAGGTGCTGGACAACAAGAAGGAGGCGGAGGTGAAGGAGAGCCGGAAGATCGAGAAGGAGCTGCGAGAGGCGAAGAAGGAGGCGCCGGCGGTGAAGAAGGTGGAGAAGCCAGCGCCGCCGGAGGACAAATTCGAGAAGCAAGAAGACGTCACAACGAAACCGGAAGCGGACAAGCTGATCGTGCCGCCGAAAGAACCGAAACCAAAGAAGAAGGAAGCTGCGAAGGGGGTCGGCGTGAAGAAGGTGGACGCGGGGAAGCCGAAGACGGTGGAGAAGCGAGTGAAACAGACGACGACCGCCGCGGAGAGGAAAGACGGGACGGTGAAGTCGTCGCCGACGACGCCGAAGAAGAGCGTGAACGGCGTCGCCAGCAGGCCGGAGATAACGCGAGCCGGCGTGCCGAAGGCGAGGGCGGCGGCACCCAAGGCTGCAGCCGCGCCGCCGGCGAAGAGCGCGAAGGACGCGAACAACCGAAAGGTCGTGGAGCAGAAGAAGATCGAGAGGTCAGCGATCAAGGAAGCAGCAAAAGAGACCCCGGGGATGACGGCGGTCGCTGCGGTGGCCGTCGCAGCCACCAGAGTAGCGGCTGCGAAACCGAAGCCGATGGACAGACGGCCGATCGGCCGCCGCGGCAAGCCGGTCAGCCCGAGCAAGGTCAGAGTTCCCGGCAGTCCGGCGAAGTCGACGCGCAGCACGCCGACCACTTCGGTCAAGTCCGACAAGGACGGAGTGATCCGGAAGCCGAAGGCGGGAGACAAAGGCACCACAGACTCGTCGACGGTGTCGACGCCGTCCGGGATCGAAGCGGAAACCGCGGCCGCGGCCGCCGCGGCAGCGCGGCTCGCCGAGAAGAGCCTGATCGAGAAGTCCGAGGACATCTCGCTGGACTCGATCGAGAGCAAGGTGCTGGCCGACCTGAAGGAGGAGCGGGAGGTCGTGGAGGAGATCGAGGCTGTGCTGCAGAAGGCCGAGAGGATCGAGGAGACGAGGAAGGACGACCGGTTCGAGGGCGACGACGAGATCACCGCGGAGGTGACCGACAAGAAGGAGGAGGACATCACGGAGGAGGACGTGACCGCCGAGATCGAGGACGCGCCTAAGAAGGACAGCCTACGCAAAGGTAGCCAAGAGCTGACGGAGGAGGACGAGTACCTGATCGTCGAGAAGGAGGAGGTTTACACGGAGGACTCGATGCAGAGCGGCGAGGGTGAACAGAAGCACATCCTCGACGAGGCGGAGTCCGAGAAGGCGAAGATCCTGAAGGACGCCGAGCTGGTCAAGGAGAAGGACGACGAGGAGGAGGAGGAGGAGGAAGAGGAAGAAGAAGAGGAAGAAGAGGAGGAAGAGGAGGAAGAGGAAGAAGAAGAAGAGGAGGAAGAGCTCGAGGAAGACGCCGAGGAAGAAGAGGAGATCGAGGAGAAAGAAAAGGACGAGATCGCGGAGAAGAGACGCGAGTCGCTCGATGCTAAACTGGAGGCGATCGTCCCCGTAGACAAGGAGAAAAAGGAGCCCCCCTCCCCGCCCTCCGACCGCCGAGAACCCTCTGTCGAAGAAGCGAAAGACGTTGTATCTCCAGCGACGGACACCGTCCCGAAGGCCGACGAGCGCGACGACTCCGGCAAGAAGGACAGCGAGGACGTGACCAAGGAGCCGTCCAGCCTGAGTCCGGACAAACTGGACTCCTCGGAGAAGAAGACCACAGACACAGACCTAAAACCAGAAGCGGACCAAAAGGAGCAAGTTCCCTCGCAGAAGTTGGAAGAATCGCAGGAGCGGATCTCCACGCTGGAGTCCGGCGCCACGACCACCGCGCCGACGCTTCCCGAGGACGAAAGGATACCTCTGGACGGGATCAAGGAGGACATCGACGAGAAGCACATCGTCGAGGACGTGAAGGAGAAGGAGGCGGTTCCAGCGAAGGCTGTGCCAGACGTTGCCGACAGCGCGATCGCGACCACCACCGTCACCACGACCGACGCCACGACGACGGCCGCGGTTGCTGCCGCAGCCGCGGTCGGAGCAACCGCAACTCCAGCAGCGGCCGACGTAGCCGCAGCCGTTCCCAGCGCCGTTCCAAGAGCCGTCGCGCCCGCAGCCGCGAAGCCGGACGTGCAGGTGTTCGAGGTGCGCCAGGCCGCGCCGTGCCTGCAGCGCGACATCGTGAAGACCCCGGACGAGGTCGCTGATTTACCGGTTCACGAGGAGGTGGACCCGAAACTGTACCGAATGGACGACTTCGAGAAGGAGAAGGAGGACAAGCCGGCCCCGCAGGAGGTCAAGGAGCCGCCGACGCCGCCGGTCAAAGAACAAAAAGGAGTATTCAGCTTCTTCGGCAAGGTCGCGGACAAGTTCGAGAAGGGCATCGACAAGCTGACGAAGAAGTCGCGGAAGGAGCAGGACAAGGACGCCGAGGATAAGTCCTCGTCGAAGTCCAGCTCGCCGAAGGAGGTCAAGGGGCAGGAGAAGACGCTGCTCGAGGAGGTCGACATGGAGAAGATGTTCCCGAAGGTGGTCGGCAAGCCTAGCGAGAAGGTCGAGGAGGCCGAGCCGAAGGTGAGCGACGCGAAGGTGCCAGCTGCGGTCGAGGAACCCGTGGAAGAAGCAGTCAAACGCGTCGAGGAGAAAGCGGAAGCCGAGCCACCGTCGCGACGCGAATCCGTCGCCCCAGAAAAACCAGACGAGAAAAAAGAGGAGGTAGCTGTTTCGAAGAAACTGGAGGAGGAGAAGAAGAAGATCGTAGAAAAAGAAGCACCGAAAGAACCGGAAAAAGAAGAAGACAAGAAAGTAGAAAAAGTTGAAGCAAAAGAACCCGCGGCGGTCGTCGAGAAGTTCATCGAGGCGGAAAAGGCGCAGATCGCCGTCACCGAAGCCGCGAAGAAGCCCCTGAGGGACTCGTTCGAGTCCCTTGAGGACGAGATCGCTGCTCTAACGCGAGAAGCACCGCCGGTGAAGGACGCCGTGAAGGACACGCTGGAGGGCGTTGTCGAGAAACTCGAAGAGATTCAGCCTCAGATCGCGGAGGCTGCGGCGAAGGAAGCGGACAAGGTTCAGTTCGAGATCGCGAAGGTCGACGAGGAGCTGGTGCCGGGCTACGACGACGAGGCGGTCGCTGGCGCCGTCAGGGACGTGAAGGAGGCGGTGCGCGACGTCGGCGAGGTCCTCGCGGGCACGGTCGGCATCGAGATCGACGAGAAGCCGAAGGACGTGATCGAGATCGTGAAGAAGGTCGCGCAGGTTCTGAGGGAGGACGACGACCACTTCCTCTCGGACAAGGTGCTGTTCGGGACGGAGGGCAAGCCGGCCTCGCTGGACATCAAACCGGATGACAAGTTCGTGATCCCGACCAAGGTGGGCATCACGGAGGAGCTGCCGCCGCAGGAGGAGATCGCGGAGCTCATCGAGGAAGCCGTGGCCCCTGCGGCACCCACGGCCGCGCCCACGGCCGCACCCTTACCCGAGAAGCCGCTGGACGCGGCCGAGGTGTGCGAGGAGGAGCCCTGCGTGAAGACGATCCTGGAAAAGGACGCGAGGGTCGCGTCGCCAGAGGCAGAAACAGCGGCTCGAGACGCGAAAGACATCTGCGCGGAGCTGATGGAAGAGAAGCCCGCCGGCCGAGCCAAGAGAGAAGTCGGAACGCCGCGAGAAGCGTCGCCGGAGGCGGACGTGATGCAGGCTGGATTGGAGGCCGTGTGCAAGAAGGAGGTGGTCGAGTCGCCGCCCGAGGAGAAGCACGTGCCGGACACGATCGAGGAGTCCGTGATCGGGTTCGAGCAGAAGATCTCGCCGGCCGAGGCGGAGATCGTGACGATCTCGCCGGGGTCGACGCCGACGTCGCCGAAGTTCGTCGCGGAGAAGATCTGCGAGCTGCCGGCCGACATCAAGCTGATCGTCGACGACGCGACGCAGCGCCTCGAGGAGATCATCGAGCAGCTGGTCACCAGGAGGAGCAAGATCACGATCGAGATCGTCGAGTACATCACGATCGTGAAGCGGGTGCCCAGGGAGCGGGTGATCTACATCATCCAGGAGACGATCGTGAGGAAGGGGCTCCGCCGGGAGGATGTGGTCAGCAACGCGGAGGTCCTGAACCTCGACGAGGCCACGATCACGCCGGAACTGCAACGGGAGCTCGAGGACCGCATCATCAACGAGTACGTTGCGAAGGGTAAGCGTATCACAATCAGAATCATCGAGGAGATCTCGGTGACGATGAAGATTCCGAGGACGATCATAATCCGGATCATTCAAGAGATTATCTTTAAGAAAAAGATTCAGGTGCCGGTGGACGACGGGCTCTTCGAGGCTGAGACGGTGGGCGCCGAGGAGGAGGAGGAGGAGGCGGAAGCGGTGATCGCGCCTGCAGTGGCTGAGAAGAAGAAGCCGCCGGCGGAGGCAAAGAAAGCTGAACCAGAGGACATCGCAGACATGAAGAAGGAAACACCCGCGCCCAAAGAGCAGCCGAAAGAAGCGAAATCGCCGGAGAAAGAAGCGGAAGAAGAAGAGGAAGAAGAGGAGGAGGAGGAAGACGGTTTCGTCACCATCGGCAGGAAACTCTCGAAAGAGACGATCGAGAAGGAGTCTCCGGAAGCAGCGAAGCAAGCGGCCGACAAGGCGCAGGAGAAGGACGTCACCGACGACTTCGAGGCCGTCGAGCAAGAGTACAAAGTTCGCGACGTCCGCGGCGCTCCCCTCGACTATCTGAGCGAAGCCAAGGACAAGGATTACGCCGAGGAGGCCGTGGAGGTCTTCGACATTATCGAGGCCGACGAGAAGTTCGTGCACGAGACCAAGGAGAAGCTGGAGAAGAAAGAGGTCGACGAGCCAAAGGTCGCGGAGAAGGACGAGAGGAGAGAGTCGATGGTGTTCGCCGATGCGTCGGACGCGGGCGACGTGTCGGAAGCGACCGACACCGTCGAGAAGTACCTGGACGAGGCTAAGGAGAAGCAGGAGCCGAAGGTCGAGCCCGTGGTGCGATCGCCCGAGAAGCCTGTCGACGAGGAGAAACCCGCGGCGGAGCGGATCGTCGACGAGAAACCGTCGGAGAAGATGGAGGTCGAGGTCGTCGAGCAGGTGACGAAGCTGGCGGACGCCACCGGGAGAGCCGCCGAGCCGAAAACTGTGGAACACGAGGAGAAGGATGACCGGAAGCCGGAGAAATTGCTAGAAAAATCGCCGGAAAAGTCGCCGGAAATATCTCCGGAGAAATCGCCAAAAATATCGCCAGAAAAATCCCCGGAAAAATCACCAAAAATATCGCCAGAAAAGTCCCCGGAAAAGTCTCCGGAAAAGTCGCCGAAAATATCCCCGGAAAAATCTCCAGAAAAATCACCGATGGCATCGCCGGACAAAGAGGAAGAAGCTGACATTTCTCCGGTGAAAGAGAAGGCCGATGACGAACTCGATGAAAAAATAAAGCCTACACCCACACCGACACCGACACCGACAACGACGCCGACGTCGAAGCTCGCCGACGAGGACACTGGATCCGTCAGACGGATGCTGGTCACAGCGAGCAGCGAGGACGGCGGCCACGAGACCGAGATTTGTCCGAGCGGCAGCATAACGTTCACGAAGACGGTGACGCCGGACGATTCGTTGAGGGACGCGTCGGTGAAATCGACGCCCGACAAGGATTCCCTGCTCTTGGACAAGGACTCGCTTCGCTCGGGAACGAGCAGCCCGGAACGGGACAGTATCTCGGACAAGTCGGCACCGGGAGCCAAGGACATCGGCAAGGTCACGCCGGAGGACAGCTTGGACAAGTCGCCGATAGACGCGCGCGACTCTCAGGACCTCGACGACAGTTTGGAGAAAGTCGTGAAAGCGAAGGAAGCCGCGCCTTCCATCGAACCGGAAACACCGAAGTCGCCGCCGAAATCGCCGCCGAAGAGCGAGGAAGTCTCGCCGAAGATAGAAACCGCCGAACTGGAATTGAAACTCGACGCGAGATCCGCGGAGCGTGTCAGCCCGTCGAAGTCGCCGGAATCGATCCGCTCGGAGGACGTTTCGCCGGCGGAAACCATCTTCACGAAATCGCCGACGGAGAAGAAGAAGATCGACGAGGCCGTGTCGAAAGCGGAGGAGCCGGAGCCGATCATAACCGCGGAGCCGCCTGTGATGATTTGCCCCGCGAAACCGGAGAAAGACGACAAACTTGAAGAGGCAGAACCCGAAAAACCTGGCGAGAAGAGCCCCCCGTCGCCGGTTGACAAAGAAATCGAAGCGGAAGCGAAGGAGAAAGACGTCGGCAAACGCGCGTCCATGGTCATAACCAGCGACGAACTCGAGAAGATCGTCGCCATGGAGACGGTCGAAGCTGAAGTGAAACCGGCCGATGCGAAATCACCGATCGCCGCAGTCGATTTAGCCGAGGCCGACGAAAAATCCGTCAGCGACGCGAAACTCGAGGAGAAGTCTAGATCGCCGAGCATCGCGAGCGTGACCAGCGAATTGAAGGAGCCCGTCGATCGCTCGAAATCTCCGAGCGTCGCAAGCGACAAGTCTGATAAGGACGAAAAGGATATCGATGAGAAGGTACCGGAGAAACCTACGCCACGAGCTAGCATAACAGGCGAAGTAATCGGCGCGGAAGAGAAGGAAGAGAAACCATTGGACAAGTCTAGATCGCCCTCGATCGTTGCTGAAAAGCTCGACGAAAAGCCATTGGACAAATCCAGATCGCCGTCGATCGTTTCCGAGAAGCTCGACGAAAAGCCGCTGGACAAGTCTAGATCGCCCTCCATCGTTGCCGAAGAGGCGGATGAAAAATTATTGGACAAATCTCGATCGCCTTCCATCGTAGCTGAAAAGCTCGAGGAAAAGTTACTGGATAAATCTCGATCGCCGTCGATCGTTTCCGAAAAGCTCGACGAAAAACCACTGGACAAGTCTAGATCGCCTTCTGTAGTTGCCGAAGAGGCTGATGAAAGATTATTGGACAAATCTAGATCGCCTTCCATCGTTGCTGAAAAGCTCGACGAGAAGCCATTGGACAAATCAAGATCGCCGTCGATCGTTTCCGAGAAGCCCGACGAGAAACCATTAGATAAATCTAGATCGCCTTCCATCGTTGCCGAAGAGGTTGATGAAAAGCCACTGGACAAGTCTAGATCGCCTTCCATCGTTGCTGAAAAGCTCGACGAGAAGCCATTGGATAAATCGAGATCGCCGTCGATCGTTTCTGAAAAGCCCGACGAAAAACCGCTGGACAAATCCAGATCGCCTTCCATCGTTGCCGAAGAGCTCGATGAAAAAGCACTCGAAAAGCCTAGATCGCCTTCCATCGTATCTGAAAAGCCCGATGAAAAACCATTAGATAAATCCAGATCGCCTTCCATCGTAGCCGAAGAGCCAGATGTAAAAGCATTGGAAAAATCTAGATCGCCTTCCATCGTTGCTGAAGAGCCCGACGTAAAAGAATTGGAAAAATCTAGATCACCTTCCATCGTATCTGAAAAGCCCGACGAAAAAGCACTGGACAAATCTAGATCGCCTTCCATCGTTGCCGAAGAGATCGGTGAAAAATTACTGGATAAATCTCGATCGCCCTCGATCGTTGCTGAAAAGCTCGACGAAAAGCCATTGGATAAATCCAGGTCGCCATCGATCGTTTCCGAGAAGCCCGATGAAAAAGCACTCGATAAGTCTAGATCGCCATCGATCGTTGCCGAAGAACCCGACGTAAAAGCATTGGACAAATCTAGATCGCCTTCTATCGTGTCTGAAAAGCTCGACGAAAAGCCATTGGACAAATCTAGATCGCCGTCGATCGTTTCTGAAAAACCTGAAGAAAAACCACTTGATAAGTCTAGATCGCCTTCCATCGTTGCCGAAGAGGTCGATGAAAAACCACTAGACAAATCCAGATCGCCTTCTATCGTGTCTGAAAAACCCGATGAGAAACCACTGGACAAGTCGAGATCGCCTTCCATCGTTGCTGAAGAGCTCGATGAAAAAGCCGTGGAAAAATCAAGATCGCCTTCCATCGTTGCTGAAGAGATCGTCGAAAAAGTACTGGAGAAATCTAGATCGCCTTCCATCGTATCCGAGAAACCAGACGAAAAAGCATTGGACAAATCTAGATCGCCCTCCATCGTTGCTGAAGAGGTCGATGAAAAGGCAGTGGAAAAATCTAGATCGCCTTCCATCGTGTCTGAAAAGCTCGACGAAAAGCCATTGGACAAATCTAGATCGCCTTCCATCGTGTCTGAAAAGCTCGACGAAAAGCCATTGGACAAATCTAGATCGCCTTCCATCGTTGCTGAAGAGCCAGCTGAAAAACCACTGGACAAATCGAGATCGCCTTCTATCGTTGCTGAAGAGCCCGATGAAAAAGCACTCGAAAAATCTAGATCGCCTTCCATCGTATCAGAAAAACCCGATGAAAAACCACTGGACAAGTCGAGATCGCCTTCCATCGTTGCTGAAGAGCCCGATGCAAAAACACTGGAAAAATCTAGATCGCCTTCCATCGTATCAGAAAAGCCCGATGAGAAAGAACCAGAAAAATCTAGATCACCTTCCATCGTTGCCGAAGAGCTCGATGAAAAGGCAGTGGCAAAATCTAGATCGCCTTCCATCGTATCTGAAAAGCCCGATGAGAAAGAACCAGAAAAATCTAGATCACCTTCCATCGTTGCCGAAGAGCTCGATGAAAAGGCAGTGGCAAAATCTAGATCGCCTTCCATCGTATCTGAAAAGCCCGAAGAGAAACCACTGGACAAATCTAGATCGCCTTCCATCGTTGCTGAAGAGCTCGATGCAAAACCGCTGGACAAATCTAGATCGCCTTCCATCGTATCTGAAAAGCCCGAAGAGAAACCACTGGACAAATCTAGATCGCCTTCGATCGTTGCTGAAGAGCCCGGCGAAAAACCATTGGACAAATCAAGATCTCCCAGCATTGCTGGCGAGAAGGAAAGCTTGGACCAAGAATTTATGAAATCAGAATCTCCTCCGAAGTCGCCGAGCGCTGTCAGCGAGAAATCCGAAGCGAAGGACATCGACGAGGTAAAGGGAGAGATCGAGAAATCTAGATCTCCCAGCGTTTCACGCGAGAAATCCCCAGCAGAATCGGTGGACGGAAAAACAATTTCACCGCATGAAAAGTCGCCGGCAGAGTCGGTCGATGGTAAAGCAAAGTCTCCACATGAAAAATCACCAGCAGAGTCGGTGGAAGGAAAAGCAATTTCCCCGCATGAAAAATCGCCGGCTGAGTCGGTGGATGGTAAAGCAAAGTCTCCACATGAAAAATCGCCAGCAGCTGTCTCTTATACACATCTCGGTAAAGCTGTATCTCCACGCGAAAAATCACCAGCCGAATCGATCGACGAAAAAGCAAAATCTCCACGCGAAAAATCACCAGCCGAATCGATCGACGAAAAAGCAAAATCTCCACGCGAAAAATCACCAGCCGAATCGATCGACGAAAAAGCAAAATCTCCACGCGAAAAATCACCAGCCGAATCGATCGACGAAAAAGCAAAATCTCCACGCGAAAAATCACCAGCCGAATCGATCGACGAAAAAGCAAAATCTCCACGCGAAAAATCACCAGCCGAATCGATCGACGAAAAAGCAAAATCTCCACGCGAAAAATCACCAGCCGAATCGATCGACGAAAAAGCAAAATCTCCACGCGAAAAATCACCAGCCGAATCGATCGACGAAAAAGCAAAATCTCCACGCGAAAAATCACCAGCCGAATCGATCGACGAAAAAGCAAAATCTCCACGCGAAAAATCACCAGCCGAATCGATCGACGAAAAAGCAAAATCTCCACGCGAAAAATCACCAGCCGAATCGATCGACGAAAAAGCAAAATCTCCACGCGAAAAATCACCAGCCGAATCGATCGACGAAAAAGCAAAATCTCCACGCGAAAAATCACCAGCCGAATCGATCGACGAAAAAGCAAAATCTCCACGCGAAAAATCACCAGCCGAATCGATCGACGAAAAAGCAAAATCTCCACGCGAAAAATCACCAGCCGAATCGATCGACGAAAAAGCAAAATCTCCACGCGAAAAATCACCAGCCGAATCGATCGACGAAAAAGCAAAATCTCCACGCGAAAAATCACCAGCCGAATCGATCGACGAAAAAGCAAAATCTCCACGCGAAAAATCACCAGCCGAATCGATCGACGAAAAAGCAAAATCTCCACGCGAAAAATCACCAGCCGAATCGATCGACGAAAAAGCAAAATCTCCACGCGAAAAATCACCAGCCGAATCGATCGACGAAAAAGCAAAATCTCCACGCGAAAAATCACCAGCCGAATCGATCGACGAAAAAGCAAAATCTCCACGCGAAAAATCACCAGCCGAATCGATCGACGAAAAAGCAAAATCTCCACGCGAAAAATCACCAGCCGAATCGATCGACGAAAAAGCAAAATCTCCACGCGAAAAATCACCAGCCGAATCGATCGACGAAAAAGCAAAATCTCCACGCGAAAAATCACCAGCCGAATCGATCGACGAAAAAGCAAAATCTCCACGCGAAAAATCACCAGCCGAATCGATCGACGAAAAAGCAAAATCTCCACGCGAAAAATCACCAGCCGAATCGATCGACGAAAAAGCAAAATCTCCACGCGAAAAATCACCAGCCGAATCGATCGACGAAAAAGCAAAATCTCCACGCGAAAAATCACCAGCCGAATCGATCGACGAAAAAGCAAAATCTCCACGCGAAAAATCACCAGCCGAATCGATCGACGAAAAAGCAAAATCTCCACGCGAAAAATCACCAGCCGAATCGATCGACGAAAAAGCAAAATCTCCACGCGAAAAATCACCAGCCGAATCGATCGACGAAAAAGCAAAATCTCCACGCGAAAAATCACCAGCCGAATCGATCGACGAAAAAGCAAAATCTCCACGCGAAAAATCACCAGCCGAATCGATCGACGAAAAAGCAAAATCTCCACGCGAAAAATCACCAGCCGAATCGATCGACGAAAAAGCAAAATCTCCACGCGAAAAATCACCAGCCGAATCGATCGACGAAAAAGCAAAATCTCCACGCGAAAAATCACCAGCCGAATCGATCGACGAAAAAGCAAAATCTCCACGCGAAAAATCACCAGCCGAATCGATCGACGAAAAAGCAAAATCTCCACGCGAAAAATCACCAGCCGAATCGATCGACGAAAAAGCAAAATCTCCACGCGAAAAATCACCAGCCGAATCGATCGACGAAAAAGCAAAATCTCCACGCGAAAAATCACCAGCCGAATCGATCGACGAAAAAGCAAAATCTCCACGCGAAAAATCACCAGCCGAATCGATCGACGAAAAAGCAAAATCTCCACGCGAAAAATCACCAGCCGAATCGATCGACGAAAAAGCAAAATCTCCACGCGAAAAATCACCAGCCGAATCGATCGACGAAAAAGCAAAATCTCCACGCGAAAAATCACCAGCCGAATCGATCGACGAAAAAGCAAAATCTCCACGCGAAAAATCACCAGCCGAATCGATCGACGAAAAAGCAAAATCTCCACGCGAAAAATCACCAGCCGAATCGATCGACGAAAAAGCAAAATCTCCACGCGAAAAATCACCAGCCGAATCGATCGACGAAAAAGCAAAATCTCCACGCGAAAAATCACCAGCCGAATCGATCGACGAAAAAGCAAAATCTCCACGCGAAAAATCACCAGCCGAATCGATCGACGAAAAAGCAAAATCTCCACGCGAAAAATCACCAGCCGAATCGATCGACGAAAAAGCAAAATCTCCACGCGAAAAATCACCAGCCGAATCGATCGACGAAAAAGCAAAATCTCCACGCGAAAAATCACCAGCCGAATCGATCGACGAAAAAGCAAAATCTCCACGCGAAAAATCACCAGCCGAATCGATCGACGAAAAAGCAAAATCTCCACGCGAAAAATCACCAGCCGAATCGATCGACGAAAAAGCAAAATCTCCACGCGAAAAATCACCAGCCGAATCGATCGACGAAAAAGCAAAATCTCCACGCGAAAAATCACCAGCCGAATCGATCGACGAAAAAGCAAAATCTCCACGCGAAAAATCACCAGCCGAATCGATCGACGAAAAAGCAAAATCTCCACGCGAAAAATCACCAGCCGAATCGATCGACGAAAAAGCAAAATCTCCACGCGAAAAATCACCAGCCGAATCGATCGACGAAAAAGCAAAATCTCCACGCGAAAAATCACCAGCCGAATCGATCGACGAAAAAGCAAAATCTCCACGCGAAAAATCACCAGCCGAATCGATCGACGAAAAAGCAAAATCTCCACGCGAAAAATCACCAGCCGAATCGATCGACGAAAAAGCAAAATCTCCACGCGAAAAATCACCAGCCGAATCGATCGACGAAAAAGCAAAATCTCCACGCGAAAAATCACCAGCCGAATCGATCGACGAAAAAGCAAAATCTCCACGCGAAAAATCACCAGCCGAATCGATCGACGAAAAAGCAAAATCTCCACGCGAAAAATCACCAGCCGAATCGATCGACGAAAAAGCAAAATCTCCACGCGAAAAATCACCAGCCGAATCGATCGACGAAAAAGCAAAATCTCCACGCGAAAAATCACCAGCCGAATCGATCGACGAAAAAGCAAAATCTCCACGCGAAAAATCACCAGCCGAATCGATCGACGAAAAAGCAAAATCTCCACGCGAAAAATCACCAGCCGAATCGATCGACGAAAAAGCAAAATCTCCACGCGAAAAATCACCAGCCGAATCGATCGACGAAAAAGCAAAATCTCCACGCGAAAAATCACCAGCCGAATCGATCGACGAAAAAGCAAAATCTCCACGCGAAAAATCACCAGCCGAATCGATCGACGAAAAAGCAAAATCTCCACGCGAAAAATCACCAGCCGAATCGATCGACGAAAAAGCAAAATCTCCACGCGAAAAATCACCAGCCGAATCGATCGACGAAAAAGCAAAATCTCCACGCGAAAAATCACCAGCCGAATCGATCGACGAAAAAGCAAAATCTCCACGCGAAAAATCACCAGCCGAATCGATCGACGAAAAAGCAAAATCTCCACGCGAAAAATCACCAGCCGAATCGATCGACGAAAAAGCAAAATCTCCACGCGAAAAATCACCAGCCGAATCGATGGACGAAAAAGCAGTATCTCCACATGAAAAATCGCCAGCAGAGTCGGTGGAAGGAAAAGCAATTTCCCCAAAAGAAAAATCACCGGCAGAATCGGTGGACGGTAAAGCTGTATCTCCACGCGAAAAATCGCCGGCAGAATCAATCGACGATAAAGCAAAATCTCCACACGAAAAATCGCCAGCAGAATCAATCGACGAAAAAGCAAAACCTCCACGCGAAAAATCACCAGCCGAATCGATGGACGAAAAAGCAGTATCTCAACGCGAAAAATCGCCAGCAGAATCGATCGACGATAAAGCAAAATCTCCACACGAAAAATCGCCAGCCGAACCAGTAGACGAAAAGACAAAATCACCGGCAGAGTCGATGGACCGCTCGGAATCGATCAGCATCGTGAGCGACAAGACCGACTCGAAGGACACAAAAGACGAAGCCGCAAAATCAAGATCGGCGAGTATCGCGAGCGCGGTCGAAGAGCCGAAACCGGAGATCGACGGCTCGAAATCGCCGATCGTTGCCAGCGAGAAAACCGAGCCAAAGGACACAGTGAAATCCGCGATCGACAAAGTCGTCTCGCTCGACGCGTCTCCCGGCGCGGAGAAACTGGTCTCGGAGGTCGTCGAGAAGGCGATCGACGAGAAGGAGCATCGCAAGTCCCCGTCGCCGACGAGCCCCGTGTCGAAGGAACCACCAAAAGACAGCCGATCGCCGAGCATCGTCGAAAAACTCGCGAAGGAGACCGAAGCGTTCGAAGGCGCGCCGGAGAAATCCCGATCGCCGAGCCTCGCCAGCGTTTCCGGAGCGGAGTTAAAAGAGCCTAGCGACCGATCGCCGAGCATCGCGAAGTCCGTGTCACCGAGTCTGACCTCGGAGAAGCCGGACATGGCGGACGTGGAGGACAAAGTCTCGGAGAAGTCTCGATCGCCGAGCATAGCCAGCGAAGCAGTCGAATCCAAGACAGCAAGCGATCGCTCGAAGACGCCGAGCGTGGCCGGAGAGGCTACAGAATCGAAGGACCTCGAAGACGCCGAGGACTCGAAGACCCCTGGAGAACCGGTCGCGAAGACTGAGACGAGCAAGACACCCGACAAATCCAGATCAGCGAGCGTAGCCAGCGTCGTCGCTGAACCGAAGGAATCGGCGGAGAGATCGAAGTCGCCGAGCATCGGCAGCGAGAAGTCCGACTTGAAGGACTTCGAGGAGGCCTTGACCGAAAGAGCCGCGTCTCCTTCGGCAGCTGAGAAGCCAAGCGAAGCGGACGGATCATCGGACAAGCTCGGATCGCCTGCGAGCCCGATCGAGGACTCCGCAGGATTGGCGGACCGTTCGAAGTCATCCAGCACTGCCAGCGAGAAAGCGGACTCGAAGGGGATCGAGGAGAAGCTGCAGGACATTTCAAGGTCGACCAGCGTCGGCAGCGTGGCCGGCGAGCCGAAGAAGCCCGAATCGAAGTCGCCGAGCGTCGAGAAATCAGAATCGAAGGAGGCCGTCGATAGAACCGACGTGTCCAGGTCGGGCAGCGTCGCGAGCATCGCCGCTGAAGAAATCACGGATCGAAAGTCCGCGTCTCCCGAGAAACCAGACGCGACAGATACCGCGGAGAAAACAATAGACAAGTCTAGATCGCCCAGCGTAGCGAGTCCCGTCGATCATCGATCGAAGTCACCGAGCCCTGTCGTCAGCGAGAAGGCAGAATCCACGGACGAGAAAGAACCTGCGAAGTCGAGATCGGCGAGCGTCGCGAGCATCGCCGTCGAAGCGAAGGAGCCAGCGGATCGTTCGAAATCACCGAGCGTCGAGAAAAGTCTCTCCGACGCGAAAGACCTTGAGGAACCGGCGGCAAAGGTCGAAGAGCAGGCGAAGCCGACCGAGAAGTCTAGATCGCCGAGCATAGCGAGTCCAGGCGAGGCGCCAGTTTTGCCGGAGCAGCGCTCGAAATCGCCCAGCCCATCCGTCAGCGACAAAAGCGAGGCAAAAGCAGCGGACGAGAAGGCAGCTGTTGCTGATAAATCAAGATCCGCCAGCATAGTCAGCGTCGCCAGCGTAGCGAGCGCCCTGGGTGCCCCGGTTGAAGCGAAGGAGCCGAGCGATCGCTCGAAATCGCCGAGCATTGCCGACAAACACGAAGCCGAGGACGCAGCGATCGAGAAGTCCAGATCGCCCAGCACGACCACCGAGAAGCCCGACCTAGCAGACTTCGAGGACAAGCAGGCGGACAAGTCGAGGTCGCCGAGCGAGCCGAAGGAGTCGGCAGATCGTTCGAAATCGCCGAGCGTGGCCAGCGAGAAGCCTGGCTCCGAGAAGTCCAGGTCCCCCAGCATCGCCGGTGACAAGACCGCGTCTGACCTTGACACTGGAGCGAGCCCCGACGACGACTCTGCGGTGATGGCGGACCGTTCCAAGTCGCCCAGCATCGCCAGCGAGAAAGCAGACTCGAAGGCAGCGGAGGAGAAGCTGTCGGAGAAGTCCAGGTCGCCTAGCATAACCAGTTCCGAGAAAGTCGACTCGAAGGCAGCCGAGGAGAAGCTGTCGGACAAGCTGGAGAAGTCCAGGTCGCCGAGCATAGCGAGCCCCGAGTCGACGGACCGCCGATCAAAGTCGCCCAGCACTGCCAGCGAAAAGGAGGAGACGAAGGAGGCCGACGAGAAGCTGGAGAAATCAAGGTCGCCGAGCGTCGCTAGCATTTCCGGAGTGTCCGCGGTGTCCGAGCCGAAGGAACCGAGGTCACCGAGCGCCGTCAGCGACAAGTCCGACGCGAAAGACCTTGAACTCGCGGCCGAGAAGACGACTAGGTCGCCCAGCATCGCCAGCGAGAAGCTCCCGGCGGACGAGAAGACCGAACCACTTGGTCCAGGCGACGCAGAAGTTGCGAAGGACAAGTCGAGGTCTCCCAGCTTAGCTCCGGATAAACCGGAGGCGAAGGCCGAGGCTAAATCGCCGAGTTCAATTACAGATTCGAGAGCACCCAGCGAGAAGGCACCCAGTGACGCGAGCTCGGAGGGCCGCGATCGCTCACCCGAAGAGTCCGTCAAGTCCGCGAGACCGTCGGACGACGATAAAACACCAGACAAAGACAAAGGTAAACCGGAGGACAAACACTCTGAAGACACATCCAGCGGCGCGCGGAAACGCAGGAGCGTCGGCGAGGAAGAGACACCGGAAGAAGCCGCCTCCAAGAAGGAGGACTCGCCGAAGATCGACGCCGATTCGATGAAACTGATCGAGAAGGAGCTGCAGATCGTCTACGACCTGGAAAAGGAATCTCCCACCGGCGCTGCGGGTAAGAAGATCGAGAAGCCGGCGGACGAGCGCGAGGAGGACATCGTGAAGGTAACGATGCAGAAGAAACGGGAGATCGAGCAGTACTTGCTGGAGAAGTACGTGTGGATGAACCGAAAGATCACGAAGTCGGTGGTGGAGACGATCGTGATGACGTACTCGGTGCCGCAGTTCGTCGTCATGGACATCATCGAGATGATCATCGCGCAGGAGAAGATGAGCAGGGAGAGCGTGGTGGACTTCGACGAGAAAACCGCGGAGAAGAAGGAGGAAACCGGCAAGGTCGTCGAGGACGCGGCATCGGCGATGGGCCTGGACCTTCGTCGCGAGGATCGCAAGGACGCCGGCTCGAGATCTCCCAGCGTGGCTTCGGACAAGCTGGAGACGAGCGAAGGCGAGGCTGAAAAGGAGACCAAAACTAAATCGCCGGACGCTAAGACGCCTAAAGATGAAGCTAGCAGGTCCAGAGCCGCGAGCACTTACGAACAGGAGTTGTCTGTTACAGCGAAGCAGGTCGTCGAGAAGCAGACGGAGGCAGAGGAGGCGAAACTAAGGGAGAAGAGTACAGAAAAAGACTCAACAGGCGTCGAAGCCGTGAAACGCGACAGCATCGTCGAGGAAGCGCTCGAGTTCAAGAAGGAAGATTCGCCGAAAGCAGACGCGGCTGTTGCAAAGTCGAAGGAGCTGCGGACCGTCGACGACCTTGAGAAGAGACCGTCCGCCGTTCCCATGGGTAAAACGATCGGGAAGCCGGCGGAGCACGAAGAGTACAAGGGAATGACGATCCAGAAGAGACAAGACATCGAGCAATATTTGCTTCAGAATTACATATGGGTGCACCGGAAGATCACGAGGTCGGTGGTCGAGTGGGTCGTCGAGACGTACTCGGTGCCACGGTCGGTCGTGATAGACATGATAGACGGGATCATCGTTCAGTGGAACGAGAAGAGAGATTCCGTGCTTGACCTCGACGCGGAACCGGAGGAAAAGGCTATCAAGATCGCCCAGGACGCGATATCGGCGATCTTCGATCGACTGGATCTTTGTCGCGATCAGGACACAGCATCGAGATCGCCCAGCGTGGCTTCGGACAAAGCGGAGGCAATCGATGCTGGAAAGGTGGTCGAAGCTAAATCGCCGAGTCCCGACTCGAAGGCTTCGCCGAAAGACGAAGCAGCCAGATCCAGAGCCCCGAGCACATACGAACAAGAATTATCTGCCACAGCGAAGCGAGTCATCGACGAGCAAATGGAGAAAGACAAAGGTAAATCGGAGGAGAAAGACTCCGAAGACGTATCCACCGACGCGCGGGAACGCAGGAGCCTCGGTGACGAAGAGGCGCCCGAATTCAAGAAGGAAGACTCGCCGAAGATCGAGGCCGCCTCGATGAAGCTGATCGAGAAGGAGCTACAGATCGTCCACGACTTAGAGAAGGAGTCATCCATCACGCCGGCGGACAAAACGGTGGAGCAACAAGCGGCCAGCCTCGAGGAGGACCTGGTGAAAGTAACGATGCAGAAGAAACGGGACATCGAGCAGTACTTGCTGGAGAAGTACGTGTGGATGAACCGGAAGATCACGAAGTCGGTGATAGAGACGATCGTGATGACGTACTCGGTGCCGCAGTTCGTGGTGATGGACATCATAGAGCTGATCATCGCGCAGGAGAACATGAGCAGAGATTCGGTGATGGACCTTGACAAAGAACCAGCGGCAAAGAAAGAGGACGCTGGGAAGATCGGCGAGGAAGCGGCTCCGTCGACGGGCCTGGAAGCAGAGACAACCGTCGGCGACGTCGCGAAGGAGGCCAAAGCTAAATCGCCTTCGCCTAAAGACGAAGCAGCCAGATCCAGAGCCGCGAGCACTTACGAACAGGAATTGTCTGTTACAGCGAAGCAGGTGATCGAGAAGCAACTGGCGGAGGACAAAGAGAAGAAAGACGAATCCAAGAAAGAGGTTTCGCCAAAAACCGACACAGTTTCCGCAAAATCGCCGGAGTCGAAGACCGCCGATGACCTTGAGAAGGAATCGACCATCAAAAAGAGCGAGAAGCCGGCGGACAAAGACGACGGAGACCTCTCTAAAGTGGCGCTGCAGAAGAAAGAGGACGTCGAGCAGTATCTGCTGCAGAACCACGTGTGGATGCACCGGAAGATCACGAAGTCGGTGATACAGCGAGTCGTTGAAACGTACTCGGTGTCGCAGCTGGTCGTGATGGACATCATAGACAGGATCATCGTCCAGTGGAACGTGAGCAGAGACTCTGTGCTGGACCTGGACGAGAAGAAGGAAGAAGTGGACAAGATCGACGAGGACGCGACGCCGTCGATGGCCTTGGACCTGCACCCCGGCGACCAAAAGGACGCCGGCTCGCGAAGCCTGAGCGTGTGCTCCGACTTGATCGCGTCCGACAAGTCCACCCAAGACAGCCCGGTCCGTTCCGAGCCGCACATCGACGAGGAGATCACGATCTCGGAGGAGAAGCGCATCGAGATCGAGAAGCTGCTCGAGGAGGAGTTCATCCGCAGAGCGAAGAAGATCACGGAGGAGATACTGTACGAGATCATGCGGAAGACGGGGCTGCCCCGTTACATCATCCTGGAGATCATCGAGGAGACGATCGTGAAGAGGAAGCTGTCGCGGGACACGGTGATCGACGCGGAGATCTACAACGACGAGGACGTCGAGCCGGACGCGATGTACGAGAAGGAGGACTTCGGCGACAAGTCGCCGTCGCGATACGAGCTCGCCAGCGACGCCGCCAAGTCGAGCTACTCCGTCGGCTTCGAGGGGTCCGAATACCCTGAGTCGCAAGAAGGCCAGCAGATGAGGACCTCGATCTCCGACTATCCGGTGAACTACGAGAGCCAGTTCCACAAGGCGTTCGTCGGCGGCATGACGGAGATCCGCACCACCCACATCACGACCCTGTCCGGGAAGTCCACGCCGGACATCACTCGCGACGGGACACCGGACTCGACCTCCGAGCCCACGGCCTCCACCGTCGAAAGGGTGGACGAGAAGATGGCAGGCAAGCCGGCCGAGAGGGTATCTCCCGACAAGGTGTCCTCGGTAGTCCTCTCATCCGCTAGCTCGGAGACGGTCGGCACCTTGAAGGAGAGCAAGATCGAGGAGTCGAAGAGCAGCGTGGAGAAGCGAACCGAAAAGATCGTAGTCACCGGCGCAGCGAAGGACGGGGAGCAGAGCACCGGCGAGGAGCGGTTCGTGACGATCAAGAAGATCGTGACGCGTGAGATATTCGAGGAGGACGAGCCCGAGGTGATCAGAGAAGTAATCGTGAGGCGCGAGGTTTCAGGGTCGGAGGAGCCGGAGACCGTGCAGAGGATCGTGAAGCGGGAGATCGTTCAGCAAGAGGAGGAGGAAGAGCCGATGGTGATCACGAAGGTGATCAAGCGGGAGATCGTCCAGCAAGAGGAGGAGGAGGAGCCGATGGTAATCACGAAGGTGATCAAGCGGGAGATCGTCCAGCAAGAGGAGGAGGAGGAGGAGGAGCCGATGGTGATCACGAAGGTGATCAAGCGGGAGATCATCGTCTCGGAGGACGAGATGGAGGACGCTGAGCACCTGGAGAGGCTGAAGAAGATCGTGGCCGACGGGGGGATACCGGAGGTGGTGGAGACGGTGACGACCAAGACGAAGACGATCGTGGTCACCGAGGAAGCGGACAGCAAAGACGTCAAGGAGAAACCCGTCGCCGAGAAGAGTCCGAAAGGCAAAGGCTCGGAGACGGCGGAGCGCAGCGACAGCTCCAAGGAGGAGGCGGAGGAGGCGACCGGTGCGAGCATCAAGTCGGACGATTACCTGACCGCCGAAGAGGGCACCCCGGACGCGAAACATGTGGCGGAACCGAAACAGACGGAGCAAAAGGAAGCTACCAGCACTGCGACAGCCAGCTCGGCCAGCACCGCGACGGTCGCCGGTGTTACCAGCGGCGCGGGTGCGGCTGTTCAAGCTCACTTGTCCTCGGGCAGGTCGACGCCGGACAGCAGAATCGTGCGAACGATCATCACGACCACGCAGACCGTGTCGGACGACGGGGAGATCGTGACGACGACCAGGGAGGTCACCGAGACTAGCAACGAGAAGGGCGAGATGGTGATCCTGAAGGAGAAGGTCGACGTGAAAGTGGACGAGTACCTGCCTAGCAAGGACGCGGCGGAGTCGGCGATCAGCAGCGTGATCGGCGGCCTGAAGTCGTCCGACTCGAGCAAGGCCAGCCCGAAGAAGCAGAGTTACTCCGGCGAGGACAGCGAGGCCGACGACGGCGGATCCAGCTCCTCGTTGACGGCGGATTCGGAGCGCGGGAAACGCGCGCCGGATCCGAGGGCCTCGTCGGTCGAGTTCTCGGCGGCCGCGATGAGCAGNGCAAGAGGAGGAGGAGGAGCCGATGGTAATCACGAAGGTGATCAAGCGGGAGATCGTCCAGCAAGAGGAGGAGGAGGAGCCGATGGTAATCACGAAGGTGATCAAGCGGGAGATCGTCCAGCAAGAGGAGGAGGAGGAGCCGATGGTAATCACGAAGGTGATCAAGCGGGAGATCGTCCAGCAAGAGGAGGAGGAGGAGGAGGAGCCGATGGTGATCACGAAGGTGATCAAGCGGGAGATCATCGTCTCGGAGGACGAGATGGAGGACGCTGAGCACCTGGAGAGGCTGAAGAAGATCGTGGCCGACGGGGGGATACCGGAGGTGGTGGAGACGGTGACGACCAAGACGAAGACGATCGTGGTCACCGAGGAAGCGGACAGCAAAGACGTCAAGGAGAAACCCGTCGCCGAGAAGAGTCCGAAAGGCAAAGGCTCGGAGACGGCGGAGCGCAGCGACAGCTCCAAGGAGGAGGCGGAGGAGGCGACCGGTGCGAGCATCAAGTCGGACGATTACCTGACCGCCGAAGAGGGCACCCCGGACGCGAAACATGTGGCGGAACCGAAACAGACGGAGCAAAAGGAAGCTACCAGCACTGCGACAGCCAGCTCGGCCAGCACCGCGACGGTCGCCGGTGTTACCAGCGGCGCGGGTGCGGCTGTTCAAGCTCACTTGTCCTCGGGCAGGTCGACGCCGGACAGCAGAATCGTGCGAACGATCATCACGACCACGCAGACCGTGTCGGACGACGGGGAGATCGTGACGACGACCAGGGAGGTCACCGAGACTAGCAACGAGAAGGGCGAGATGGTGATCCTGAAGGAGAAGGTCGACGTGAAAGTGGACGAGTACCTGCCTAGCAAGGACGCGGCGGAGTCGGCGATCAGCAGCGTGATCGGCGGCCTGAAGTCGTCCGACTCGAGCAAGGCCAGCCCGAAGAAGCAGAGTTACTCCGGCGAGGACAGCGAGGCCGACGACGGCGGATCCAGCTCCTCGTTGACGGCGGATTCGGAGCGCGGGAAACGCGCGCCGGATCCGAGGGCCTCGTCGGTCGAGTTCTCGGCGGCCGCGATGAGCAGCAGCTTCTACGGCGAGCTGCCCGCGGTCCCGTCCCAGATCAGCGCCATGAAGACATTCCAGGAGGACGTTAGCGGTATACGGAAAACTAGCGGCCCCATTCCGATCCCGGGCGACCCGGCGTCCAAGGTGTTCACCGTCGAGAAGGAGTACGTCGCCGGCTACGGGGAGAAGCCGGACGCGAAGAAGTACGTCGACGAGGCGGACCTCGACTTCGAGAAGGCCCTGATGGAGTCGAAGGAGTCCCTCGGCAGGGAGATATCGCCCGGATTGTTCGCCGACGGCGTACGCCGCGACGGCTCGGAGAGGTCCGAAGGGACCGAGGACGGCGAGCCGAGACCGCGCAGCGAACCCGGAAGCGGAACCAGAGCGGACTCGAAGAAGAAGGACCCGCTGGACGGCTGGGGAAGTCCCTTGGGCCTCCCGTCGCCGAAGCCGCCGCACAAGTTCAACCTGACCACCACGGCAACCACGCAGTCCGGACACTCGGCTGAACCGATCACGGAGCTGAGGCACCGGTTCGATGCCGTCAACAACTGGGGCGAACCCCTGAGCCTGCCCTCGCCCGCGCTGGTCCCCGTCGGCGCCAACGAGCTGTCGAACAAAGGCGCACCGAGCACCCCGAGGAAGGAGAAAAAGCAGGCCCGGAAGGTGATGTCCGAGAACCTGAAGAACAAACGTCGCTCGGAGAGTCCCGGTAAGAACGAGAAGAAGATCAAGGACTCGAAGAACAAGGTGCAGCCGGTCTACGTGGACCTGACCTACGTGCCTCATCATGGGAACTCTTATTACACTTCGTTGGACTTCTTCAAGAGAGTACGCGCGAGATACTACGTGTTCAGCGGCACCGAGCCGAGCCGCGAGGTCTACGACGCGCTGCTGGAAGCTAAGAAGACCTGGGAGGACAAGGATCTTGGTGGGTTTCGCTCGCTCGATTTTACAGGACTCGATGCGCCACAAATTCGCTTTCTGCGACCAAAATTGTTTCACCGTTGCTTCAAGGTTCAAGGTCATGGTACAGAGTAGGTCGTTGAATTCGTCTCAGCAGAATATTATCGATATTATTAATATTATCGATTCAGTATATTAACAAGTCAAGGATATGTATTAACAACATTTCTTGTTTGTATTGTAATTTGTAGAAAAGTGTGTGTCGACCAACTTTTGTTGGAAGCATTGTTCTGTCAGATTATTGAAAATGTTAGAAAAATCGTGGAGGTTTGATATATTAAAGGTCTAATGTTTTTATCATTCTTTTAGACTCTTCTCAAAATTTCTCTTTTGACGCTATTTCTATATAGATGGAAAAAAATTATTAAAACTAGATTCAATTTTAGGATTTTGTATTTACAACGTTGTACTTCATCGCAGAATAATCTAAACCGAAAAATATTGCTGATTTGTGAGCTTTAAAGGGTTCTCAGTTTATAGCAAAATAAAGTTTTGCAATACATTAAACTAAAGCGATTGAATTTTGGCCCCAGAAAGCGGGTTTCCAAATTATGGTATTTACGATGAAATGAGGGGTTCCTGAGATGATTTGAAGCAACTTTTCCCTCAGCGAAAATGCAATTCGCGGCTTCGTTTACGAGTTATTAACGAGAAACGCTGACCAATGGTCGTCAATGACCAGACGCGCCCGCGTGACGCTAGGCGGCCGAGCCAATCAGCGGAACTGGGCTTCGCGGTTGGACCCGCCTCGTGCCAGCCGAGCTCGCCTCTCATTGGCCAACGTTTTTCCTTGATAACTCGTAAACGACGCCTCGGAGAAAATTGTTGTAAAGGAAAAAGTTGCTCCAAATGACCGCGGGAATCCGATTCCCCGGACATACCACAATTTTGGGACACTACATATAGCTCGCGATACGATACAACATCTAATCGTCCATTCGATCTGTTCTCTCCTAGAAGTGACCATAATACCCACCTACGACACCGACACTCTGGGCTACTGGGTGGCCGACAACGAGGAAGCCCTCGCTGCGAATCGCATCGATCTCTCGCCGTCGGCGTCCCGCTGCACCATCAATCTCCAGGACCATGAAACTAGCTGCAGTGCCTACAGACTCGAATTCTAGGGATTGGCAGCATGCTCAGCCGTGATAGTCGAGTTCTGAGCGGTGTCCAGAATGCAACACCACCATCCTTTGATTTCTGGGCTCGTTTCCATACAACAATAGAGTCGACGCGGAGTAACACACACACTCACACAGAGACACCAATCATCTCGCCAACCACCACCGTCACCACCAACATTTACCGTCCCTAGCAGTCCGGGTTAGTCGACGACTATCATCAGGACATTGATGATCGTTGAGCCGAGGCCACACATTCACGCACGATCTCGATTTTTCTTTTCTCTTTCCTTCGTTTCACGCTCTCTTCTCTCTCTCTCTCTCTCTTTCTCTCTCGATTCGACCGAAAAGAAAAAAAACAGATCAAAAGGGTCACAGACCGAAGAACGAAGCTCGTGTCGGCTCGTAACTATTATCGTTTCGCCAATGATTCCTGAGTTCTCGCTATTTCTGAGTTTTGTTCGCGACTGGTCGACGGAAGCAAACGGAAGAAAAGAATCGAGTCGAAAGACGGGAAAACAGACGATTATGGAAGGAGGAGGAGGAGGAGGAGGGGAATGAAGGAAAGAAGAAGAAAAGAAGCGAATAGAGAGGAGAACAATGAAACAGAGAAAATGTTGGACGAGACGCTTGGTTGCCGTGATCTCTCTCTCACTAAGTAAACAAAAGAGCACACGAGACAAAGAACACACAGAAGAAACTAGAAAACAGAAAGCAGGAGAAACGGAACACACGCGTAAAACCGTGGGGAATGACGAAACTCACCGAAAGTTAGCTTGCTGCCTTTGAATAGAGCGAAACGAAGTACGCGATAATATCCATCCAATGGACGAGGTCCGTCGGTCGTTTTATTGGAAGAGAGAACACGTTCGCGGTTCGATCGGAGGAACCGCGCGGCGTCGTCGCAGATCGACGGACGCGCGAAAGGGTTGAGATCCAGCTGCTGCGGCACCACAGTCCGCTCCCTTCGAACTGTCGCCGGTCCGTTTGTAGATATTTTTTAGGGGTAAAGAAGTACGATTGATTCGCAGCACACGAGACACCTACCGAGTACCTATCCCAGGACGAGGAACGTATTTCAACGGTTGTTTGAAACGCGCACTTGACACGGTCGAACCTGAAGAGGGTACGCGCGGCGCTTGCACGCGACCATCCCGAGAATACTAACTTGCGAGAGGTTTGTCGCCTACGCTTTGTTCGCGGCGGTACGTCCGTCGGAGGAGATCTCATGAAACTCGTAGGCTCCGATACTTCGAACGAATGGGAAGAAAACAAACATTAAATACTCGATTCACTGCTTTTATCGCGTCAGAGTCTCTAGTCTATCCTATTAAAGAGAGAAGAAGGGTGGTCCTTTGCTCGGTCTCGGCGAGCAGAGATTTACGGTCGGGCTGATCTTCGAATTCTACGTCTGCTACTTCTACTTCTTCTTCTTATTATCCTTGATTGAACGCGTGTTTCCTCGTTGCGAGACTATTTTCAGGGCGACGAGGAAACACGCGGCGTTCTCTAGTCGAACAGGAAACCGTGGCGCCGCTTTCGTTCGAACGGTAACGACGACGACCGATCAGGATGGGGAATGAAAACGGCGGCGTACCATTGCTTCGACGATTATTCTGAAATGATGATGACGATGATGATGATGATGATGATGATGATGATGATGATGATTATTGGTACGACGACCATGACGATCGCGACGATATTGATAATAACAATGACGACGACGACGACGACCATGCTGATGACGATGATGATCGATGACGACGATGTTAGCTCTAGGTTGGCGACTTAATATTCCCGCGTCTATCTTCGACGAAGTATCCAAATTGGAACGCAGATCTACTTATACGTAAATGTATAGACCACTTGCATACATACGTACACACACGTGCGTGCATTACGTGCGTGCATACATACATACATACATACATAGATACATACATACGTGCATACAAAAGATATATACGTGCATATATACATAAATACGTGCACAGATACGTGCACACGTGTACACAGACACAACGACAGAAACGTCGTGACGGACAACAGAACACGTTTCCCATTGTTTTCGGTGTAATTAATGGTAATTGTAGCAATTATAATTAAATACATACGGTGGAGAAATGTGCGAGATAACCAAGAGAGAAATTCCGTGCACGCATATTGCGTTGCGCACGAGGAGGAAATCGAATTAAACGACCCGGAGGCGACCCGCAACCAAGAGTAGTAGAAGGAACGGCAATAAGAAAAAAGAAAAAGGAAAAGAAATCTTCCGTACGAATAATTAAGCTGTTCGCCAGGCTCGAAGCTTTTTCGAATACAGCGCGACCGTTTCATTTTTCGAAACGCTGATCTTACAAAGCTGATCTCGAGCTGAGAACCAAAAAAAAAATAAAGAAATGGGGGCTGTAACGAGGAGCACCACCGCTTTCACCGCTAGTTTTCTTGTTGATCGACGCTCCCGCGTGCCACCGATTATATCATTACGGTTAATTATCGCTGTGTTAAGCAACATCAGCCATTCACGCGACACGTCGATAATATTGTAACACAACATTTATCAGCATCGTTGCCATGACCGTCGCGTCGTTCACCGCGTTGAATATCGTCATTGTTAAAATCGTTGTTACCATTTTTCTCTATTTCGTTCATGGGTCCAGTTCGTTCGCGATCGATGAAAACTGCTGATTAACCCCGTTGTTTCCGTTTGGCATTTACCCCATCATCGTAGACGATAAGAGACACCGTCGTTCCTTAATTGTACCATCGCTGTTATCGCGTTGCGTGTCATTCTCTCGGTAGAACCGTGTTTTTCGTCATTGTCAGCATTATCGCATTGTTGTCATTGTCATCGTTGCCGTCGTCGTCGTTGTTGTCCCGTTCGCGATCGCGGATTAAAATGATCCCTTTGTGCCCCCCGCCCACCCCTTTTACCTGCCCCACCGCAAAGGACAAAGTTAGGAGCATAAATGTATGACGACGATAAAGCATGTACCTATGTATTTATGTATTATTTATTAACAAGTAATAAAGACCAGCTATTTAGGTAGGATGTTAAAATTATGAAATTGAATTTAACAGAAATAAAGAAAACTAATTAAATGAAAATGAAGCTATGATAACGATTGATGGAGCGACGCGCGTGTGGGATTGAAACGCGGCGAAAACCGAACGAATAACGAAACGAGGGACGATGGAAAAAAATAAACGATATACATATACATATATATAAGTATATATATATATATATATATACATATATATGTATATGTATACTGAACGGAATGGAATGGACTATTTAAAGTAAGGTACGCGCGCCTATCCGGTTTATAGGTAAAGTAACAAAGGGGACGAATTTACTTAACGGGAAGTATCGAAGATGCAAAAGTATATATGTTAAAAAACGAGCTTTCACTGAAAACACAGTTTAGATAATGGACGGTGGTCGCAAGGAGAAAGAGGTATACACGTACATTCGTATAGCGTACACGCGGAAGAAGCGCGCGAGAGGACACGCTGACACGATCGCGTCACACTTACGCCTACACTTGCGCCTACACTTACACCTACGCTGACTGACATACATACGTACGTACGTACATAGATATATATATATATATACATACACACGGAGACACGGTATGCAGAGACACGTGTTACACGGAGAGACAGGAGAGACGAACAGTCGCGGAGAGCGTACACGAAAAACGAAACCGGGGTGGAAAGTTGAAGGCGCGAAAAACGGAGGGATGCTAAAAGAATTACGATGTAATGTACGCCTCGACGCTTGTACGAACCCCCACCACCCCTCCGAGAAAAAAAACCGCGGTGCTTATCGGGTGTGTGAGAACGGTGATACAGTGATTTTTCACGTGCTACGCCTACGTTTTCTGTGCCGCGGCTCGCGGCGAAGCCAGGAATCGCGACTCCAGATTTCCTCGGGCGAAAAAAGAAAAGAAAAAACGGCGCGGCTTCGATCCATCCAGCGTTTTTCCAGCTCGAACTCGCGGCATTTCGAACACAACCGATCGCGTAATCTCGCGCGCGATTACCTCGATCCGGCCGGATCGAAGCGCGGCGTTTTTTTTTATCGCCGCCCTACCCGCGAAATCTCGGGACACCGCGGCGGCGGTGCGTTTCTAGTCGAGATCGAATCATCGCGTTTCCTTACGTTCGAATCATCTAGTCATTCACGCGTGATTATATATCTTATATTTCTCTTTTAGTTCCCCGGCGAAGAGAATTCTCTCTCTCTCGCGAGAATAGCGTGTTAGGATCCCGCGGTCTTTCCGAGCGGTAATTATTTTTTGATAGCGTTTTTTGTATCGCGGTTCTCACCCCTCGAAACGCATCCGCGCGTCGTGTTTTTCCGACTAACGAATTAAGAAAAACAAAATAAAAGGAAACAAACTTGCTGTGGAGTGTTCATGGTGCTATGATTATTATTATTATTGCTATTATTATTATTACATTATTATTATTCTAATTATTATGTTTATAATTACGACTATTATTATGATTAATTATATATACATATATATATATATACATAATATTATTATGATTATTATGATTATGATAATTATTATAATTATTATAGAAATAACGATGTTATGCTACATGACAAAATGGATAATATAATAAATATACATTATACCATATAATCATAGCCATAATTATAACCAAAATCCCTGGGGATACCCTACTCGTCAGAAAAATTCCGATTCGATCGAGTTCGAGTGATTGGAAATTGGAAGGCGTTATGGAATTTAACGACGCTCGTTTGTCATGGTTGCTTTCATTCGTTTTAATCGGTATGATTACACTGTTTCGATTACCTCAGAATATGTATATAATACAGGATGATGGTTCGCTGGACGCAAGTTACTCAAAGGTTCTCCATCAACGCTTTCGCTCGTCGCAGTTCTTGAAAATGAAAAAGAAACGGCTTCGTTTTAATTTTAATTCGTTTTCATTTTCGTTTCAAACTAATTTCGCGCGCGACGGTGCCGCCTTAACGCTGGATTTACGGAGCACGAAAAACAGCCGTTTTTACATCAGCTTATAAAAGCAACAATAAGATATTTATTCCGATTTTTTACCAAGCGTTCTCGAAACATTTGCCGCGAGTGATATACAAACTTCGATAAATAACTCGTAAATGTATCTTTGCGATGCGAACAATCGTGAATTAGAAAATCGGTGACCCGCCATTTTGTCGGATCTTTCCGTAGATCTAGCGTTAACACGTTCAGCGCCGACAATCGGCCGCGACAAAATCGAAGTCAAAGCAATTCAATTAATTAATTAAACTAGAAAGTCGATATTTATCATAGTGAATGACGTTAGAACGCTTTCGCATCCGAAAGAGGTCGAATTCAGTTTGTCCGAGTATACAGTAATGTCTCCCTAACTGACGCTCAGATTGTGAAGAAAAATGGACAATTTGGAAAGAGGAGATACGATTGTTCGAGCCTTGCGGCCCTCGTTTTTATAATTGTTGACAATTCGTAACTATAAAAATAAACCGCGAGGATCGAATAGGATCGAGGTGTCTCCTCTTTCCAAATTGTCCATTTCTGTGGACAATCTGAGCGTCAATTAGAGAGACATTACTGTAACTGTTGCGTGTCTCGACGAGGCTCGACGATATCAGCGAGCTATAGCAAATTCTGCCTAATTAATGCTCAGTTTTTAAACGAAAATGGACAATTTATAGTTGCTGATAATCGGTAATTATAAAAACGAGCCAATTAGTCAATTAGAGTCAATTAGAGAGACATTATCGTATTGCGATGCAAACGAATGTCGAAAATTCGTAGAAAAATTAGTGTCACTCGACCCGCGAGATTCTTACCAGCGAGCAGAACCTGCACGTCCTCCTGCGAGATGTTGACGACGGAATCCTCCCCGTTGCCGCCCAATTTGTTCAGCTTGAGGGACAGGGTGGAGAACGGCGAGGCGTTGGCGCAGGGCAACACCTGGATCGACGACAACCGGCTCACTGCGAAAACGGCGGGCGGAACATTTATCGGAACGCGAATCGCGCACGGGTGGATAAAAAGAAATTCTATTAGCAGCAGGGTAGAATAAAAATGATGCCGGAATACCGCATCAAGGAATCTTTGCGTCGCGGACGTTTTAATCGGTCGGATTCCGCGCATCGATCGGCGCATGGAAATGCGACGCGTAACAAATTTATCGAAATGAGTGCGGATATTCGCCGGGGAAAAGGTGTAAGCATGCTCGACATATCATGTATTATGTATTGGACGGGGAAAACGAGTTATCAAGGAACGAGAGACGCGAAAGGAACGAAACGAGACGAGACGAAACGAAACGAATTAGAAAAAGCTGCTAATGACGTACATTAGGAACACAATAATTAGATGAGTAATTATATTTGGAACACAGTAATTTCTTCCTAATTCGCGCTCAGATTGCGCAGAAAATATTAGGATAATTTGGGAGGCGAGCATTCTTTTTTATTCGAGCCTCGCGGCTCGTTTTTTATAGGTACCGATTGTTTGCGACTGTAAAAACGGGTCGCGAGGCTCAAATAATCGTATTAGTGTACCCATAAGTAATGTGGTTTGACAATTGTTAAATAAGTGGGGTCCGGTAGCCCGTAAATAAATAAATAATAATAATAATAATAGTAAGAAGAAGAAGAAGAAAAATATAATAATAACATAATATTAATATTAATAATACTATTAATATAATAATATTAATATTACTAATACTATTAATAATAATAATAATAATAATAATATGTCCATGGAATTGGTGCACACGTTAAAGAAAAGATGTCATTTGGAGCAGTGAAACGATAATGAACAGAGAATTATTATAAAAAGAAATAATTAATGAGCATGCAAAATGAGAATTTGAATCTCAATTTACAATTATGTGATGTATATACGAGATCGGAATTTACAATTGTAAAAAGTGTCGGTCGGCTCAAACGAGATTATTCTGCAATTAAAAAGAGCACAACTGTTCCGCGCGCGATTGCGCATGCGCGGCTGCTAGAATTATCTATTCTAATTCAATTCGAATTACAGTGGTCCACAAAAGGGTTCGTAGACTTTTTAGAACGCAATAAATTGCTTGAAAACCGAGGATAAAGCGACTCGAATTTTTTGTTTAGATGACAGATTGGCTGGTCTTAGAGACGACGACCAAAATGTTTTTCCTGTTAATTTTGCTATTAATTAATAAATCAAATAAAACGACATTACGTTTGCTTAACCCTAGAAAATTTAACGAAATTTTATCGAATGGATTCTGACGAGACTGACCTCTCAAAGACTGCGACGAGAGCGCATCCGTGATTCGGGGGCTGTTGTCCGTGTGCAGTCGTGCAATCGCAGCGCTGTGCTCGCGCGGCAGACCGAGTTGCTGCAGTTCGCTGCTCAGATCGGCGGCGGAGACGCCGTATCGCGCGGACGACACGAATATTAATTCGAGGGCGGCTATCATGGCTTTGGCGTCGCTCGGCTCTTCGCGGCAAATCGGGCGAGAGACGTGTCAGAAACCGAGAGACTCGGCTGGAAAGAAAACGTTAACCGCGAAACAACATTTCTACTCACCAATTTTCGCGTCCTGCGTCAGCTTTTTTATCTTGTCCTCCTGCAAAGACAAGGGAACCGTGGATCTCGCTGGTGCCTCGCCTCGTCGAGCAAATTTATCCGAAGCTTCGCTCTAATATATCACGTTAGGCGAAAAGGTGTCGCGAAAAGCTTTCGCGCGGCCGTATCGCCGCCCTTAAAACGCGGACTCCCTTTAGAATCGAATTTGTTGTTTTCGTGGGCAACGCAAAGACACAGACGGCGCAGCGTCTAACGCGATTCCACGCGGACCGCGACACGTGGTTTTGCAAGGGGAAACAGGATCAAGGGGATGATAATTAAATCGCGCGGATCGCCGCTGGATTAGCACACGGCGAGTTGTTAACGATCGAACGGCGGATTTTTATTCTACTTACGTCCAGTTCGCCTTCTGTCAGGTACTTCGCAACCGCCTGGCCCAATATTCGGATTTTGATGGAGGTCTGCGAACGAAACGAGTTTCCTATGAAAAAGCTGTTCGGGGGTTCGAACCGAATGCCGATGAATGGACCGCGGATTTTATGCGTTTATGGTGCAAAAATGAGTAGCTGGTTATAGCTGCTGATTCCGAGCAGTCGTAAGGTTAACCTATTTTTGTGATAAATTATATAATGATATGATGTAATCTATATTATAAATATAATATAATATATGATATAGTTATATAGTATAGTATAGTTAATATATGATATAGTTATTATTTATATTATTATTAATATATGATTAAATATATTATTTATATTATATATGATATTATATATGAATTATATATGATATAATTATCATTTTAATGAAACCTAATTTCAAGCACGTACCATACGCGACAACGTGTTGATCTCAGCCAGCAGCCAATCGGGACAGTCCCCGTCGCCCAGGAACCGAAATTTCTGTGAACGGTAAAAATAATTGTAGATTGCACGCGATTCGAAGTTGATTCTCGATTCTCGATTATCGCTAGTCGTACCATTTTTAACGCTGCTCCCTCGAAAGCTTCCTCGGCGAAGAATAAACGCACCCCCAAGCCTGAAAGAAAAACCAAGATGATAATGAACGAGATTTGTCTAAAAAAACGTTGCCCCTCGTGTCTCGACGATTCGGATAGACAACGTTCTGGACTGGATGCTCATTTCCAAGACATAGTAACGCGATCATGCTAAGTAAGCATCAAAGCGTTCTTTCGTGGCCCGTTTACCTTTTGTTACAGCAACGCGGCGCGTTCACGCGGAACGAAAGTCGCTCCGGGTATGCCGTCGTTGAAATCACACCCGATTGAATAATCTCGTAGTGTAGTGTCCCGTTTGTACATTAATTTTGGGACACTCTGTACGTAGGTGCCGTCACCCCTAATTTCTAGGGGTGAGAAATGAAAAATAACGGGAAAGCGAGTGACAGCTGTATCACTAAATACTGATAAAATTATGGGTACTCCAATTGTTTTGGAAATTCGTATTGTGCCCATGGAAGGGCCCTAAAGCGCCCTAAAGCGCCCTAAAGGGGCCCTAAAGCTGTTTAAGAAGCTACAACAAAATAATATAAATATTGAAATATACATTTATATAAAAAAATATGCAAAATTTAACAATTTGACGTTGTGCGGAGAAAATTCTACCCCTACACAAAAAAACGCTGCTTCTTCAGCAAAGGCTGAGTATCCAAATCTACATTGTTCTTCGAGTTCGCGAGCTGTCCCAGCCGAAAGCGACGGATCTCGAAGAACAATAATGCTAAAAATCGAACGGTGGCATCGCACGGGTCATAAAAGAGGCAGAAAACTATCGGAAGCCTCGTGCGTGACTATTTGCGAGAGATTTCACAGTTGACGAGCGGCCGGCGCGCATTTCCCACATGACGTGAACTTTCCCACGCGATAAGGAAGGAAAAGAAGAAAGGAAGAAGGCGGGCGAAGCCGGTGCAAGAGGAAAAACCAAGCCGGCAGTGTGTTTGCGCTGTACAGCGACATAGATTGAGGTGGGTTTTACCGCATCGCGAATTCCCCGTGCAATCCTCCCGATCTTTGGACCGCAACGAAGTCGGTCGCCGCGTACGCCGCGGAACACCATAAATACTGAAGGAACGAACTCGCCGTATCCATTTGTTATCCGCGAGTCGCGTCGCGAACAACAGGTGTGCCTCGCGCGCTCGTGTGCGCTCGCCTAGCCTCGTCCAGCCGCGCCGCAACAGGTGTACGCTCGCGTATTCGACGCCGCGGTATCGGCCAACGATTATTATCGCATCGATTATTATCGCGGCGAACATGTTCGAGGTTTTAGCAATGAAGAAGCTACTCGTCGCCACGATCTTGCTGTCGGCGGCGGCGTACGGCGACGTCGACGTGGTATGTTCGTGCGATCGTCGGTTTTCCGTACAGTAAATTATGTCCCAAAATTATTATAAGAGCGAGAAATGAGTTCCAGAGGTCGTTTGGAGTAACTTTTTCCTTTACAAAAATGTTCTCCGACGCGTCGTTTACGAGTTATCAACGAAAAACGCTGATGAGGCGCGAGCACTCGGCTGGGGCCCCGCCCTCGCGTCCACTGGGGAGCCGGCGCGACGCGATACTGGCCGCCAGGGCGGAGCGCCGGGCGCGCTCGCTCTCCGATTGGTCCACGTTTTTCATTAATAACTCGTTAACGGTGCCTCGGAGAACATTTTTGTAAAGGAGAAAGTTGCTTCAAATCGCCTGAGGAACCCCTCACCGGCCGCTTGCGCGATAATTTTGAGACACTCTGTACATTCTACTGTTCTGTAACAGCAGAGACTTCGAAAATTAGGATAACGACTCGGTTTCAGTCTTCGATCGAAGGGAGGAACGCTTCTCTCCTCGGAGTCTTGTTCTAGCACTTTTCTCTACCCTTAGTTTCTTTCTTTTCTCGCGACGATAGGACCTAGCGTTCTGACACGATAACATCGCGATAAAAGCGCCGAGTTTCACGCAACTAATCTACGAAATCTGAACCATAGGTGACGGACGTTCGTCGAGCGGCGTTATCGTATCTTGGCACCGGGAAGCAAGTATCGCGGGGCAACGTGCGCATCGACGAGGACGAGTCGTTGCTCACCGCGGCCAGGTAATCGTTTCGCCCCTAAATAACCCCTGCAGAAGCGAGTCGAATTTGCCGACAGCAAGGAAACTTTACGATTCAGACGTACGAGGGAGAACGGAGGAGCGTCGCAGCGCGGTCCTTCGAATCGATTCGGTCCGGTCGATCGACGATGCGCCCCGAGCCCGACCACGATCGTGTCGGTGAACGTGAGGGACCTGTTGGAGAAGAAGAATCAGCTGTCCGCCTACAATTCGGAGATCTGCGCCTACTTCCGGCAGCAAGGCTGGATGGTGGAGAACCCGTTGTACGCCGACGAGCCGAGCTGGGTCGAGGTCGCGAACGATTACGCGGGCAAATTGCCGCTTCGCTTGGAGTTCATAGATCCTTACGTGCTGTCGCGGGGCAAACGGGTCCGTCGGTGGCGGAAGTACGACGGGAACTCGACGATCAACGATTTGGAGGCTGACAGGATCAGACGAAAGCGCGATTATCGCGAAGGCGCGCGGTCGAGGCGCGATTCGGGCGTCGCGAACGCGGTCGCCGCGAAGGAGAAGAACGGCCGGATCCTCGGCCAGAGGAACAAGCATTTGGTGCTCCAGGACTTGTTCGAGCAGCCTTACTTCATTTCGCGGGGCAAGAAGACGAAGCATCGNGGTCCACGTTTTTCATTAATAACTCGTTAACGGTGCCTCGGAGAACATTTTTGTAAAGGAGAAAGTTGCTTCAAATCGCCTGAGGAACCCCTCACCGGCCGCTTGCGCGATAATTTTGAGACACTCTGTACATTCTACTGTTCTGTAACAGCAGAGACTTCGAAAATTAGGATAACGACTCGGTTTCAGTCTTCGATCGAAGGGAGGAACGCTTCTCTCCTCGGAGTCTTGTTCTAGCACTTTTCTCTACCCTTAGTTTCTTTCTTTTCTCGCGACGATAGGACCTAGCGTTCTGACACGATAACATCGCGATAAAAGCGCCGAGTTTCACGCAACTAATCTACGAAATCTGAACCATAGGTGACGGACGTTCGTCGAGCGGCGTTATCGTATCTTGGCACCGGGAAGCAAGTATCGCGGGGCAACGTGCGCATCGACGAGGACGAGTCGTTGCTCACCGCGGCCAGGTAATCGTTTCGCCCCTAAATAACCCCTGCAGAAGCGAGTCGAATTTGCCGACAGCAAGGAAACTTTACGATTCAGACGTACGAGGGAGAACGGAGGAGCGTCGCAGCGCGGTCCTTCGAATCGATTCGGTCCGGTCGATCGACGATGCGCCCCGAGCCCGACCACGATCGTGTCGGTGAACGTGAGGGACCTGTTGGAGAAGAAGAATCAGCTGTCCGCCTACAATTCGGAGATCTGCGCCTACTTCCGGCAGCAAGGCTGGATGGTGGAGAACCCGTTGTACGCCGACGAGCCGAGCTGGGTCGAGGTCGCGAACGATTACGCGGGCAAATTGCCGCTTCGCTTGGAGTTCATAGATCCTTACGTGCTGTCGCGGGGCAAACGGGTCCGTCGGTGGCGGAAGTACGACGGGAACTCGACGATCAACGATTTGGAGGCTGACAGGATCAGACGAAAGCGCGATTATCGCGAAGGCGCGCGGTCGAGGCGCGATTCGGGCGTCGCGAACGCGGTCGCCGCGAAGGAGAAGAACGGCCGGATCCTCGGCCAGAGGAACAAGCATTTGGTGCTCCAGGACTTGTTCGAGCAGCCTTACTTCATTTCGCGGGGCAAGAAGACGAAGCATCGATTCGCCGGGCAACCGGAGCGGACGAAATCGGGCGCGAACCGGTCGTGGAACGACGGCGGAAGCGATCGCGTTTCGAGCCGATTCGCGGAGACTCCGGAACTCGATTCGAGATCCAGAGAGGCCGAGCACTTCGGGCAAGCCGTTGCCAGGAAAAGGGCGAAACCGTCGAGCGACCGAAAGTCACTGTTGGATCAATTGTTGACCGACTCGGATCTATTCTACGTGGGCAGAGGTAAGAGGACGAGCGCAGCAGCTGCCGCCGCCGAGTCGACGGGATCCGTCTAATCTATCTGGCTGAATTACAATATGTTGTCGTAATTTTCGTGTTATTACTTGATCGGTTTTATTAACGAAACACGCCGATTCCCCTTTAGATTACAGTGTTAAACGAAACAAGCTGATCGTTTTGTAAGCAATCGAGTAAGTCATGGCCGAGACGACACAGTAATTGACGCTCGGATTGTGCGCAAAAATGGACAATTTGGGAACAGGAGATACGATTATTGGAGCTCTATAACTCGTTTTTATCGTCGTTGACAATTCTATAAAAACGAAATGCAAGGCTCGATTAATCGTATCTCCTATTCCTGAATTGTCCATCTTTGTGGACAATTCGAGCGTCAATTAGGGAGACATTACTATATATGCAAAAATTTGTGAAACGCGCCGCGTCGGCGTGTCCGACGTACCAGCGACGGGCATCAATCGATTAAAATTGTTAAATTTCAATTGAACGATCGATGGAAACGATTAAATAAATTAATCGTCGAAAGGTCGGCGATTGAATTTATGATTGACGAATGCGTGATCGTCGATTGAAAGAGACAATAATCAATTTTTTTAACGGAATCTATATATTGATGTAACTCCGTTAACAATTGTCTCTATTCTGCTGATTGCTTCATTGTCTTTTTGTATTCGGAGTGAGGGGGGAACGAGGGGGATTCCTACTTCAGTCATAGTCGCGTTAATCGCGACTAACGATCGAAAGGAATTTAATACTCGATCGCGATCAACGATCGACGGTAATATTTAAATTATTAGTCGTCGATTAATTTGTTGCCCAACTCTGGTCCGTGTGCGCCACTGTGACAGCGTGAACGAACGCGTTCTAACAATAAGAATGTTAAACGGTCCATGGAGACGTCGGATTTCGAGCGGACGAAAGTCTACCGACTGGAACGAATCGTACGATCCTGCTGTCTGCCCCGTCGCCGTAATTTCGAGTGCGAAGTGTATGCTTAAGTGCGAAGAAAACGGCCTCGAAGAGAATCCCGTCGAGGAAAATTCTGATCTCGTGCGCGGACGTTTCCGTCGATCGATCGTTCGATCCGCGGTAATTTCTCCGTGATTCGCGCACGAAAATGGGCAATTTGGAAAGAGGCGACACGAATATTTTAGTTTTCTTAGTCACCGATTCCCGACAACTATGAAAACGAATCACGAGGCTTGAACAATCGCGTCTCCTCTTCCCAGATTTTCCGTTTTCGCGCGCGACCCGAGCGCTAATTAGGGAGAACTTGCCGCAGAGACAGAAACGCCGTAATCGCTTCGCCCAAGTACTCGCTGAAAACCTGGAAGATCGAGGAAGCGAAAGATCGAGGAGACTGAAAAGAATTGCGCAGCACACGGAACGAAAATTTACGGCGACGACGCGCCGCTATACATCACGAGCGCGGCGTAACGCATTTTTAACGTTCGCGCACACATGCGACCCCCATTCCCGCAGCATACTCGATTCGCCGCTTTCCGACTTGAAAAACGTTCCGTTTCTGGTACGCGCGGGACGCCGAGCCGACCGTTCGATTCCGTCGCGCGTTTCGCGCGCGTTATTTATGCGCGCGGAAACTTAATGTTCGCCCGTTCGATTAGGGGTGGTGGCGCGGGAACGGGGCGGCAGAGAAACCTGCGTGCTTCCGATCGGTTTGCATTCAACACGGAAAAAGGAAAGGACACGAAAAACAGAGCAAGTGGGGGCGGTAGAGACGCTCGGGGAACCGGGAAGAACAACGGGGGAAGGGATTAAAGAGGGGATGAAAGGCAGGGGTTGATTTTTTCTGGCCAGCGGAGAGTGCGCCGGAGAGAACCACGTGGCGGATATAAGAAGAGCGACGCGTATCGTTACCCGTCCATTGTACACCTTATTTCGGTGGGGCTCGTGCTTCAGGTACGTTGTTACGACGCGCGCGTCACACTGGTACAAGGAGCGAAACGTCTCTTCAGCAACGAACAGCCGTGGAAGATCGGCTGCGTCCAGGCGGAGCGGTCTCGGTTGAATTTCGACGTCGAAGCGAGATTCGAGAGCGAATGCGAGTAAGTGGAGAGATACAAACGAAAATAGAGACAAATACGGACATACACGCGTACACACGCGCTCGTAAGCACACGTGCGTAGAACGATTTGAAGAGAAACACCTTGAATTAGAGCTTCGAAGAGAGACATTCGACGCGTTTCTTTCTTGCAATCGCCGCGATCTGCGTGTACGGTGACTTTAAATCGCGTAATCGCAAGTGGAAATACGAGTCTGATAATTTCGTACGAACGAATACAAACGGAATGAAATGAAATGAAATGATTTCGCGGCATAAGTTTCCGCGAGTCTTACGGAAATTAATTATCTCGACTGTGCTATTATCTCTTCCATGTTTCCATCGGGTCTCGATATCCGCGGTGAACTTCGCCCGTTCTTTTCGCGAGATGTTGAAGGAACGCTCGGTTTGAAAAAACTATTGATTTTCGGCGCGAACAGTGCGACACGCGTAATTTCCGCGATTCGAGTCGAAACGAGATGAAACGGAACGGAACCGAAAGAAACCGGATCGCGAGAGAAATATCCGCAGCGAAGAAAGTCGGGGAAAAAGACCGCGCGTTTCGGTAAAACGCGAGGGGAAAATACGGGCGCGCGCGGCGTCCGAACGCGCGCGATCGCGGAAGCATCGGATGCAAATAGTTTGTGAACGGAAATAAGTACGCCGGTGTGACAGGTTTGAAAGCGTCCGCTAACTAGATTTTAACACGCACGCTGACGAAAGTGCACTTCCTCCCTTCCTCCCTCGCGAAATGTCATCTACCGATTATCATTGTAAAAGCGTCGATCGATGAGTAAAAGGAGAAACGGGAGGCGGGAAAATAATGGGAGAGGAAAGGGTCGCGCGGCGCCATCTTCTTTTTTTTCCCCACGCTTTTTCGTGCTTTTCGCAGCCGTGAATATGTCGAGCGACGAATGACGGGACGAGAACGAAATATTAATATATATAATTAATATCTATATATATATATATATATATACAAATATAAATATAAGTGAGAATTTTATGTCGAAATAAGCGTTCGAATACGCGCGAGCGCGTGCACTTGTATACGTCGCGCCGCCGACACACGATTGTGCATGCATGTGTAATCGGTGCTCCTCTGCAACCGATTCGACCCTTAATGGAAACGCGCCGTTGCCGGATTATTTTTCGTAAAGAAGATTGCGGCCTGCTTACGCTGTTTTCGTAATAAAGAATTTCCATGGCATTACTCTCTCTCTCTTTTTCTCTTTCTCTTTTTCTTTCTCTCTCTCTCTATCTCTGCTCCTGAGCTGGGACGCGCCGATGCACCGGGTGCATCCGACTCGCCGAGCGAATTTGCCTCCTCTCCCTTATCCGTTTATAGTTAGCTTATTTGGCGAACGAACTTCTTGCGCCGCTTGGAATGAAGGCGGCCGCGTGATATTTTTTTACGGCTTTATCGCGGTCATATATTCGGGCTTCTCTCCGTTCTTCGAATTTAATAACGAACCTCGGGACGCGTGTGTTAACGCTAGAGTTACGGGGCACCGAAAAAACAGCCGTTTCGTATTAGTTTATAAAAGTAACAATAAGACATTTATTCCGATTTTTAACCAGTGTTGTTTTAATATTTGCCGTAAGTAACGTATAAATTGAATAAATAAACTCGTAAATGTATGTTTTACGGTAGGAATAATCGCGAGTGAAAGAATTAGCGACCCGCCATTTTGACGGGTTCCGTAAATCTAGGATTAAAAAGAGAACCGCCGCGACCTTCCGCGATGCACGCATACGTAAACGCGTGCGCGCGCGCACACATCGACGCGTATGCACACAAAAAAATACGCAATTGCACCATCGTCGAAGAAAATGACTTTCCTGTTTGCTCGTTGCCTGGTCAAATAACAACATTTCGAACAATTTTAATTAGAACGATGCGGACCTTTCTACCGATCGTTTGGCTTCTGGCGCGCGTAGTCCTCGGAACCGTGGAAATCGAGAATAATTTCTCGGACGTGGCACGCTCGCGAACCGAACGGGACGACAGGCTCGAGAATGAGACCGAAAAGTTCGGACCAACGACGAACGATTTGTACAGAGACTCGAGCGGCGATTCGTTCGCGATGGAGGCCGACCAAAAAGAGGCCGATCCTGGCGGAGTTATAAAAGGTGAGAATTAGAGACGCGTGTTTTTTTCGTAACCGCGAGGAAGCTACGCATTACGAGAATTCTCGTTCCAGACGAATCCAACGCCAAGCTGGCCGATTTTTTGAAAATCATCATAAAGAGGGGACAAGACTCCGCGGAATCTTTGCTCGACCAAAACGAAAAGGTCAGCTATTGCGTTAGGTCTATCGATGTTATAATCGATCGGGTAGATGCGCCAGTTACTGTGCCCTCAATTTTTGCCAAATAATCCGGTTTCTTTGACTTGTTTTACATGCGCCAGTTACTGTGCGCTTAAACCGCAAGTTTTGCTAAATAATCCAGTTTCTTTAACTTCTTTGACACGCACCAGTTACTGTGCGCTTAAATCGCAAGTTTTGCTAAATAATCCGGTTCCTTTGACTTCTTTCACATACGCCAGTTACTGTGCGCTTAAACCGCAATTTTTGCTAAATAATCCGGCCTCCTTGTCAGCTAAAAATTGGCGCCGTAACCGAAGGGCCAACAGTAACTGGCGCAGCGATCTGCCAAGGCGAAACGTCAATGAACGAAGTTTTCAGAGCTCCGCGCAAGAAAAGAAGAATCCCTGGGCGTTTTGGTGGGGTGGCAAAAGGATAAATACGAGCGGTCAAAATTCGGGCATACGTCGACCGATTCGGGTGCCGTTCGACAGTTGGGGAGGAAAACGCGGAAGGCCGCCGTTCAACAATTGGGGCGGTAAACGCGGAAGGCTGGAGTTCAAGGATTGGGGCGGTAAACGCGGAAAGGTGGCGTTCGGGGGTTGGGGCGGCAAACGCGGAAGGGAGACGAATTCTGAATTCAACCAGATCGACTCGACCATCGTCGAACCCGACGAGTTCACCGACAATCTTAAGAGGGCGGAGAACGACTGGTGGTGTCAGCAACCTCCGTACTACAGTTACGATGGAAAGAGGAGAAAAGCGTGTTTCTACAATTGGGGTGGAAAGAGGTCTCAGAGCGGGAACGATCGAGAATCGGGCGAGGACGGCGATCAAGACGATCGAGAGAACTCGCCGCGCATTCACCATATGCTCGGAGTCATGGCAGGTCGGTAATCTATTCGGGATTTCGCGAAACGATTCCGCGTGTGTTCCGATCGAACGATCATCGTTCGGTTCGTTTCAGACGAATTTCCCAAGGAAGACAAGACAGGGCGATTCCAGATCGGACAGAGCACCATACGAGGCGAGATCGAGATGGCCGCGGTCGACGACGGATCCGATGGAAAACGTAACAACGTTGCTTACCGAATTCCGACGGAGAACATCGACAACTGGTTCGTAATTAATACTCGAATCGAATATACAAGGTGTCTCGTAATTATGGTACTTCCGGGAAATGAGGGGTTCCTGAGGTGATTTGGAGCAACTTTTTCCTTTACGAAAATTTTCTCCGAGGCATCGTTGACGAGTTATTAACGAAAAAGCAATGACCAATCAGAGGCAGGCTCGGCCGGCGCGAGGCGAAACGAGCGCGCGGAGCACAGTATCGCTGATTGGCTCGGCCGCCTAGCGCTGCGCGAGCTCGCCTCTGATTGGTCGCTGTTTTCCGTCGATAACTCGTTGACGAAGCCGCGGATTGTATTTTCGCTAAGGAAAAAGTTACTTTAAATGATATATATATTGTGATATTCTATAAATATTATATAACCGTCTTCAAGTTATCGATACCTAAGAAAAGCATCGTTCAATCCACTGAGTGCGGGAAAATTAAAATTGCAATTGTAGACAAATCTTTAAAAGATATCCGCAAATATTTGTCCACGACTGTAGATCGTTGCATGCGGCGCGGTTAAATTGTAAAAAACGAATTTCAATATTGCAGGTTCGCGCAAATGTACAGATTACTGGCAAACAGAAAAGCTCAACGTGGACACACCAAGGCTGTATCGTTTCTACCCTGGTACGGTAAAAGAACTGACAGTGATTTCTCTCCGTGGGGTGGATAAATGTCCTTCGAAACATCGCTTACTTAGTACAATTGTTACACCAGTTTTACTTGTTGCTCGAAATGCGTTCCAGTTTGCTTATAAATTCTGCTTCGATGCGCCACATGTTGCACCGGTGCGTAGACGTTAAAACACGATACTCTTATTGTTCGCTCTATTCGACTGCGTAACAGTACATAATTTGGTGGGATGCACACGCGATCTTTCGAAACGATTCCTTTCACTTTTCGATTCACTTCCGTTGCCGTTTAACCGTCGCGCAAGCATCGAGACGAATTTAAAATGTGCGTCGCGGGCCGCGGTCGAGGACGCGCATGCCCAATGGCCGCGCGATCACGTGACGCAATATGGCGTTCGAGTACGATTCCCGCCAATAACCGTGGCACGAATCAACTCTCGAACTCGTTCGTTGCTGTTGTAAAATCGTCTAGGTTTGCGCACGATGAGAGAAATTATAAACAATTAGCATGAACAAAGCAGTGTTGATCGGGTTATGTAAAAAAGCCGCGTGCATCCGATCAACAAGTGGAACTATATACATACATACAAACATACATACATACTACGAAACCAATTTCGATGTGTGCTTGGTCTCTCAAATATATTTCGGTGAACAATTTTTCCCCATTAAATAATCAAACTGTCTATCTTCTTCTTACCTTCCCAATTCTTCTTTCGTTTCCGCTAACAACGACGTCACCGCGATCGAAGAACACCAATTTTCCACGTTGGCGAATTTCATCGTTCGTAGTCACGATTTCAAGAAACTGTCGCGACGCGATACACGCTTCAAAATATATTTACTTAATTTATTATTTAGCATCCATCACTTCACCGTTCATCGTCACTAATCACCGTCCACGAAAGCGACGAACGCGTCCCGTACACGACGTAACTCGTAGACAAGCTTCGAGAACGAGCTTCGTATCGAACAATCGATTGTTTCGTCGCGCTTTCGATTATTGCGACGCAACTGTATTCGATTTGAGCGAACTATAAAGTGCGGTAGCAAAGTCGTCGTTCTTCGGTGAAAGTGCTCGTCTAATGCTCGAACAAGTAAATAATTGACATAAATAGTTACATACGCGCACACGAATTCCAAACGCGATATGTACGATCCTAAACTTGACGCGATTCATTGTTGTTTATTCGATAACGAGATATGTATAAACTTGCATCTATGTACATACATCGTGCATATACGCCGCGTAGCAATCTACTATACGTAGATAAAGAACTGGACGATCCCGGCTCTTTGTTATTCTATGGAAGCTTATTTATATCGTTTATACTTTTGGAATCGTGGCGTACACGTAGACGAGCCGATATATACATACGTTATTCAAACGATGGATAGACATTCGTAAAACATCGTAAAAGGACTTACCAAACGGATAATTAACCACGGTTTGACGGGTATTGACAGATCAAGGCGCAGAGGTTAGAATCGCTTGTTTTGCTGCCGCCGTGTGACAGCGTGGCGTCCAGCGGCGTCGGCGCGGTAGCTTGTGCAGTAACAGTTTCGCAGTACTGACAACCTTCGTGGATAGGTGGCATGCGCGATTCGATGCGCAAACGTTTCGAAAGTTCAGTACGGCACGCGCAGCTGCGTCACGCGAAGGTCCGTGTTTCTTCAACGTTCAACTTCGGTTCGAAACGAAACGGTTTATTTTATTTATTTAAAGCACGCGAACCATTTGTAAAACGATGAATGAACGTACGACGAGGCGAGGAGGACAGAAGCATGCGCAGTATATCGGCACGATCGATAACGAAGGTATGCTTGCATTTATTGATATGTATTTGATTAGCTCATACACAGTAGGTACACAGAAAACAGACATACATACATTGTATCTATATCGAACAGTACGCTATACCAAACTATATAATATAATGCACGTATTACACGACGAATGTTTTGTTCCGCGATAATCGCGTACGATCCACTTTCTTAGCGCCTAGCAACTTTGCGATATTATTTGTATTATATTGATTACACACGATATCGCTTGCGTAAAATAGATCCGCGTACAAACGACGCGTAGACAGAGTTTCTCTTTGGTCTGTACTTCACGTATTCTTTTCCCGACATCGATTCTGTAGAATGTATACAATCAACGAAAATCGGCGAAACAACATAATATAACGTTATTCTATCGAGAACGTTTATTATACGTGGTATATACATATCGGTTCATCGTTCCATCTATTCAATCCTCAAAAAAAATAGAATTGCCTGCTCTGCCATTTATCCTCGTATACAGCTTTCGTATTTTCCATATTTTTCATATTTTTAGTATTTTCCATATTTTTCATATTTTCCATATTTTTCATATTTTCCATATTTTTCATATTTTCCATATTTTTCATATTTTCNCTGCGTCACGCGAAGGTCCGTGTTTCTTCAACGTTCAACTTCGGTTCGAAACGAAACGGTTTATTTTATTTATTTAAAGCACGCGAACCATTTGTAAAACGATGAATGAACGTACGACGAGGCGAGGAGGACAGAAGCATGCGCAGTATATCGGCACGATCGATAACGAAGGTATGCTTGCATTTATTGATATGTATTTGATTAGCTCATACACAGTAGGTACACAGAAAACAGACATACATACATTGTATCTATATCGAACAGTACGCTATACCAAACTATATAATATAATGCACGTATTACACGACGAATGTTTTGTTCCGCGATAATCGCGTACGATCCACTTTCTTAGCGCCTAGCAACTTTGCGATATTATTTGTATTATATTGATTACACACGATATCGCTTGCGTAAAATAGATCCGCGTACAAACGACGCGTAGACAGAGTTTCTCTTTGGTCTGTACTTCACGTATTCTTTTCCCGACATCGATTCTGTAGAATGTATACAATCAACGAAAATCGGCGAAACAACATAATATAACGTTATTCTATCGAGAACGTTTATTATACGTGGTATATACATATCGGTTCATCGTTCCATCTATTCAATCCTCAAAAAAAATAGAATTGCCTGCTCTGCCATTTATCCTCGTATACAGCTTTCGTATTTTCCATATTTTTCATATTTTTAGTATTTTCCATATTTTTCATATTTTCCATATTTTTCATATTTTCAATATTTTTCATATTTTTCATATTTTCCATACTTTTCATATTTTTCATATTTTCCATAGTTTTCGTAGCTTTCATAACTGTAACAGTTTTGGTCGCTCCAGATTGACTGCAGCTTCTCCGAAACAATCGACGACCCGGAAACGAAGAAGCGCCTCGTGTATTTATTATCGGGGAAAACTTCCAAGCGTATACATATATATACATACATACATACATACACATCGTACAGCAACGGAAAGGAATAGACCCGCTCTTTACGGCCGATATCGAAGGTAACTATTATTTACATTCGATACTATATTCTATACTCTACATACGATGGCGTTCACTGATCGTTCCTACGAAAACGCAATTACGGTAAATTCTCCTTAATTAACGCTCAGATTGTGCACAAAAGACTGGACACTTTTGGAAGAGGAGATACGATTGTTCGATTTTATAGTTATCGATTATCAACAACTATGAAAAGCTCGAACGACCGGTATCACTCCTTCTCAAATTGTTCATTTTTGTGTAGAATTTGAGCGTCAATTAGGGAGAATTAACTGTATTACGGTGTCGACAACGCGCCGATCGCGACGATACGCTCGACCGTGGACACAAGCGAATCCAATTTGAAATTAAGGAACACCCTTCTATTCTAAAAACTGGAAACCAAACCGATTATTATAACACGGTACACGCGTTACACCTATGTTTTGTTATCAAGTGGATCGCTTTCGAATACAAGTTACAAGAAAGAAACGCAAACCCTAATGTTATGCTAATCGTTACGTGCTTTTGTCATTACCAAGAGGAACGTCAACATCAGCTGATATCCGAATACCTGAAATAAAAGCACGTTTCAGTTTCCGATTGCAAGTACACGTGCATAGATACAAGGTGTCCCAAAAATGTTGGAATTAAACGAAATGGGCGATTTCTGAGGTGATTCGAAGACACATTTTCCTTAGTAATTAATTAATTAACGAATTATTACAGTAATTGAAGGAGCCTTCGCTTGTTCCCCTCACCCCGCAAAAATCTTGGAGGACTTCTCGTCATTTGTTATAATTGTTTTTACTCGATTACATATTCGACGATTTATCGAATACAGGCAAATATAACAGATATTATTAAAAATATACTCTAGTGCAAAGGGTTAAAGACGCTTTTACGTTAGCCAAAATGTCGTCCGCAATTTTGTTAATTATCAACGAGTAACACGGACCAATCGGGGAGCTAGCACGACTGGAGCCCGGTCCACGCGACCAATGGCGCGTCGAGCTCGCCATCGCGCCAAAATTCGTGCTCGCTCTCTGATTGATCCGCGTTTTCCGTTAATAACTCGTCAGCAGAGGACATTTTCGCCGAGGAAAAAGTTACTTAAAATAATCTCAGCCCATTTCATTTATGATTGTTTATCGAATATTTTTGGAAAGCCCAGTAGTTTCCGTAGTCTTTTACCTAGTAACATCGACGATTTCTCGATCGCATTCATTTCACGCGCCCAATGCGTCGTCGAACGCATTAGAAGACGGATCGGTGTTGCAACATGGAGGACTTCTTGCCTCTGACACCCACGAATTTCCCGCGGAACTCCCATCGTGGATTCTTTTTGCCCCGAACTCCGACGTATCTGTAGGGCGATCGTTTCGCGATCTCGTAAGCAGCCGCTTTCTCTCCTCGGTCGTTGTTCGTTCCTGAAAAAAAAAGAAACGAAAACGATCTAACGTGAGTGAAGCTTAGACAAACAGAAAATAAGAAAAAATGTCGAAATTCAACGGAGCAGACATCACCTTGGTAGCTCGAACTGACTTCGTAAATCTGCGACACGTCTCTTTTACCTCTCATTCCGTGAAAACCCATTCGTGTTCTCTTCAGCGACTCGATAATGTTTCTTTCGCGAATATCTGTACCTCTCTTGGCGTACTCGGACGGATTGATCGGGTAATCGACGTAGCCCGCGAGCGAGTCTTTCTTGCCGCGCATACCCTGCAAAGTGTTTCATTAATTGTAGTATTATTAATCGTTACATTTCCTCGTAAAGTTGACCGAGTTGCAAATCTTAGAGGTTCAGAAGCGTACTAGATTTTAGAGGTGTACAGGCTGAGCCAATAAATGTGTTCATTTTTTATGGTGTCTGTTAAAACGACGAGGTTGAATTTATTTCAATTATTAATTTTGAAATTATATTAACACACGAATATAATATATAATAATATATATTAATTACTATAAATTACACTCTGGAATCTGCCTATGCTTGATTTTGGCATAGGTCAGAAATGACCCGGCTTCGGCCCTTACGAGGTCCGTCCTCCAAGGTTTAAGAAACTTTTAAGGAACTAATGTTCCTTACAATTAACTTAGACAATTTTTATCTTGCCATTTAACCCTTCGCACTCGAAGCCATTTCAACTGTAAATCTAAATTAATTTTGTTGACTTACGGTATCTCCATTTTACATGACAAAGTGCATTTTATGCGCACGAAATTTAGTCTTGCGACTCGTACAACAGTTGGACTCTTAATAATTTTTTACATCTAAACTTTGATAATATAAAAATGATCTTGGAACGTGATATAACAATTTTAGTGGTGCCTCAGAGTGCAAAGGGTTAATCTTGCAATTTTTATCTTGCACCGAGAAACCTCTCGGAAACGTAAAAGCGCCGATCACCGCGAACATCGCGTTTCACGAATCGCGGCCACCATTTTGGAAAAAAAGAGAACACCGCTGCGCTTCACGCCGTGAAAGCGGACGAGATAGAAAGCATTAGGGGTGTGCCGATACTAACGTGAAAACCTCCCATACGGGCCCTTTTCTCGAGCTGCTCTACAGCGTCGAGGATCATCTTCTTCCCTCTCATTCCTTGAAATCCCATCGGTGCCCTCTTCTCCCACTCGTCCAGAATCTCGTTCTTCCCGTCGCGCGCGTCTTCATCCCGGAACCTACCGACCGTCATCGACGGTGTCCTCGCGTCGTAGTCCTCGCCGTAATCGAACAAATACGTGTCCTCGTCCTGGTATCCCATCGTGTTCCTCCTTTCAATTTCGTTCAAGATCTGTTCGCAATATTTAAAAAAACAGTGTCGTTAAAACGAATTCGAAATATGCAGCTAGATGGTGTCATCGATCACAGCGATGTCTCTCTAATTGACGCTAAGATTGTCCACAGAAATGGACAATTTGGGGAAGAGGAGACACGATTATTGTTCGAGCCTTGCGGCTCATTCTTATAGTTACGAATTGTGAACAATTCGAGCAATTGTGAGCAGCGAGGCTCGAATAATCGTATCTCCTTTTCCCAAATCGTCCATTTTTTGTGGACAATCTTAGCGTCAATTAGAGAGACATTATACTGTGTATCGCATCGACCATGAGAGAGCGACGTAAACGCAATTTCGTTGATCGACGTAGACGCATGTGGTGATCGTTTACCTCCGCGAGCGACTTCTTGCCCCTCGTTCCTTGAAATCCCATCGGTGCCCGTTTATAATGCTCGTCCTGGTTATTATAGTATGCTCTTTTTTCGTACGCGTCGCCCGGCGCGTAAGGATCCTCCGGGTCGGAGCTTAGGCTGTCCTTTTTGCCCCTCGTCCCTTGAAAGCCCATGGGCGCCCGTTTGTCGGCGGTTTCCGGGGCTAGATCGTGCTCGATGTCCTCCGCCATTGAGTCCTTTTTGCCTCGCATGCCCTGTACACGGGTTCACACGAAGCGTAATTAATATATAATTAATAATAATATAATATAACATAAATATAATAATAATATAATAATATAATACAAAATAATAATGTAACATAATATAAATTAATAGTATAATTAATAATATAATAATTAATATATTCGTTTAATTTCGGCCTCGAGGCTCAGAAGTGGAATTCGCATGCATTTCTAAATGTTCCTTGACCTATCCTCGTACCACTTCTTCTTCGGTTCTCCACTCATCGTTCCCCGCATCTTACCCTAATCTATTCCAAGCTAACGTATCCTAATTTATTCTACTTGTAATTTCCAAATTACAGTCACAAAAATTACGAATTATAATTACAATTGTAAATATCTTGCATATTCTTCCTTCCTCTACCTGCAGCCCCTTCTAATTTTTCTTTACGTTTTGTGAGCTATTTATTATTATTATTTGTATTATTATTGTTATTACTGTCGTTATTATTACTTTTATTATTGTTATCGTCAGTTATTGTTTTCCGATTTTCCCTTTCATCGTCGTTTAATTTATATTCATAAAGAGTTTAAGAAAGTGAGGAAGAAAGCTCTCTCTCGCTCTTTTTCTCTCTTTCTCTCATTCTCAGTATCTCTCTAATATCTCTCTTTCTCTCTCTTCCTTTCCGTTTTTCTTCCACTATTCGTCCTCGCCCTAAAACCATCTCAATTAATATCCTCCGTCCTCTCCCCCCGTTGTTCTCGCTATCACAACCCCCTCTTCTCTCGTTTAGGCACTTCTTTGCTATCGCTCTCACGAGGAACAGTCAACCTTCCGTCGGCAAACTACTTTTTTTTCTTTTACTAACGCGGTCGAGAACTTTGGTCCTTCGCGCTTCGGGCATGATTTCCTTTACTGTTTCTAGACTCTAAGAAAATTTGAGAAAATTCGCGGAATGCACACCGCTGTTTCTACTTTCATACACAAACGACGATAAAGTTCGTTTTGGCTGGACGAACCAGGTATCCTAAACCTTTCGTTCAACGAACATGTTCAACGATGAAAATTTCGCCTGGGTAATTAAAGACCCGGCTTGTACGGCGACCGCTTAATAACGCTGTTAATCTTACCGTCAATAACCGAGCAAGGAGTGAAAATTGACCGGACAATTGATAAACATAATATTTCATTACGCTAATAAATATAAAATAAGCGAAAATTAATGTTTACATAATAAATGTTTATATAAAAGACTGTTTCACAATAACTGCATGAAACAGTGACGTAACATAAGCAGCCCATCGCAAGGGAACCCTCGTCCCCTTTGTTTGTTGTCGAACATCGTCGACGATTTTGATTATCGATGCAATTGTTAATAAACTCGTTTTGTAAGCGTCTTTTCGTTTAACAAACTATCGCCTTGATGAGCTATCTTCTCTCGCGTCTTTTCGTTTTATAATACTTTACCTGGAAGCCCATGGGTGCTCGCTTAGCGATCCCGGCGTCCTCCGAGGACCCGAAGTTCTTATTCCCGCGCATTTCTTCGAAGCTCATGGGATCATCCTTCACGGATAGTACGTTGTTCGACGAGGGGTCATCGGCGAGCGCGAGTGCAATGGTCGCTGCCAAACAGAGGCACGAACGGACGATCATCCTGCAACAGAGAAACGCGTTATTTCTGCAGACTCGTTGGAATTGATCGATGCAATCGGATTTACGAATCGAAGGCGAAACGACTCGGTTATCCTGCTATCCGTCGTCGCGATGACTCGCGCGTTATAACACGTTGCAGCGCGTTGCGCGAAGAAAAGCCGCGCCGTCGAGTCCCGAACTCGTTATCACACGCCTATTTTCATCCAATAGGCGTAGGGCATCAATTCGACGTAGGGCAGGACGTAGCATACACAGGGTGTCCCAAAAACGCCTCGCAATCCGGTTCCTAAGGTGATTTGAAGCAACTTTTTCCTCAGCGAAAATGCGATCCGCGGCTTCGTTCGCGAGTTATTAACGAAAAACAGCGACCAATGAGCGGCCGAGCCAAGACCAAGGTCGCCTGGCGCCAGGCGGCCGAGCCAATGAGCGTAACCGGGCGCCGTTGACTGGGCCGACTGGCGCCAGCCGAGCTCGCCTCTGATTGGTCGCTGCTTTTTCGTTAATAATTCGCGAACGACGCCTCGTAGAAAATTTTCGTAAAGGAAAAAGTTGTTACGGATGACCTCAGGAATCTCTCACTGTTCTCGCTTGTACAATATTTTTGGGACAGCCTGTAGAACACGCGGCACACGGCAGACGACATATGGAGACACGAGGATGCAGGGAGATAGCGGGATCGACGATGAACGCGAGCGAAATGTCGATACGCGCATCCCGTTTTAATATTCGAATGAAACTCAATTTCGAAGCATATTTGCAGCCGATCGGGCCGTCCGCTCGCCGGGTTTGATCTCGGTGCTGTCGGCGCCGTTTCATCGAAGGTCTCTCGGCCGGCTCGAATCAAGGGAACCTTGCTCTTTCCTTCTTCGATTGTTAAGGCTCGGAACGAGCCTCTTCGACGCAATCGAGGCCGAAGGGGATCGACGATTTTTGTTCCCTCAGTTAGGCGTCGTCGAGAGACGTTTTGCGAGTTTGAAGTTGAGTTCGACCGACGTGCGTTGCCTTTCAACAACGGGAAGACCGAATTTATTCTCAGACTTTCCGCCGCTTTTTATTACAACGCGTGCTCGGAGCGAGAAGTTTATTCTAATCGCGTCCTACGGAGAAAAAGTCCTCGTTGTTTCAACGATTTCCAGATGAAAACTGCGATGTCTGTGAATTTGTACGACAGCGACAACCCTTTACATTGGAAATGATTTTAGCTCTGAGTTGAAAATAGCTTCTTTCGATTCGGATATTTTTATGGTCGGAAGTATTTTTAGCAAATTATTATATTATATTATATTATATTATTATAATATAATATTAGAATATAGAGAGGGTGGGGGTGAAGGGTCGTGTACTACGAGCCGCTAAAACCGAAGGAAACCGCCGAATATAATATGAAAAATTAAAACGTCTCGGTGCTGATTTAATGCGAAATAATTATCAATCGCATCAAATCGCCGAAAAGCGACTACGCGGTAACGCGCGGCCCGTTGTTGCTGCATCCGTGGAAAGAACACCGATGGACCTTGAATGAGAATTTCTCCCAGCACCGGCGTATTCTTCGTACTTACAGTGGCGTGCAGAAATTCCCGGCCAGAGATGATTTCGGCAATTTTCCTTGCGAGAGAGAAAAGCCTTAAGAAATTTTTCCTAATACCATGTGCAACGCTATACAACTCTAAGGGTATATATCTGTGGTGCTGTTATTGCTCTACGATAAGGGCAGGTTATTGCTACAAAATATTAATTATAACACGTTTAAGTAACGTGTCGCGAAATTGTTGCACCATGAAAACTTAGCATTATTTTATCGTTGAACGCAGGTCGGGAACTTTCGAACGCTCTAGTTTCGCTCACCCTTCGAATATTAAACGCGTCCAAAGAGTAAACAGCTTTGATCGTTTCTGTATGAATCATTTCGCTTGATACGCCGTTGTACACGATGCCTCTAAAAAAATGTCCGAGGCTTTTCTTTTCGAAGCAAAAATTACGAAGACTGAGACCCAGGCCCGAGAAATTTTGCACGCCGTTGCGACCACCCAAGCAGATTCCCACGAATTTCGATCGATGGCCTCGCGCTTCGAAAGATACACAATTTCCAGAACGAAGGAGAGCTCGAAAATTGAGCTGCAGAGGGAATCGGTTCAAAAATAGATCGTTCTTTCTGGAATTGAAATCCTGTCAAAAAATTGCGAAAAAATTGCATACGCTCCGGCGGGCAAGTAGCAGTAATTTCTACCGAATTCGCGATCAGATTTGCACTCCACAAAAATGGACGATTTAGGGAGAGGAGATGCGATTATAATTTTTGATTATAATTATGTATTATAATAATTAATATATATATAGTATTAATACATAATTAGTAATAGAATTGATACATAATTAATAATGTAATCAATATAATCAATAATAATCAATATAATATAATTGATAATGCAATCAGTAAATAATTGACAATATAATTAATAATATAATCAATAAATAATCGATAATACTATTAATGTATATATTAATGAAATTGGAATATTATTAATAATATAATCAAGAAATAATTGATAACACAATTAATGTATATATTAATGTAATTGATATATAATTGATAATAGAATCAATAATTAATTATATAACATTAATATATTAATAACAATTACAATATTCTTTTATTATACCTTTTCATAGTCATTGACAATCGTTAACCATAAAAACGAGCCTTGAAACTCGAACAATCGTATCTCCTCTTCCCAAACTGTCCATTTCTGTGCTCAATGTAACCACGAATCAGGAAAAAATCACATCGACCGAACCATTCGCGCAATCATTTCTCAACCAAATACCAAAACACGGAAATACCGAAACAACGTCGCCCAACGAGACCGTGTAACGGAACACGACGAAGCCGACGATTGTCGTCGACAGCGATATTTCCCGCGATGTTTCCCTGCGACGAAAATAGTCTTCGGTTCGATCGTGCGATCGTACGATCGAATCCGGCTGGATCGTTCTCGCGATCGTCGTTCCGACGGCTAGCAAACGGCCGAGCCACGCGTCAACGTATCAAGGTGTCAACGTATCAACGAACTTGCGAGCGGGAGAGCCGCGCAGGGGTCGGAAAAGTAAAAGCGTCGCTTCGTCGAGGTCAGCTGGGCCGTCGTTGACGTCGGACCGAACCGAAAGTACCCTCCCGGCACCGGCGCGGCCGATATAAACAGCGACGGCCGACGGCCAGGGGAAACGGGTGCGGTGGTCGCAAGGTGGTAGGATCGGGTAGCACGGCGGACTGTGCCAGCAAACGGGAAGACAAGGGATGTTAGCAGAGGCAGGCAGGCAGGCAAGCAACGGCAGGGTTGGCTCGTGCTATAGACTCCGCTGCGGCGAGCCGGCGTTTCTTCACGGATCGGTCGCTCGTGTAATCGTTGGAAACGAGAGCCTCCTCCCTCCGCTCCTCCCTACAATTTCTCTTAAAATCGATGATCCGCATCTGGAGAGAACCTTTTTCTAAGCGAGACCAGCCGAGGCGAGACGCGAGGCAAGGCGAGACGAGGCGATGCGGCGAATCGCTCGAAAATGAGCGGGCCGAGGCGAGGCGAGACGAGACGCGAGGCGAGGCAAGGCGAGGCAAGGCAGTGAATCGCTCGAAAATGAGAGAACTGAGGCAAAGCGAGACGAAACGCGAGGCGAGACGAGACGAGACGAGACGAGACGCGAGGCGAGGCGGCGAATCGCTCAAGAATGAGCGGACCGAGGCGAGGCGAGACGAGACGTGAAGCGAGAGAGACGCGAGGCGAGGCGGCGAATCGCTCGAAAATGAGCGGACGAGGCGAGAAACAGCGAAGGGAACAAGGCGGAACGTGAAACGAAACGCGTCGATAACGCGCGATTGCTATCACGTGGACGCGGAGCACCGCGATTGCATCGAGAGATAAAGGAAAACGGCGTCCCGGTTTATCGTACGTCGAATAGCAGGGTGATACGTTCGCATAATACGGCTGCGAACGCGCGAATGCGCGGGCGGAACACGGGCGGCTCGTAAAAATCGCATCGGAACGGTTCCGAATCGTTTGCTTTTCTCCGCGCGACGGCAATCAATCTCTCGCGCTCCCGGAGCGCGTTTCGAGGCGACACGCCGGCTCGCGTCCGCCTTGCGGAAAACGCGAGCGACGGTGACCTTTACCTTCACCTTTGCGTCTTTACTTTTAGCTTTGCTTGTACCTGGCGGCGTTAACTTTAGCTTTATCTTTACGCTTGTCTCCTCGGCGGCGGCGGCGGCTTCGACTCGGACCGGAAATCGGGAACCGCGTCGCTCGCCGTTTTCCGCGGCGGTTCCTCCTCCGCACGTCGGAATAAACGCGACGCGACGTTATTATTGTGTCGCGTAACGAGTGCGCCGATAATTCGTTTTAATATGCTTTCGCTAATTGGACTTCGCAGATCTGCCGACGAAAAAACTCTGCGTTTTTGGTGACCTTTCGCACGGCTATCGATTATCGAACCTCGAACGGCGGGAGAAAACGTCGAACGGCCGCCGCGAGTGCCGAGAAACACGTCTCTCGGTTTCTCGACTGGTTATCGCGGAAGGAGAGAGAGGAGGAGAACGCGAACTCGTCGCGGCCCGTCGCGGTTTTCCATTCGCCGTTAAACCTTGAATTCGCATCGACGATAAATGGCCGCGATATCTCGCCGCCGCGGCGGACGCCGCGAGCCGCGTCGTTTAAACGGCGGTATATGTAGATCGCGCGGAATATTTGATCGGCTAATAATAATAATAATAACGTTCGCCTTGTTTCACGCGCGACGTTGAAACGCCGTTACCCGCGGCGCCTCGTTTATACGCGGAAACGTGTAGCCCCGTGCAATAAAAAGCGGGCCGGTGATTCAATGCGCGGAAACTCGCGGCGATTTCGATGCGTCCTCGAGGATCCACGTCGACGCACCACGTTTCCCATCGAATTATGGAAATGGTCGAACGAACGGTTAACCTCGTTTCGATCTCGAGTGCGCCCCTCTCCCTCCCCCCTGCACGCGCGAGGCGAATCGTTTAAACGACGATTATCGATTACACAAACTTTCGAACCGACGGGATCGGTCGTTGTCGCGTCGTCGCACGTCTTAACCTCGTCGTCCGATCCGTCGCGATGCTGTTCGATTGATCGACGAGCTGTCCGTTGTCCGTTGTCTGACGGCGTTGTTGTCCGACGGCGCGGCATGAATCGCGCGGATATCGGGACTCGTCGCGGCGACGGGTCCGCGCGCGACGAACGGACGCTGGACAGAGAAGATCTGTTGAATTACTTTAAGAATTTAGAGAGAGCGTTTCGACGAGACGTCGGCGACGAAGGCGTCTCTAGACGGAATCGTCGCTGGTCCGGGCACCCTGGATACATCGAGAAGGCACCTCGGCGACATCTAAAGAAGATTATCGCGCCGACGGACTTTCGTGTACGCGAGGGTTGGTCCGAGGCGGACGTGGAACGACTCCGGGACGCGAATTCTGGATGCTGTCCGTCGCAGACGAATCGAAGCGAAGGGAACGCGTCGGTCGTACCGTTGTTCGTCGCGGGAACGAAAGCGTTTTTTGGCGCGGTGAAAGAAAGATCGACGGGGCGGTCGTCGAGTATTGTTTTAAACGATGATTGTGGGGTGTTTGGAATCGTGGACGATCTGAAGAGTTCGGAGATCCTGCGGTGCGAGGAATTGTTGAACGAACGCTGCGAAAAGAGATCGGGAGCGACGGCGTCGGCGAGGTATGTTTTTGTGGGTAAAGCAGAGAGAGAGAGAGAGAGAGAGAGAGAGAGACAGAGAGAAAAAGAGAGAGAGAGAGACAGAGAGAAAAAGAGAGACATAGAGAGAGAGAAAGAGAAAGACAATGAGAGCGAGGGAGAGAAAGATAATGAGAGCGAGAGAGACAGAGCGAGAGAGCGGAAGAGAGCAAGAAAGAGCGAAAGAGAGCCAGATATCGCGAGAGAGAGAGAGCGCAAGAAAGCCAGATATCGCGAGAGAGAGCGCGAGAGTGAGAGCAAGAGAGAGCGAGAGAAAGCAAGAGAGAGCGAAAGAGAGCCAGATATCGCGAGAGAGAGCAAGAGAGAGCGGAAGAGAGAGAGACAATAAGAGCGAGAGAGAGAGAAAGAGAGAGAACCAACAAGAGTGAAAGAGGAAGAAAGAGAGAACAAGTTCTACCGAAAGCCCGACCGAAGTCCCAACTTTCAGAAACCACGTAACCGCGGGCCCGAACCTTGAAAACCGTCGCAAACGGGACCCCAGAAACGCGGGAGAACGAATAAGGCCTTTGGAAGATGGGACCGTGAAGGCAGAAGACCGAGATCCGTGCAAACAACTTACAAACACTCGACGGGAACGATTCGATTGGTGGCGCGTAACAGATAGCGAAGCAGCGGCGGAACAATGCGTCGAGAGTGGTCGTCGCTGTGCCGCAAACGTCGACGTCGAGCGTCCACGGGATCGATACGGCAATCGTGATCGGATCGTCGACGAGGCGACGGGAAAGATCCGTTTGAAGGCGAGTCGAGCGGAGAGCCGCGAGCAAGCAACGCGTCCCGAATACGCTTGCACGGGGGTGCATCGGTTCGATTCGCGTTCTCACCTGGAAAGGGTTCGGGAAACGGTGCACGCCAGCGAATCGGACGCAACCTGTTGCAGCTGCGGCGTCTGTCGCGCGGCATTTCGCCTCGATTTCACCGCGAACGACGATTCGACGGGGCAATTAGAGACGCCGACGAGCTGTCGGAAGTGCGCGCCGATAGCGGCGGTAACGCGGAACGCGGCCGCGCCGTCGAGATCTCGTTTGTCGGAATCGCGTTCGAATCTTGGGGCCGCGATCGCGTGCCGTCCAAACGAGCGACGTTTTTCGAATCGCTGCCGCGACGGCCGATCGTTTCGCGAACCGTTCGCCGTTCGGAAAAGGAACGAGAAGACGATCGCGCCCGGGAATTCGTTCGGCGATTACCGCGGTCGCGAGCTCGTGAAACCGATGAACAACGTCGGCAAGGCTCGTTCGAGGAAAGTGCTCGTTTATCCGCCTCGCGGTCAAGCGGGTCCGCCGTTGACGCTTTACAAAAGCAGCTCGAACATCGACTGCGTCGTAGACGGAAGTCCAAGGAACGGGTTCCGTTATAGCGTCACCTACGTGCAAACGTTCCGCAGCTCGTTCTGGCGGTCCGACGATCGCGACTGGTAGAAGGATCTTCGACGATACGAATCGTCGCCGCGACGGTCCCCGGAAATCTACGCGCTCCCTGGGATCGATAGCTCGTCTCGCCTCGTACCGGACAGCGTCGTGCCGCAGAAAGCGCCCGACGGTGGCGAGAAACAAGCATTTTCTCGCTGAAATCGTGAATTCAATTTCTGGTGCAACTTTTCGATGTTTTATGTTACGCGATATTATCGACGTTACGGAATTTATTTTTTGAACAACGTTTCTAGGGGAGAAATACGTGAAATTGTACGATTAATTTGTGACTAATGAACGGTAAATTGTCGTCGAATTAACCGCTTGCCGTGCTCTGATGTGTCTAACTCGTCGTGAAAATTTCTAACGATAACTTTAAATTGGAACAAAATTCGAATTTCTTGTCGTCGATGTTTAAGCAGTCTGGTAAAAATTTACTTCGACGATGAGCATCAATTTTCTTTCGATTAATTGACCGACGCGCGCGATTCGAACAAATTAATCGTGGGAAAATCGGCGATTGATTTAAATATCGACGATTCTAGAGAATAGAAATTTTCTCTCCTTTTTTGTCAGAATTACAAAGAACGCGCTATGGTTTCTTCGATAGCCTAAACCGTATACTTATCGTCTGAAATCGATTTTCCGACCAAACTGAGCACTTTTTATAATCGCAACCCTTGCTTCGAGCGATTCTGCTACGAATGCTATTATATCGTTGCTCGTCTTCGTCGCCGCTCGCATAATCGAATTAAATTTCTTTGAATTCAATTAAAAGAAAAATTTAATTTTCCTCCCTGAGTTCTACATCCAAGTGTTTGTGTTTTATACACCCTTGCGCGACTGCTTCGTTATTATTCTCTCGTTCTTGCAACAAAGGACTACTATCCCGCCGATCGATAAAGTTATTCAAACAAATTAATTAAATTGCAAGTCTACGACACGGTATGCTCGAACAATTTAATTTATACAATTGCCGATTTCCTATCACGAGCGATCGGCGAGATTTATTTTATCAGTCGATTGAATCAACAAGATTTTTCGCCGGTTTATCTTCCTCTAATCAAATATCGACGATTATTTTCGTCGATCTATCGAATCGATCGCCATTACTCCGGCGATTTTTAATCAATTTTTAATCAATTTAACCATTCGACGATTAAATTTCAGTAATCGATTATATCAATCGTCAATTTTATGTCAAGGTTAATCATTTTAATCGTAAGCATTAATCAATTGATCGAGCGACAAATTTTGATCGATTCGTGACGAACTCTTAATAAATATCCCTATAATGCATAATTTATTCGCTAGTTGTCAATTAAACATGTGGTTAAGTATATATTATATGTATATATAATAGTAATAATAACAATAATAATAAAAATAATAATAATAATAATATAACCTTAACTCTTTGCACTCGAAGCCATTTTAATTGTAAATCTAAGGGTTAATACATAACCTAATATAATATAACATAACCTTGACATAACCTTAATAATAATAATAATAGTAATAATAAAGTTAAATAACATATAATTTTAGTTATAGATGTCTATATATAATAGTAATAATAATAATAATAATAATAATAATAAACTTAAACAATAAATGTATAATCTCAGTTATTATACAATATCTTTCTATGCTTTTTTGTACGAAAACCGAGCTCCGCGCGCCGCGAGATCGACAAATTGTCCACGACGGAAGCAAACGGACAATTATTTCGCGGTTCCGTCGTCGAAAACAAATTCGTCCGAGAACGATTTGACAACCAATAGCGATCGTTATATCGAATCGATCCACCGGTTCGAATCGTAGGCTTTATTTTCAATCGGCAGTTCGTTTCGGCCGGACGCCTGCGTCGGTTCGCCCTCGCCGGCGAGTCTCGACTTTCTAAGGAAATACCAGCCCCCGGAACGATGGTAACTAAGCTAATCGAGTAAACGATAAATTGCGCGCGGTAAATTGCGAAGTCGTTGACGTGGAATCGCGTCGACGAGGCCCGCCGCGTCGAGCCGCCCCGTCGAGCTTGATTGCTTCGGTGTTTGTTAAATCGTTGTATCGTTTGTTGTCGGCCGAGTGCTCGATTACTTTGCGCTCGCCTTCCGCTCCTCGAAACCCGGCCGATTACCGCGTCGGCCGCGCCACAAATTACACGGTCGATCCACGAAAAATTCGCTTCGCTCGTCTTCCCGAGTCCCGAACGTCGAACTCGAACGTCGAACTTCGAATTCGAGTTCCACGCGCCGCTCGAACGGTTCCACGCCGCAGTTGCGTCGCTCGAAACGGAAATCCGTTACGAGTTCCGAACGTCGAACTCGAATTCGAGTTCCACGCGACGCTGCAACGGTTCCTCGCCGCAGTTGCGTCGCTCGAAACGGAAATCCGTTACGAGTCCCGAACGTCGAACTCGAATTCGAGTTCCACGCGCCGCTGGAACGGTTCCTCGCCGCAGTCGCGTCGCTCGAAACGGAAATCCGTTACGAGCCCGGATAAAAGGAGCGCGAGCAAGGCGGCAACGTCGCAGGGACGACGTCGACGAGTGGTTATTGAAAAAGCCGCCGCGTCTGTAAAGCGTTCAACGAACGATAAGCCGTTGAATGTGTTGCTTCCGTGCGCCCACGTTGCACCGCAAGGTGCACGGGCGTGCGCTCGCGCGACCGCTCAATTTAGAACCTTTTAAAGTACAACCGCGACTAATATAACAACGCAGGTAACGCATAACTTTTCACCGAGTTCTTCTGTAAAGACTTTAACGTGGCCGATAAAAATGTCAATACCCATACCCGCGGCTCTGTGTATCCGCGAGGGCGCGCGCGCGCGCGCACGAGTGTTTTTTTCTTTATTCCGCAAGAAAACAACGGTCGGGCTTAACGGGAACGGCTTGCACGCGGGTATCTCGACTTCGATTCTCCGGTTGATTCGCGCGCTGTTATTCTTTCGGCTGTTTACACGGCCAACATCCATTTGTCGCGCCGCGAGTCGCCTAATACAGTAATGTCTCTCTAATTGACGCTCAGATTGTCCACGAAAATGGACAATTTTGGTAGAGGAGATGCGATTGTTCGAGCCTTGTGGCTCGCTTTTTATGGTTATTATTTTATTGCCTATTTTTGGGCGCGATCTGAGCGTCAGTATGGGAGACATTACCGTACAGTAATGTCTCTCTTACTGACGCTCAGATTGTCCACGAAAATGGACGATTTGGGAAGAGGAGAGACGATTATCCGACCCTTGCACCTCGTTTTTATAGTTGTTGACAATCGATAATCCTTTTCCAAAATTGTCCATTAATAATTTAATAATTTAATAATATAATAATAAATAATAATCGTATCTGCACTCCCCAAATGGTCCATTTTTGTGTAAAATCTGAGCGTCATTTAGAATTTACTGTAATTACCAGCCGGTTAAGGGGAAGTTCCAATTGATGAGGACTAAACAGAAGACCATGTACAGTAATGTCTCTCTAAATGACGCTCAGATTGTCCACAAATATGGACAATTTAGCAAGTGGAGATACAGCCACGAATTGTCAACAACTATAAAAAACGAGCCGCAAGGCTCGAACAATCGTATCTCCTCTGCCCAAATTGTCCATTTTCGTGCACGATCTGAGCGTCAATTAGGGAGACATTACTGTAATCGTTTACGCGATCGCGCTTCGCAAAAAATTGTCGCTCGCGCGTGAATGCCGCGCGTTCCTGCGGGCCCCGCGGTGTGTTCCGTCGACGATGAATCGCCGCCTCGAATCCCTGTTGCATCCCCGTGACCTAAAACCTTTGATCGCGCGTGCGGCAATGACGCCGCCGACGCCTGCCCCCTTAGGGTTAACGCCAACGCGCGCGAACAGTCGCGCGGCGAGAACAGACACCGACTAGAAATTCGCGCGCGCGCGTAACAGAAGCCCCAGCTCGTATCATCACGGAGTAGTAGTCGGCTTATTGTTTCGTGTTTCCTGAATATGGCGACGGTACGTGCGAGGCGACGCGCTGAATATCGTCCGCGAATATTGCCGAGTTCGCGCGGAACGACCGCGCGCCGTTGCGTTTCTGATACCGTTGTCCTTATCGCGGCGAACGGGGCCGGCGCAACTTTCCGCGACCACGGACGCGCCCGTGATCCCGATTGTTTTACGGTCTTGCCATTTTCTCGATTTAACCGTCGCGTTCGCTACTTTCTCGCGAAAACGAAAGAAAATGGAAAAGCGGGAGCCAGAGCGCGAGAGAGAGAGCGCGAGAGAAAAAGAGAGCGTGAGAGAGAGAGAGCACGAGAGAGAGCACGAGAGGGAGCGCGAGAGACAGAGCGCGAGAGAGAAAGAAAAGAAATTCGCTCGCACTTGCTCGAACGAAGAAACGCGGGCGAGTTTTTTACGCGGGCCGCCGCGTACACGCGTGTGCCGCGCCGCGAATATCCGCGCGGCGGGAGGGGGGGGTGTTGCGGCTCGCGCGAGAACTTTGCCCGCGGCAAACGAGATTTTCCCGTTGATCGGCGCTCGGACGCCGCACTGTCGTATCGCGTGTCGCGTATCGCGTGTCCGTCCGTGTCACACAGGATTCTGTAATTTCAAAGCTTGATTCCGGCGCGCAGCTTGAAAATTAGATCTATGATCGAGAAAGGGTGTATAATCCGTCGTGTCTCCGGTAACGTTCGCAACCGGTGACATTCTAACGGGCTTACGGGCGCGACGGTTCTCTTCCGCTTCGGATATAAACGCGTAAACGTCGACGAGACGTACGCGGCGGCCTCCGCGCGGCCCACCCGTTTTCTCCGTCGACTTTGTTGTCCCGCGGAACGACGCGCGATCTTCCTCGCCGCCGCGGACGCGTTTCGCTGGCAGCCGAGAAAATTAGAAAGTTTACAGCCCAGATTCCGCGATCCGTCGAATAACGCCGCGACAGGCGCGACTGGAGAGCTTACGGTCCGCGTTGGTTTACGGCGACGATCACGAATGCGACTCGCGGCATCTCTCCCGGGGATTCTATGTATTCTAATTGCGAACCGTTGCCACGCGTACCGCGCCGTTCCGACTTTCCCGATGGCGACTCCCCCGACGGTTTTCGCCGATGGCTTTCCCGACGGACGAAGCTTCTCGTCGGCGACGCACCGAGATGGCTGACGCGACGTTTTCAGGATTACAGAAGCTTTAGCTGTTATTAAGAATCGCTTGGATCCTTCAGTCTCTCCCTCACCCCCTCCCACCCACCGCGCAAAGCTTCGATGGTATCCGCAATTATTTCTGTCGGTGAAACGAGTTTGAATTAACCCCTGAAACGACTTCGTTTCGAACGGTAAAGGGAACGAGACGGGGACTACTCGTCCCGGAGGGCGAGGGGACGCGCTACATTCGACAGTGCAAACACGTTTTGGATAACGTAACGGGCCAAACAGCTCCGAGGCACTACGACCACTTGCTCCATTCTTCTCCCGCGACCTTCCGACGAAAGGAAATTGTGACAAGGGGTGTGTCACATGTCGGATTTTCTCGTTCCGTGCTGATCTCTCTCTCGCGCTCTCTCTCTCTCGCGCTCTCTCTCGCGCAAGGTCCGAATAATCGCATCTGCTCTCCACAAGTTGTCCATTTCTGTGTACAATCCGAGCGTCAATTTGCTTGAATTTACTGTTCGTACGCACGATCCCATCGTGTTTTCTGCACTCGCATGGCAAGGCGAGGCGAGACGAGGCGACTCTGATGGTCGTTCGAGTTGGTGGATTCGTTGGATACACGGTTTCGGGAGGGTTCTGTCACGAAAGGAGGCGAGCGAAACTGTTCTCTCTTTGTTCGTCAAACGTTGTTTACAGAGTTTCGCGTAATTGCGTGGACGTATCCGCGTACCAGTCGACGATACGGGCTTGTGCTCTGTACAGGGTGTCCGATAAATTATGTTTAAACCAGAACGAAGCGATTCCCGAGATCATTCGAAGTAACTTTTTCCTTTGCAAAAATGTTCTCCGAGGCATTGTTTACGAGTTATCAGCGAAAAACAGTGACCAATGAGAGGCGAGCTCTCGCCTAGAGCTAGGCGGCTGAGTCAACGAGCGCGCGGAGTGCGGTACCGCTGATTGGCTCGGCCGCCTAGCGCTACGCGAGCTCGCCTCTGATTGGTCACTGTTTTTCGTTGATAAATCGTAAACGAAGCTGCGGATCGCATTTTCGCTAAGGAAAAAGTTTCTTCAAATCACCTCAGGAATCTCCTGCTTCAAGATTGCGAGACGTTCTTTGGACACCCTGTGTATCGAAGCTATAACGTTCCTATTTGAAGCAGTTCCTTTTCCCGTGAGATTTCTTTTCCCGAGGTA